AAAAAAAAAAAAAAAAAAAAAAAAACTAATACAAAACAAAAAAAGTTGAGTCAATTTATGTTTATAAACTAACTGGGTAATTGATTGCATCAATTAAATCAAATTTTTTATTTTTCCACTGGATATATTGTTTTGCAATAATTTTTTTTTACTTTTGTAGCATGGGAATGTAGTAATAATCAACACCGCTTAAAAATAAGACGTAGACACCAGTACCTGCACACATTCGACTGCGTATACAATAGGTATTGCACAGGGTACATGGTGCATGGTGCATGATCCAAGCGCACGATGCACAGAGTTCTAAGCAAACAATAATTAACATAGCACAGGAAAAAAAAATAAAGAAGACTTGACTTTTGGTGTCCGGGTGTAAACTTGAATTTCTCACTCTTGTCAATCCTTCACCTACTGCGCTGTTCGACTAAGGTCTTTGTAAATGTAATTAGTACAACATTCAGTTAACGTTATGCCATTATACGCAGGTAGTACCCGAAGAATCTTACGAAATGATTTAACATTTTACACGATACATCTTTAACATAAAAGACCTTGTTCTTTTCAGACAATAATAGTAAGGTAGCGTGGGTTTTTCCACATCGACAAAAAGTCTCGAGCCAAATGCACTCAGGTCATCATTTAGAATAGGTCTTTTAGTATACTGAAAGCACCAGTATCTACTTCCTGGGGGAACAGTTACTGATGGTGTCGATATACCGGTTAAAGATTGTAGAAGAATAAGTAATGGAAAATTTTTCCAGCGAAAGCTCATTGGATTTTTATATGAAAAAAAAAAAGAACACCAAAAAAAAAAAAAAAATTCCTTTGTAAAAACAGTGGGTAGTGCAACGGTCAAGTACAGCTTACCCGGAAGTATTCTCAGTAGGGTTTATTTACTTAACTTACTTACTAGTTGATAACAGTTGATAGTCATTGATAGATAACTATAGGAGCAACATGTCCCAGGATAAGTATAAGTATAGGGTTGAGATTCAACAAATGATGTTTGTCTCCGGAGAGTCAAACGACGCTCCAATAGAGACCACATCACTAATTGAAGATATTGTAAGAGGACAGGTTATTGAAATTTTACTTCAAGCAACGAAAACCGCTGGATTAAGAGGTACTAAATCAATAGCACCAGAAGATGTTATTTTCTTGATAAGACACGATAAGGCAAAAGTTAATCGTTTAAGAACTTACTTATCATGGAAAGATGTTAGAAAAAATGCTAAAGATCAAGAAAGTGGAGGAACTGAATCATTAATTGAAAGTACTGAAAATTCAAATGCTAATTCAAATAATAATTCCAGTAATGATTCTTCTAAAATGTTGAGCAAATATAAAAAATCAAAAATTAGATTACCGTGGGAATTACAATTCATGTTTAGTGAACAACATTTAGAAACAGTGGAAGAAAACGAACAGGTTGATGAAGACGAAAAAGCGGCCACCATAGCTTCTTTAAAAAGATTGAAAATGGCTGACGATAGAACTAAAAACATGACTAAGGAAGAATACGTTCATTGGTCCGAATGTAGACAAGCTTCTTTCACTTTTAGAAAAGCAAAAAGATTCAGAGAGTGGGCTTCTATATCTCAAATTTGTGATTCAAGACCAAATGATGATGTTATTGATATCTTGGGGTTTCTAACTTTTGAAATTGTTTGTTCTTTAACAGAAGAAGCAATGACTATAAAACATTCAGAAGAAAAATTAATACAACAATCTTTAACTAAAACAATTAACAAAGATTTAAATAAAAGAAAAAGAAAGTATCTTTTCGATAAACCAGATGAATTAGCCAAACCTATTTTACCTTACCATATCGAAGAAGCTTGGAGAAGATTACAATCATCAGACTTTAAACATAAAGCTATTAGATCTTTTGGCGGTGGAATAATCAAAAGAAGAACTAGATTAATTTAATATCTATAATTATATACTTTACTTAATGCCTTAATGACTATAATTCAATATCATATTTTTTGATCATAAATTTTAATACCTCGTTTGATTCATCCTGAAATTGTCTCCATTGTAAAAATTTCTTAACACTAACTCCATTATTCATAATTGACTTGGTTTCAACTTCATCTAATAAATTTTGATAACTTTTCCATATCCTGGTATAAGGAGCTAACTCTAACATATACGCTGTTCGATTCAAATGATTACATATTGACGTTTCAGATATCCCCGTCGTACCAGGATTGTATTCCACTTCTCCATTCATATTATGGGACCGCGTAAAACTTCGTGATGTTTGCAAGTCCATTAAAAATTTGGTTAGTTTTTTACTTCGGGATCCTATAAATTCATTCACAGGTTCTCGTAATTCGTTAAATGTAAATAATGGCTTATTAAATCCATCAAATGTATCAATGTTTGGGTTTAAATGCTTCCCACTGTTAAATTCATACGGTAAAGTTGGTTGTTTCAAAAAAGTACTCTCATCTATAAAGTAAATATCAACTAAATCATTAGGTTGAACCTCATGCTGTATCATAGATTTGGAGTTTTCAGTTATGATATCGGATACTGACATCATTTCTAAATCATTTGATAATGACTTTAAATCATCATTTATTGTACTAGAATTTTTGATCCTCTCTTGCTTAATTTGAATTATTTCATGATCCAGTTTCACTGTAGGTTCACACAATAACTGACAATTCATCAATATCTTCCTTATATCATGATGCCGGGTTGTTGAAGAATTTTTTATTATTTCTTCTATTAAACTGTTATCAAATTCAAAGCCTTGGCTTAAGCAACAAATTTTTATATAGTCCTTTATCAATTGATCAAATTCTGGGTCTCTATAATCGAGATTCACAATAGCCTCCTCTTCTATTGCAAATTCAACAATATTTTTCGGAATATTTTCGATATCATTACATGTGATTACAATAGGCCGTTTGGAAATATTAATCAAATCTTGAATCACGCTCCAGAAGCCCTTGTCTTGTTCAAATAGTAAATCACAGTCTTCGAATAGAACAATCCCTTTTTGAAATTCTTTCTCTTCTTTGTTCGTTTGATGGGAATGGACCAATTGGGTAGTACAAAGTTCTCTCAAATTATTGAATATGTCTTTTCGACCTCGCGATTGTCCAGCATTTACTTCATGAACATATCCATCTATTTCATTAACTGCTGCATAAACTGACGACGATTTACCCGAACCAATTGAACCCTGAATTATTAATACCGGCACGAATATATCCGAATCTGATTCTGTTGATTCATTTTCATCGTCAACTACGAAATTATCAAGTGTATTAATTTGTTGTAAAAGTCTTTGTTGCTTTTTCTGCTTTATCAATACATTCCTTGGTGTTTTGGTAGATTGATTTTTCAATCTTTGAAATGAATTATAGACCCAGGTTTTAATGAAATGCTTATGATGATTAGAAACTAACAAATCTTGGGTGCTTTTGGGTTGGAAATACTCGGGCCAGTTTAAACCTGCTTCTGATGCTAACTTGGTATCATTCTTTATAAATCCATTAAATATTCTAGCTATTGCCGTTCTCCCGAGTTCGGGCACTTTAGGAATAAGAAAATCCAATAACTTTTGGTGTGTTTCAAACTTTGTAGAAGATCTCAGTATTCTTGACTCTTCAATATCCTTGTGATTAGTTGGAAACGTAAATTTATCGTCTGGATTTGGATTTTTGTTCAAGTTTCTTCTCAAAAATTTACTTAGGAATATGCTCGATTGATGCAAACCATCATCACAATAAACATGAAAGTCTTCTCTCATGATAGTTGGGGGAGCTACTTCCTTCGCTTTTTGTAAAGGTGTCAACTTTTTAGAAGATGTAGCGTTTTCTATCATAGATTTGAAGAAAGAGTTGGCATTTACACCCTTTGAATTACCAGAACTCTTGGTATGTAATGGATTGGCTGATTTATTTATCTCCTTTAGAGTTGTAGGATTTATCTTGATTGTTACTTTCCGTGTCTTTCTGGGCTGCCGTAACGTGTTCAAGAGGGTCTTAGGTTCTTTATTAGAAGGTGAAGTATCATTCCCACGAGTTTTAAAAGGACTATCGTACTTGTGAATTTCTTCTAACGACTTAGAATTGACTTTTAACGTCACCAGCAAAGATGGCTTTCCGTTTTTGCCCTTGACGGGACCAAAGGACTTGAAAAGATCTTTAGCAGTTACTACTCGACGATTTGAATTTACTGAATGCATTTTTTCTTCAATTACTTTGTAATCTATTTCTTGTATTTGATCATCTTCTGTCAAAAGGTGATCAACTGGTTCAGTCTTTTTCTTTTTATTCTGGAGTGTTAGGAAGTCTTTAGCTGAAACTGATTTGACATTGTTATTATGAAATTTCTTCTCTAACTCTAATATTTCATGTTCTCTTTGGAAAATGTTTTGAGTCCCTTCTGAGAAAGAGTCTTCGGGGATTGAGTCGGTGGAGGATATATCAAACTCACTTTGCGAATGTCTGCTTGGTGCTAAATCTAGAGACTTACATTCCGCTTTGTTAGGATTATGTTTTCTTTTGGACTTTTGGGACCCAGACAATAGTGTCATTAGTGGATTTGTCTTTCTCTTCACGTTTTCATTTTGTTTTTGATCTTCGCTTGGATCCACATCTACGTCAGTAAAATCATCATCTAGTATAAAGTCAGAAGAGCTCATATTTGACGCAGCTACTGAGCCATCACTATAATCAAATACCGGCTTTTTGTCGTTTGACTGGATATGTTTAGAAGAGAAACAGGTTGGTGGGAACGATAAAACTTCACTAAGCTCTGGATCTATATTATGCTCAAGTAATTCAGAAGCTGGATTCCCTTTTAGATTTCCACTATTAATCTCCATCCCTCGAAAGAGACCTTTTATGTCTGGTTCAGTGAATTTTCGAAGTGAAGTGTTAGAAAAGCAATTAGGAAAATGTCTTTTGGAGTCATGATATCTACGCGTTCCCTGGTGTTTTGGTGTTTTACAAAATTTTGACCAAAAAATGAGTATCTCATCGTGTTTTTGTGATTTACGACTCTACTCCAGATGAGCCTACTGCTCTTCGAATCAACAACAAGACTCAATAATAATCGAAGCGAAAAACATGGTTGGATTTCTGCTCAAGCCAAAAGGTAAGGGTATAGCAAAATCTGAGGTATCCAAACCTAAAATGGGGTTTTCTTTGGGGAGAAAACCCCAGAGTTCTTCAACAGGTCCAGTCAAGATTAAAGATCAAAAACGGAAAGTAAAAGGATTCGACAATGATTCAGACAACGAAGAAGATAAGGTTATATCCATAGACTCGTTTGATCAGCAAAAGGGTGGGGCAATATCTCAAAATAATGCAGTCAATGTCAAGAAAGTCGAACCACCATTAGTCATTAAGCCGACTAACTTGAATAAAGAGATACGACACTCAACCTACGTACCCAACATGGAGCATCGGCAACCCATTTCCCTACCTGATAGTAGGAATGCCTTGCACTATGGGTTGAATGAGATACCAAAGCAAGGTGATACTGAGAATGAGATTGTGAACGAAGAGAATGAAGAAGAAAATATGGATTCAACTGAAAAAGCCAGAGAACTACTATTATCCGGTAAGAATATAACTCAAGAGTCCAGTATGGTGATTAAAGCTTCAAATGAGCCAGATACATTTGGTGATTTCTCATCAGATGAGGATTTTGACCAATATGATGAAGTGCCAGTTGAAAAATTCGGAGCAGCCTTGTTAAGAGGAATGGGATGGAAAGGTGATGACAGGAAGCAAGCCAAATCTTCCATAGACATTGACAAGAGGCAAAAGGGTGCATTAGTTGGAATCGGTGCACAGAAGGTGGAAAGTGAACTAATAGACGATTTAATGGGTAAAAATAAAAAAATCAATATACCGGTTAAAAGAGTTGATAGACAGAATAATGACTAATGCATGTATTAGTAAGTAAAAGCTATATACAATAAATAAATAAAAGAATTGAAAAACAAATTCATGTAATAAAATCTAAGCCAAAACACCTAATCCCAATAATAATAATTGACTTGCTAAGGAATGAGACCACAAGCTTGATTTTTGTTCAATTATTCTCTTTTCATCCCATTTGACCATCTTCAACAAGTCTTCATATATATCACCAACAATGACATCGAAAATTCTAGCTTGTGATAAATCTTGTAAGTTATATAATTCTGATAATTTTTCAATCACGGTTGTTTTGATAATTATTGGAGACTTATTATTATCAGGGTCATAGTTATTTATGAATGCGATTAAAGATCTCAAATCATGTAATGAAATAAAAGGAATTAAAGTTGAAGATGCAGTAGGTAGTTGTTTTGGTAATGAAGCTTTTAAGTTAGAAAACTTAACTTTGACATTAACCAAAACATATTCTGAAGAAATTTGATCAGAGGAATTTTCAAATTCCAAGTCTTTTTTGAAAGTTTCATAAATTGCAGCTAATGCTGATTTTATTAATGGATTACTCTCTTCGTTTGAATCTTTAGAAATTTCTTGGTTGGTATTGGAATTAGAAAAACTTGTGACATTTGCTAATTCATCAAACATTTTTGAAAAAACTTTACCAATTTTCTTGTAGTTAGAAGGTTCAAAATTATCGGAATCATCATCTAATTGAGGTAATCTTATATTGGCGATAATTTCGGCCTTACCGTTATGAATCCAATTGAATTTCAGAGAATGGTTTGTATTAAATATCGAGCCCAAATTAATACCATCTAGTTTAAAAGTCACCATACGGTCATTTGTAGTAGTGTTATATTGCTGTTTCTTATGGATGGTGAACATTGAATCATTTATTGCCCCAGTTACATTATTAGCATTGAAGAAATCAATGATTAATTTATCACCACGTAATTTTGGTAAATCGCAATTGAAGATTGCAATTTTGAAAGGTTTAACGTCTGGCGATTTTGAATTATATAACTCAATGTCACTATCATGAATTTTAATATTTGATAAAATATAATTTGGGTTAATAAATGAGGTTCTTTGAGATTGTTTATGTTTTTGTAAATCATTTAAATATTCATCATGCAAATCATGATAATGATCGTTATATCTACTAAAAGAAAGTGCCATTGAATCAAGAGTTTGCGCTTTTTGCTGAACTTCAATTTTTGGACTTTCATCAAGCAATTTATAGACATTAGCATTCATACCGTAAATTTCAATATCATGAATCAAACCATTACCTTCATACCACTTACCGAAAGATAATGAAATATTCATTGCTTCAATACGGGCATGGATATCCAACGAATTTTCATTATTTTCTAATGAGAATACATCAAAGTTCTTAAATCTCAACATACCATCTTTCCATTCTGGTAAGACGGAACCCTTTTTGAATTCAAATTTGATACCAAGACCTTGAGACAATATAGAGCCAGTAATATATCCCAAAATACTCTGATCAGATAAAGTTTTTTCATGATCGTTATCATCATCATCATTGCCATTATTCTTGGACGAAATAGTATCCCAAATATTATCAAAAGTATGAATAGAATACATAGTTACCAATCCAAAAGTTGTAGTACCAAGGATAATCCACAAAACATTCCCCATGACTAACCAGGATATAAGTGCTGAAAAATCATCAACAGAAAATGGTCGATTATTTCGGATCAAAGGCCATTTGATGTGAACCAACAATCTGCTCAATGAGTTAGGGGCCTGTGCTAGTAATTGAGACTTGGTCACCCGATCACTCAGCGACATATATCTATTCGGTTTGAACAGATCCGGTCTATTCATTAAGCTGCGGTAAGTGCTGAAGAGTTTGTATGATTGTTGATTTCTCTGTATTATTCTATTAATCAGAATATGTGTGGAAGATAAAACCCCCAATGTTGACCTAGACATGGCCAAATTTGGCCTTGGGTACCGTATTAGCAGAATACGATTCATAATCTTTGTTGACTGTTAATTATTGAAAAACTCTTGTCTATTCTTTAAAATTGGTTTTGCAAAAAAAAAAACCGGGGTGAAACTTTAAACTAGTGTGACCTTTAGAGACTTCTTCTGGAACCTTTTAGATATTCAAAGCTGTAGTTGAGACAGCTTGAGTAAGCAGTGTGATTTCAAGATAAAAAACAAACCACCTTGTATAAAGAAATTTAGTCACTACGTAATAAAAGTTTGCTAGTGTTTATTTGCCCTTTGCTTTGCAAGTCGGACTAAATTTCTAAATCTTGATGGAGCAAAAAAAAAAAAAAATTTGCTGAACTTTTTAACCACTAAGCGGCCTCAAATTTTTTTTGTTAGTCTTTCACAGTATTTTCACGGATATGAGGGTGCTGAAATCAAACTGGTACTTACTTTAACATCAAGGAATCAAAAAGCTTAATTTCTGTTCTCCGAAAGGGCCGTAATGGCTAACTTGTGATTGCCATGTTCGTTTACTGCTCTAGACGTCATTTTACTAGTGAGGTTTGGGTTTTTAGAGATTTTCACGTGACCGACTTAATTAATGCGATGAGTTTCAATTTTTTTTTTTTTTTTTTTTTTTGATTTTGATATTTTACCATTAAATCTTGAATAAGATAAGTTATCTATAGTAGTTCCCCAGTCACATACGGTATATTTATACGTTTCATATTCATTCACCTGATTCATTGATCCGAAAGATAGTGATTAATAATATACATAGACGATAATGGCTGCACCTACTGCTATTAAGACCCCGATCAGCTCATCGAAGCCAATACAGAATAATGAAGAAGGGGAAGAAGAGATGTTAATAGATGCTTCCAATGTTCCAAGTTCCAGTAATAAAGCTGAATCAACTGAAGAAACTCCAGCTGACAACGAAAATAAGGATACCCCCGGTATGGTGTTGGATGAAAACGGGAAACCAAAATTTGCTGCAGCATCACAAGCAGGTATGAAAGTTAAATTAGAAAGTAGAAAAGTACCAGTGCCACCTCACAGAATGACTCCTCTTAAGAATACTTGGATCAAGATCTATCCACCATTAGTTGACCATTTAAAGTTACAAGTTAGAATGAATTTAAAGACTAAGACCGTTGAATTAAGAACCAATAAAAACACCACCGATCAAGGGGCTTTACAGAAGGGAGCTGATTTCTTGAAAGCTTTTACTTTGGGTTTTGATGTTGATGATGCCATTGCCTTGTTAAGATTGGATGATTTATATATTGAAACTTTTGAAATCAAAGATGTTAAGACTTTAACTGGTGACCATTTGGCAAGAGCCATCGGTAGAATTGCTGGTAAAGACGGTAAGACAAAGTTTGCTATTGAAAATGCAACCAGAACTAGAATTGTTTTGGCTGATTCAAAAATTCATATTTTAGGTGGGTTCACCCATATAAGAATGGCAAGAGAAGCCGTTGTTTCCTTAATTTTAGGTTCTCCTCCTGGTAAAGTTTATGGTAATTTACGTACTGTTGCATCAAGAATGAAGGAACGTTATTAAATTTTGTTTCTTTATCTACATCTTTTCTATATAAGGTTATCTGTACATTAATAAAAAATTTTTAATTCGATCTATCATTTTTATAAATCTTCTAATAAACTTTTTGTTAGATCATCATTTTCTTGTGATTTTTGAGCTTTATAAGGTATTAATTCTTCTAGTTCTAATACTTTTTTCATTGCATAAGCATCTTCACCATCTTGATAGTATGATTTTTCAATAGAAGTATTTTCAAAACTTAAACTATCTCTATATAAATGTAAAGCAGCCCTATTTGATAATCTAACGTGTAATGAAACGTATTTTGCTCCAAATGATTCACACATGGCGTATAATGATTGACGCATTAATTTTTCAGCCAAACCTAATCTTCTATAAGTTCTCATGACTGATAATGATGTAATATGTCCATGAGGTGTTTTATCTTCTGCATCTGGATCATCTTCCATTTTTCCTAATACATATGCTACTATTTTTTCTCCTTTGTTAATGTATGCTGTATCACCTTTTGGATCTTTGTTGAATTTTATAAAGTCACCATCTTTTTCAATTGAACTTTCAACTTCTTCGTCAAATACATCATCTTCATCTATAGTATCATATGTAGTAGCTACGAAACTTGCTTGAGGCCATGATAATATGTGATACATATAATATTTCAATTGATAATTTTCTGGCAAATTATGCAAATTCGCATTTTGCATCGCTTGTATATCATTGATGGTGGCTTGTCTAATTGTTATACCCATTTTCTTTCCAACTGTATCGTATCAAATGCAATATCAAGCAAGTTTGTTTAACCTGTGTTATAGGGTTTTAGTGAAAAAACGTAAATTTTTTCTCTTTTTCAGATTTGGTTATGTCGACTCGCTCGAAAAAAAAACAATTTTTGTGAGTACACTATTTTTTTTTACTTGATCTTGGATGGTTTATATATATGATTATGTATATATATATGCATTAGTTGAATCGTAATTCTTCCCTAAGTAGTAATTGTTGGTCAAACTTGATTAAGAAAACAGTCCTTAATGGATACTCGTTGGTTGGAACGGAGTGGGCAGTGACGGTCGCATGGAAACCAGAAGAATCTAGAGCACCTTCTATTATACCAGCAATGTAGGCCGAACAATTCAAATTACCATAATCTTTGGGAATACTAATGAATCGCGATAGTAATGGAACATTATCAGTAATCATATATTCATCATTCAAATCTTGAGATTTTTCTAGTTCATTAGCAGTTTTACCGAAAATAGATCTCCAAAAAGATCCATGAATAAATTGTAACACTTCAATTATTCTTATTTCTCTTTTACTATATTTCAATCCTTCTCTTAGTTTGACCAATTCTAAGAACCGTTGACCAACTTGATAGCCTAACCCATTTAATCTTGTCTCCAAATCTTGGATACCTTTGGAATTTTTATGACTCCAATTAACTATTTCGCAAAATAGAAACGATAATGATGATAAATTAATCTCTGCAACCTTCTTATTATTCACGTTACGGTCATATATCGAATTATGTGATACACTCGTTAAGCTTATGGTTTTTTTATTCACTAATATATTCAGACTCTCAGAATTGATAGCGTTTGATGATGGTCCTATCGATGGATTGTATCCGAAACCTAGTTTGGAAGTATCTGATATGGTTAGCTTCGACATCGAGGAGGCCGATGGTGATATTATCTTGTCACTGGACATGATCATGCGCTTACTTCAATTGGATCAAGTCTAAAGAACTGAATTGTTTTCATGTTTTATGAGACCTGTCGTTTCTAACAAAAAAAAAAGTTCAATCTTAGTGCGAGTTTTGACCTTTCACGACGATATATAACATCCTGGAGATCAACAGATTACTTCAACAAGATTCACTAACCGATACGACAAATGAACCGTCGACCTGGTTTGGCGATATGTATGGTGTAAGGTCCTTGGATTTGAAACTCAGTTCGATGAATTAAACTGGTAAATTAGATTCCAGATTACGGGTTGTCGAGGCAGAATCATAGTTAGTTCTTTGATTTGCAACCGGTAATTATTTGGCACTATCAGCGATTGCCCTTATAAACATGGATAAGATTAATTGTAGTATCAGTGACTTCATTAAGATTGATTTTTTTTAAAGAGCTTGGAAATTTTACGCGCTGTATATTTTTGATACTTCCAACTAACACCAACAACGAGAAGTTTGAAACAAACAGTCCAAGATGGCTAGAAAAAGGCAATGTATGTACTTGCTACCATTCAATGAAGAGGGTATTCATTTCTTCGAGCTAGTAAAGCTGAATGCTTCGACATTCAAGTGTCCAAAGAGTTTTGCAACCTAAATGTGACCTGTACTAACCGCTTTGATAGCACTGAGAAAGAGTCTTGTTAAAGCCAAACCTCATGAGCGGGTTGGAAACCAACCAAAAGCCTCTAGGGAACCATCATTAGATGCAAAGCCGGTATCAGCCACGGGCAAAACTTACAACTATAGTAGAAGAACAACCAAAAGTGCCAAAAGCTCTGTATTCAAAGATACATCAACCCCCAACAGTTCTAGCTTCGAGCCTTTGGTTCAAGTCAATAACTTGCCCATCAACCGGTCGGATAAGCTTCCCACTGGGAATTCCAGCGTATTGGCGCCCAAAGCCAAAAGGAAAATATGTCAAAACGATGATGATGATGATGTCATTTTAGCCAGCGGAACAGCGGATTTCTTACAAGACCACTTGATTCAACCATATGTGTTTAGCCAGGATATAGTGAAAAATCGCGAGGCCAACTGGTCCAGCAGACTGACGAAGAAAATCGATATGTATAATCCAGGATCTAGACCAATCCATGAAGAACCCATGAAGACAAAGAGTGGTAAGAACAAACGCAAGTATCCAAGGTTAACTCACGCCGTTGTCAAAGAAGCCAAAGTGAAACCGTTGGCAGAAATTACAATGGAATTGAATAAGGTCATGAAAGATACCGTTACAAAACAAGTACTAAAAGAGTCTACACATAAACCTAAATTAGTTAACCAGAAAGGCAAAAGAGCAAGGACAACCCAGAAACATGAACAGATTGTGCCAGTAGACAATTTGAACATCATTAACCCTGCTGCAACCGCAGAAAAAGAGAGGCAACGGGCTTGGGACCGTAAAATGAGAAGAATCGAAAAGTTTCTACTAGAGAAAAAGAAGAGAATCAACCATTAGAAGATAAGAAGTTGCACAAAATTTTATTCGGCTGGTTCAAAAAGAATGAGACAACAAAAAAAAAAATAAGTCTAACAGAAAAAAACAGGGTATTGAACTGATTAATTCTAGATATATTATTTTACTTTCGGAATCGAAAGAACACAATAAGAAGATACTCAAGGATTGACACTGAATCTAAAAGAAAAGTACACGCCAGGTCCAAGCAAGATTTTAAACGATTGAAAGTTACTAGTGTTATCATTGTGAGTGAAATCACAAAATATTGAAATCTTGAAAGGAAAAAACCAAAAAGAAAAAAAAAAAAAAACATAATGAATTCGAATGATATTCTTGCCACCGATGATAAAACACCGCCGGAGCAAATCAGCGGCTCCAAGGGCTCGTCTATTGCAGAAGGCAGTTCGGTATCACCTAATACACAATTGCAAGAGCCGGTGGTTGTAGGTGAAGGAAGGAAGACCCCGCCCGAACCAATCATTAATCAAGAAGATCTACGTAAGAAGTTGAGTAAAATACCACTCGAAACCTTAAGAGAGATATTACTCAATCAAGTAGATTTGGAAATTCGATTAAAACATAAAGAATTAAAGTTAACTGAAGAAGAAATTGGGAAATGTGAGAGTCAAATGATCTTATTAAGAAAATTTTTTGAAATACCGAATCAAATTAAGATTAATAATGAACCAAATGATTTTACAATGAAATACTTCAATTTGTTGAATGAAAACTTATCGGTGAATTATACTAATCTACAAAAACAACAATACCAACATAATCAACAGAATCAAGAAACAAATCAATCATTCGCATCATTTTCTGAATATATATCTCCCGGGAGTGAGGAGGTGATTGATGAAACCGCTAATAATTATCATTATGAACCAGTCCATTCGTATCGTACTAGATCAACTACATCATCGCTTCGACCATCGAATGCCGCAATGGCCGCTGCTGGGATGTCGGTTAATGGCACCAATCCAATTCGAACCATTGGATGTTTATATCGTAGAACCGATGGTGTGATTGTTAAATTGACCTGTCCCGATTGTCAACGAAGCAATTTTTCGTCAGCACAAGGTTTCTTAAATCATAGTAGAATTGCCCATTCGAAAGAGTACACATCTCAAGATGCTGCCGCATTGAAATGTGGAGAAATCTTGCCGGACCATGAACAAGATGAAGAAGGACTAAATAGTTTGAAAAATTTGAAGGAAAAGGGTATTGATGCTAATAAAAATTTAAATGTTAATGAAATCTATTTTAATGGATTAAGTAATTCATTAAATACAGTTCATAGAAGTAGTATAAGTTCCAATTCTGCATCTCCACCAGCGGTAAATGAAATTGAATCAATCAATCCTATAAAAGATAAAAGTGAATTAATGAAAAAATTAATGAAAAACGGTATAACTAATACCGAAGAAGAATATGAAGAAATGATAAAAGATGTTAAAAATGAAGTCAAATCAAGTCACCTCTTCGAAGACGAAGAAGAAATCGAAGAGGAACTCAATCCAACCAATCCTCCAGTTAACCCGCAAACCAATCCTCCTCCCCCATCTAAGTTTAAAAGACGTAAGAGCCGAGGAGTTATGGGAATAAGCAAAGCCAATCACCGTAAAGAATCTTCCAAATCTAATCCTACAATACAGGAACCTACCCAAGAAGCAACTGGGTTACACACATTAAACGCAAAAGATATCGAAATATTGCGTCATGTACAAATGATGGATCATGAAGGAGGTCCCACTAGTGGCACTAGAAGCAAAAGTGGTACTACAACCTCCGCCGGCATAGAAGAACCTGACACGAAAAGAAGAAAGAAATAAAATAGCCCTTTCTTTCCTTTGTATGAAAGACCCTGCCGATTGTATAAATTGTTCAAATGGAATATACATCTGCTCATTAATATATGTATCTGTAGCCGCAAAATGCAATATCTTATCTGGTGGTGACAATTCCGTGCTACGTAAAAGCACTCCGTCGTACCCGGTGCACGGGCCTGGGCTTGCTCACTCTGGGGGGCGTTTGGTGACCAGCGCGCGCGTCGTTGAAATCGATTCTGAAAGTCTAGATTCTAACTGATTAAGCGAGAACTCCTATAACCCAATCCACCGATGATGTCACCCTCCACAACATCCAACACAACCAACACAACCTACTACATGGACATCACCGGCGCTCTGTTTGCTATCTTTGCTTTCAGCACCAGCAAACAACAACCATTCCATACCCTAGCTTCTACCAGAAGACCGTAAAATCTACCACTGACACCAATTGAGGGTCGACGAAACGCGTGCGAGTGTGCATCTAATTAGCACAGGCTAATAAGCAATAATACAGAACAATAAAAGATTCTCATCAAATGTACTTCCTTGACTAATTAAGGGAGTAATTCCGAACACTCTTTATTATCAAAGTACCATTACGTATTCCCCTCCAACAAGTATCAGGAGTGCTTGTTTCTTGGTTGGACTTACAATACCCTCCAGTTGAGACGACTGGAACTGAAATGTAAGAACCAATGAATAGTCCACGGGCTCTGTCGTGGGTTGAGGATCGTAGAACTGAACCAGAACACCGAAGAACGAAAACACCGAAAAAGAAAGCAGAAAAAGAAAAAAAAAACAGTAAAAAAAAAAACAGTAGTAAAAAAAAAAAAAACGTAGTAAAAAAAAAAAACTCAAAAAAAGTGAGCGGCTACGATTCTTTAATTTTAATTTTTATTGAAAAGCGACCTGTAATCCTGTTGTTTTTTCCTTCAAGTTAACCCAATCATCTTTCCTTTGGTTTGAAATATCACATTAGTGAGTCTTTACGGTACGGTATACCTGATCCTTTGCTGGTCGCTCTAAACGCCTTGTCTCATATTGCTAGACCGGTTAGATCGAACTCGATCCCGACTGAGCAGTTATCAAAAAGAAAAAAAAAAGAAAGAAAGAGACTCTTCAAAAATTTGCTTTGCTCTGCTTGACTTTGTTTACCTGGGCTATATATATATATATAAACATACACTTGTTCTTGGTCAGTAATACTCATTACATTCCATACTAAGAAGCACATTCCCCGAAAATCTCGTCACCCATACCTCTGAAAAATCACGTAAATCAAAGTTACACATCACATTTACAAATCAAAAATTACTCATCACATTTACAAGTCAAAAATTACTCATCACATTTCATCACGTCCCATCAGTTCCATCCCATCCCTGCATCTAAGTCTTTATCCTAACCTTGCTATATTATCAGCCATCGGTAAAGCCTTCATAAACAAATAAAGTTATATTTAGTTTGTGTTGATAGAATCATATTTATATAGATCTGATTTGCCTACCACTTTAGTGTTTGCTTGGGATTTTAGTTTGAATACCTAATCCCTAAGACAGCAAATTTTTGTCCTTCCTCTAGGTCTTTGGTTTGTTTCTTCGATTAAAAGTTTATTTTAGTTTTTCCTTTCCCTTTTTTCCATCGGTCTCTTTCTTTTTCTGTTTCTTTGACCCACTACTTTATTTGGGCTTATTTTTCCGAGACGGTTAACCTAACAACCCTAAACTTATCCATTATTCTTTTATTTATATAACTCTATTTCCCCATTCATACTATATATATATATTTGCCATATATATATATAATGGGTTCAGCTTCCCCTCCCACTATTTGTGCATCTCCAAACTTTACTTTCCCACCTTCTTCAAGTACCTCATCCCATTCAAATGATTCTGCTGCAAATAATCAATCAGATGACTATTTCAGTTTAATGAGTCCGGTTAATATTGCTAATCAGAATTCCTCTATCAATCATAATAATATCAATACTGCCACATCTTTTTCAAAATCAAAAATAAAAGATCATCATACTCAATCTCCAGATTATTTCACCGGTCATTTTGTTAAACCAAGATTATTATCAACTTCAACCAACTCGTCCTTATCTTCAAATGATTCATCCACCATCCATAAAAATTACAATGATTCCATAAGCTCAATCAATTCTGATTCAACTGTTTGTGAAATAAATCATCATTCCTCTAATAGTTTGAGTCGTTCCAAAAAAATTGATTTGTCTCTGACTTCAACTGACACTTTGGTTGATGAAGCATCATTTTCTTCCTCCTCTTCTTCTTCTTTGAGTCAAACTAAGCATAATCATCTCAATTTAAAGCTTTCCATACCCAATTCAAAACATAAAAATTCATCCTCAAATTCAAATTCTTTCCCTCTACATAACGATTCAAAATTATCTTTCCCAGTTAATGAACGTGACGAATTAATGGACCATGAATCAATTCATAATAGTAATAAAAGTTGGAGTCAAGGAACTCAACTGGAATTTCTTCAAAATCCTTTTACAAAAGCTAGCTCAGCAGTAGAAGCAAGGTTTCCTCATAATCGTAACCCTTCTTCAAATGATCAAAGTAACAAAGAAATAACAACCAATGATGTCTCTACTCCTCAAATTAATAATGCTCTTAATAAATCATCTGGTTATTTTGATCAACCAGCTGGCTCTCATAATAATTATCAACGTTCTCATAGTACTATAGTTGCTCCTACCCTTGTTGCTCCTCCATCTTTATCAAAAAATAATACTTTACCTTCCATTCCTTTCAATCATGATCTCACCGTTGAATCAATAAAAAAACAACAAGTTAAAAGATTAAATCAATTACCTCAGCAACCTAATTATCATGACCAATTGCAAAGTTTATCGCCTCAAATCATTAAATATATCAACTTCCAAGAATTAGACAATTTAATTAAAAATACCGAGATCGATCCAGTTTTGAAATTACCAAATTTCTTGATGATTGATATAAGACCTTTTGCTGATTATATATCAAATCATGTTATTGATTCTATTAATGTCTGTTTACCTTCTACTTTATTAAAAAGATCCAATTTTGGTTTGAAGAGATGTATTAACTCATTACCTGATTATGAAAAATTAATTTTCTTGAATTATTTGGCAATGAATGATGATAATAAACGTCAAGATAAAATATTTGAAAATTCAAAGATAAAAGTTGGTAAGTTTGGCTTGCCCGCTATATTATTATATGAGAATAATAACAATAGTCAAAATTTATACCATATGTGTAAAAAATTTATTGACAATTCGTTTTGGGATCAAGAAAGCCAACCTCCTATTTATTTATTGGATTTTGAATTCAATCAAATACCTCAGAGTTATTTAGAATCTGGTAAACTTGAAAAATTTAAAATCGTTGATTCAATCTCCAATACCCCAAGTCCTATTAAACCTGCTGATGTTTCATCTCCAAAACAAAACTTACCTACTAGACCAAAATCAAGTTCAATGAATGAAGTACCAACATTAGCATCTGTTAGACAGAGACCACCCTTAACTATGAAAAATTTGACTTTACAAGATTGCAGTACTCCAATTCTTCCTAATTTCAAGTTACCAACAAACTTAACTAATCAATTTAAAATTAGACATAATGAAGAATTGATTGAAGATGGGGATTTCAAATTATCTCAACAATCAACTTTCAAATTAAATTATTATGATGAATCGATGGTTTTACCTAACTGGATTAAAAATGCCATTGACACAAATAGTGATATAATTGAAGAATTCACCAAGTTGGAAAAATTTGAAAAGAGAAGATTAAATTTAGCCTTGGGTAATTCAACAACAACTCCAATGACATCATTACATCAACAATCAAATAATATGAATCCCTTCTTCCCAACTTTGGATTCGTCATCATCATTAATTAGCCCAGGTGGTACTACTATTGAAAGCTCCCCTTCAATTAGTTGTGGTTTGGACTATGGTCATAAAAATCGTTATAAAGATATATTTTTATATGATCATTCAAGAGTTAAACTAAATGATTTTGACAAGCCACAACAATGTGATTATATTAATGCTTCATATCTTAACCCAATTAACAATTTAGCTGATTTATTGATTGATAACCATAAAGATGATTATGGTAATTTAACAAAGATGTTAAAATATATTGCTACACAAGGTCCATTGGATCAAACTATTGGTGATTTTTGGAAATGTGTTGTTAATCATCATGTCCCATTAGTTTTATCTTTAACTAATGAGTTTGAAGATGGTATCAAAAAATGTGCAAGATTTTGGGAATCAGGTACTTATAAATCAAATGATAATATGATTCAAGTTGAATTATTGAATGAAGAACAGGTGAAAACCAATGATGAAATTTATATGATTATTAGACATTTCAAAATAATCATGGATAATACAATAGTTCATGAAACATTACAAGTTCAATTATTAACTTGGCCAGATATGTCAAGCTGTTTAACTCCAAAAGACTTGGTATTAATCATTGCTTTAAAGAACCATTTACTTCAGAATATAAGACTTGACAATGTTGAATATCCAACCATAATCCATTGCAGTGCGGGTTGCGGTAGAACAGGAACATTGTGTACGATTGATTCAATAATTAACATCATTAAATATAATTCAAGACTTAATGACGGGGAAAGAAATATTGAGTTAAACTTCAATCCTGTTTATTCAATGGTGAATAATTTTAGAAAACAAAGAATTTCAATGGTTCAAACTTTAAGACAATATTATTTAATTTATGACACTCTATTAATTTATCTTAACGATAAAAAGAAGGCATGGAATGATTTAACCCAACTTCAAATTGTCAATGATTTTATTAAAAAAAATTAATTTAAGGATCAAAAAACTAACTTTGCTTCCTCATTAACCTGACACTCATTTAACGAATTTTCATGATAATGTTGCAAGCTCAACACCATTTATATACTAAAATTAAAATACATATTACATTCTTAGAACAAGACTGTTTATTTGCAAGTTTGATTGCATCGTGTAAGATGCTTCAATGTAAGATGGATTGCGCGTATACGATTCTAAGACAAAGTCCAGACCGTAAATATTCAATTGGCTGCAACAACTGCTGAGCAGTTGTTTCATAACCAGAGAATGGATTATAGAACTAGAACCACTCGTTCGTCGTCGGTTGAAATCAAATGCATGGCTACAATCAAAAAAAAAAAAAAAATGTACGAGAAGAATTTTTATTCAATTTTATAAAAAGGTACACAATTAAGTTAGAAATAAAAGTAATAGATTGATTCGATATCAATTCTAAGCATTGGCAGCTAAAGCTTGTTTCAAAGCTGGAGGATTGGCACCAATAACTTTGGTAACAACTTCACCACCTTTGAGGAATAAAACAGTTGGCATAGAAGAAATTTCGTATTCTTGGGCAATTTCACCAAATTCATCAACATCAACTTTTATGAATTTAGCAGTGGCATATTCTTTGGCAAATTTGTCCAATAATGGAGCAATCATTTTACATGGACCACACCAAGTAGCGAAAAAATCAACAACGACTAAACCGTCGTGTGCTAAAGCATCAGTGAACTCTTGTTTGGTTTTAATAGCGTCAACCATTGTTATTTATTTAATTCGGATTATATTAAAGAAAAGAAAATTGATGAAAGGGAAAAAACAATCCAACCTTCCCTTATTTATATGTCCGTTCGTTGGTGTACGCTTTTCCACCGGTTTGTCATCAAAAAAACATTTGAAAGATGAGAGTAGTGCGTCCATTCAAATTACGTAATTTATTTACTATGGCTAGACTCGATGGCAGACGGGTGTACCGGTGTATTACCAGAGATTACAAATTTGCAACCGATGACCTTAGTAAGTTAGTTAGGTTAGCAGACAAGCAGTTAGTCAGATAGGCAGAGCGAGGTCATGGCATCTTCGAGAAGCTTCTGGTTGTTTTGGTCCAATAAGAGGGTAAGGACTCGCAGCTCTACTTGGAAGTAGTGCTGAATAATCCCAGAGTCAGCCTTGACTTGCTCAAGTTGCAGCAATTTGAGCTTAGAAGCTTCTAGTATGAGTTCGACAGCCAGTGCAGTGAGTTTTTTCAAGCTCTGTTCGTTGTCGTTACCGGTCTGTTCTAGTATCAGGCTGGGATCGACGTACTGCTCTTTCAAGTAGGTGACTCCCAAGCATTCTTCGGAGTAGACGAATTTATTGTTCTTTTCTTGATTTTTCAAGTTTGTAATGATTTCATCCACGCTTGCTTCGGCGGTTTGTTCAAATTGCGCTATATCATCCGTTTCCTCGGACCATTCTTTGTAGTAGTTTAATCCATCTATGAGCAAATAAGGTAATCTGGACGAAGCAAAGTCGATGGTGACTTGATTGTTGGTTCTAATCAAATTGATGCTCAAATCGATAAACATCCATTTGGAAATCAAATCGTAAGGCTCATTTGTAGTGTTTTTCATTTTGTTCAAAAGCTCATTGACGTATGGTGACAATGAGAGTGGGAAAATCTGATTTTCTTCATTATCAGGAACGAATCCATAACAGTTTAAAAAACTGTTTACCGAGTTATCCAGATGATAGCAAATGGTGATTTCAAACGCATCTTCTTTCACCTCATTGAGGTCCAACTTCAATATGACATCTCCGTTGTGTCTGTCCACATCGAAATACGAATTCGGCTTGGCTTCATGGTTGGCAAAGTCCAAAAACGGTACCAAGGTGGTATCGGTTGTGAAGTCTTCTTCGTCCTTATTGATTTCTTTTGGAATTTCCAAAACCCTCGATCTGATCGCTTGGGCATATTGGTAAAATAAGTCAAAGGGCAATTTGGATTCAAAATCCTTCATCACGCTCGAGATTTCTTTGTATAGCTCTTCGAAATTCGTCCTAATCAATTTCATGGTTCGTAAAGACTCTTCTCCGTGATCGTCGAAATTGTCCGGAATACATAGAACTTCAGTGCTTTTCAACACCTCAAGATACTGTAAGAGGTTCTGTAAATCGGGATCTGCTAAAGCTGATCCCGATTGCTTAATCAAATGAAATCCGGTAATATAGCAAAGAATAATCTCGGTTTCACTCTTCACTGGACACCTTTCTAAGATTCTGCTCAAGATGCTTGACGACTTTACATCGGTCTTTCTGAGTTTTGCCATTTTCTCTAATAACGACTCATAACTGTATAATGAACTACTGGGAATCCTCACCAAGTCCACAATTTCGTCTTGCTGTTTTTCAATATCCTTCGTATCGAAAAATAAACCAAACCCACCTAATGAACTCTCATCAACACACACGTTAGGGTGAACCCTAATGCCACTGGCTTGAACCCATTTCTCAAACTCATCAACTGACTCAAACCCACTAGGCTTGACCTTGCAAATTCCCATTATTGGATAAAGAATCCATCTTTTCCTACCCAACGTTTTTCTAAACTTCGTTTTCCAGTGCGTTCAAGCGAATTTGTCCAGTTTTTTGCAATCTTTTTAATCTTCTTGCAGTCACAGAGACAACGATCTGCTCCTTGCTGGACAAGTGTATTGAGCAGTCGTCATTGACTAGGAGGCCGAACAGGAACATCGAATTGGGATATAAACAGAAATATTGAAAATGGTTAGGGACATAATATTGAACAGAATTCAATGTATTTGAATTACTTTCCATGGTCTTGGCTTCCTCTTTTCTGCATTCCATAGGAGTTTCTCTATTTACAACTGCAACACCCCGGGATATCCATATACATCCTGGTACCTTGTCTATAAGTTAACCATTACTGGGTTGATTTCACTACTGACCGACATTCGCACAAGACTGCACTAAAAAGAAAAAGAGCAGTGAGGAAAAAGTCGAGAGAAAATTTTTGAAGACATAACGAAGGGAACAAGGTTTATCTACTTCACCATTAATAGCTTGATAGTTAGATAGAGATCAATACTATGTCTTGGGACGACGAAGATTTTGACATTCCAACCAACCCAAAGGTTGCTGCTGCTGCTGCTTCATGGGAAGATGAATTAAATGATGAGCCCTTGTTAGAATCTTGGGATGCTGAAGAAGAAGAAAAGCCAAAGAAGGCTACTCCAGCACCAAAAAAGAAGGCTGCTGCATCTAGTAAAAGTAATGTCGCTAAGAAACAACTTGATCTTGACAACGTTGATGAAAAAACCAGAAAAGAATTGTTGAGAAAGGCCGAATTAGATTCTGATTTGAATAATGCTGCTGATTTATTTGGTGGATTAGGTGTTGCTGGTGATAAAGCCCCAGTAGAATCATTTGATGTTAATGCACATCCAAGAGAAAGAGCTGCTCAAGCCAGTGCTTCTAAAACACCATCCAAACCGGTTTTAACTAAAGATACACCAATTGATGAACATCCATTGTTTCAACCAACTAATAAGCAAGAATTTGAAAAATTAAGAAAAGCAGTTGCACCAGCTTTAACTGGATTAGCTAAAGACTCTCAATTAATGTATGCATCCAACTTGGCTATTGATTTGATTAGAGATTTGACCCAACCTTTAAATGTTGAGCAAACTAGAAAAGCAATCTCTACCCTTAATATTGTTCTTAAAGAAAAGGAAAAAGCCGAAAGACAAGCTAGATTGGCTAAATCCGGTGGTACTGCAACTGGTGGTGCCGGTAAAAAGAAGGCTAAACCAGCTGCCAAAACCAACGTCAATGATTCTTTCAAAAAGGATCCTTTCGACGATATGGATTACAATGATTTCGACGATGATGACTTTATGTAAAACCCCTTTTCCAGTCTACAATATGATCTTAAATGATAAAGTCTTTATATTAATGCTTTTTGTATAAAGTACAATATACTAGTGTTATATTTTTTTTTTTTTTGTCTTGTTTGTCTTTATTCAAATATATAGAGTTGATTTAATAAATTAGAGTACATATTCATTTGATGAGTCTTTACATTCTTTGAGATCATTCCAAGGACGATCTAAAGTTGGTTTTTTGTAATGTCCTGGCTTACTTCCCTCAATGATAACTGGAACCATTTGACCAGTTTTCAACTCCCATTTACGATGTCCAATGACTTTCAAAATTGAACTTATAAGACCAGAATGAGAGGTGATTGAAATGACGGTGTTATCGTCTTTTTTGAAGATTTCATTCAATAATAAATGAGCACGGTAATTGCGATGTTGGTGACTTTCATGTTTATCTGGAATCCACAAGTCATCATTGAACGTAAATCCAGTATCGAATTTCACAAATGGGAAATTGAAGTCAATATAGCTTGCATTATGTCTCTTACTTTCTGTTCCGATTCCGTAAGTCTCCCTGGCTAATTCGACAACTTTTGGTTTAGAGTCATAAATGTTGATTAAATTAGACCAAGTCAATTCAAAAGTCTGTAAAGTTCTAGTTAATGGGGAGATGTAATACAGTTGTGGAATTGGAGCATTATTGTGATGGATTTGGGAATCCCAGGCCTTCGATAAGCTTTCTATTTGGCCCTCACCAGTTGAAGTCAATCTAGCATCAAACCATTCAATGGTTCCGTTGCCATCCTTCATTTGCCATTCACAGTTCCATTCCTTCGAGGAATAATACTCTTCGGCAACATTATGCCATGCTTCTCCATGTCTAGCAAGAAAGAAGAGCTTATATTGCTTCTTATGTCCGTGCTTGTTATTGAGTCTTTGAACTTCTTCAATAACGTCATTCCAAGTATGTTGATCTTCTAATCCAAAATCATCAATAATACTGAAATTCGAATCATCAGTTGATTCCTTCAGTTGCTTGAAGTACGAATCAATACTCTTATACTTCGTAAATACTTTCTTCCCCTTCTTATGCTTTTTGGATTCAATCTCCTCTGGAACCCTAAACACCGTCTGGGGAATACTTATAGCCATCACTTGACTGATAAACAAAAACGCCAAAATAAACTGATCCCACTTCATCCTTGTCGCTATGCTTTTTCTAACTCTTTCTTCCGTTCATCTCGGATTTCTTCTTCTCTTTATACCTCTTCTCAACTGATTTCATCGTTGTAAGGTCTTGTGACTCAAATCGTGAAACCCTTGTGGTTTACCACGTGTGGGAAATTGCAACCACAAGACCCGTGCACGCCAAAAGTTACAGAAACACGACACCCGACACACGACCTCAAAGTTGGAACAATTGAATCATCAACAGATTCCTCCTTCAAAAAACGGTGGAATTGTCTGATGTCAAGGATATATACCAACTCGCAGGTCTTTTGTCTATGTTCTGGCCAGTCTGTTGATGAGGAGACCAAACTTCCTTATGCGATCAATGAGCCGGGGTCCTGTCACCAATTGGCGAACTTACTTTTCTGTGCAAATTGTCAAGGGCATAAATGTAAAACCAACTGCTGCTCGTTTGATATAGAATGCAAGTTTTGTCCCAATTGTTTATTTGATTATACGGGATCCAGTGATATGGTTTGCTCGAAAAATTGTTTTGATTGCCCATTGTGTGATTCAACTTTATCAATAAGCGTAAGTGATGATACGTTGGATGGTAAACCAGGGAAGGTTTTCAAATTTAAATGTCTGCATTGTCGATACTCCTACAAAACGGGGATTATAACCAAACCTAAATCATTGATTAATATAATCAAATCTGAAAAAAAGAAAATCAATGCATTCCCACAGATATATCTGAAATTTTTGAATGGATATAATGATCTAGTAACATTACAACAATTACAACAACAACTGAATAAGAGACTGGTGAAAATGACCCAATCAAAAAAACAGAATAAGCATTTATCGGATAATATACTAACGAGAATGAAACAGATGAATGTTTCGAATGTGAATAAAGATACTTTTGACGAAATGGATATTCTCAAGCATAAAATTGACTCTAACCATTCAATCGAGCTAAATGAAGATCAAGATAAGCTTGATGCGCAACAAATAGCTTCCAAATCTGAGGGGGGTGGTTTTATTGCATACGAGCGTCAAGCAAAATTAAATATAGATATGTTGCAAAATATCAATGCAACTAAATCAGTAGGGAAAAATCTGGGGTTATTCCCGGTTGCCAAATCTCTTCGGGCTAAAAAATCTTATAAATGTTTGAATTGTAACACTCCTTTGGTGGTTCCAACGAAAGATCCTCTTCTGATAAAGTTTTTAACAAAATGGAATGCTATAGATTACTTACCCACAATTCAAATTACTGGTCTTGTCAATAAACCTTATCCAAAATCATTGAGGATTAATCACCTGGAGCCATTTATTATAAATGTCATGAATCCTTTAGAATACGATATTAGTGCATCTATCTTCATTTTATCTGAATTATCAAAGGGTTTTATCAATCTGAGATATGATTCTAACCAACCTTATGTAACTCAATTAACTTTACCGCTAACTAATTTTTCGGTTCCTGGTAATTCATCCTCCAATGATGACAAAACGCCCTATATAAAAACTATTCCAACCCCATTATTAACTCAAAATACCAAATTTTCAAGAGCAGAATTATTAATGAGATTGGGGAAACTCAATAGTCAAAACAAATCGGTTTCGCCAGATGAGTCTATTGATATAGAAAACACAATGATAGAAAAAGGTGTCAATTGGATCCTGATTCCAATTTCCCTAGTTGTTAATTATACCATGTCACAACTTTCAAATGTTGATTATGAAGATGAAGTTAATATTAAAATACCTTTTTATATCACCATAGAAGCCAAATTACCCGAAGAAATTAAAAAATTGGGAACATCTAAAAAAGGTCTTAAATATGGTTTTTGGAATATTGTAGATTTGGGTTCTTTTGCAATAAGTAATAATTAATTAAATCATTCTTGTACATATTATACGTATATTTATTTAGTAGTTTTCAAAAATCGAGTACCAATACCCCAGCAACTCTAGCTAGATGCCTAGTATCAAGCATGTTATTTGCAACGGTATCACCACCTCCTGTACTCACGGCCCGTTGTTGAGTGTTTGGTTCGGGGACCATATCAACGTCTATCTCATCGTCATCAAGTTCGAATTCGCTGTCTTGATTATTTCTATTGGTACTTTCACCAACTTGATCAATTCCATCTACTTGTCCAGATATTTCTATTTCCTTCAATCTTTCTTCATTGGAACGTATTAGTGCTTCTTTAATAAATAGTCTAATGTATTCTGAGGATAACTTGAGCGTATTTGATGTGATCCTAGTATTCTCCTTTCTAAACGAAACATCTTGAAATATTCGCGCAAGAGTAACTATGGGGATATTAGCCGGAGCTGTAGTTCTATTCTCTTCTTCACTCATGATGCAATTATCCTGAGTTCTTCGTAAAGGACCTTCTGCTGTATTTTTCAAGGTTTTCAGAACGCGTTTTGAAAAAAAAAAAAAATAGTAAGTGAAAAATCTACAGCTAAAACTTTAGTATGAAAATTCTGTTTGAATATATACAGTTGAATAAACTATTCTACTTTTTTATTGGGGTCCATCCTGAACACTTTATCAGGGTTTAATATTCTTTGAGGGTCAAGGGCCAATTTCAATTTTCTCATTACATCTATTGGAATCAGACCCAATTCTTCCTCTAGTAAGTCAATTTTACCGTAACCAATACCATGTTCACCCGTACAGGTTCCTTCTAATTCGATTGCTTTCTTTACTATATCATGAACAATACGCTCAGCTTTTGCATGCTCTTCAGGATGGTAAAGAATAAAGCTGTGAGCATTACCATCACCAATATGAGCAACCAATGTGTTTTCTAATCCAGCATCATCGATGGCTTTCTTAACTTCTACCAAGTACCGAGGAAGTCGAGAGATTGGGACGGCAGTGTCGGTCGTCCACAATTGAATGTCATTATTTTTCAATTTCCCTTGATTAATTGTTGACCAAAGAGCTACTTTTCGTGCGGACCATAATTCAACAGTTTCTTCTTCATTAGAAGCAAACTGGAAATCAAGTGAGCCATGTTGAGCACTTATTTCCTTCGTTTGATTGATTGTCGATTTGACCACTTCATCGTTGGATCCACCGATTTTGAGAAAAAGTGTAGGAGCTTGCGTCCATTTTCTAGTAGTTTCACCCGAATCATTGACGCATTTCATCATTTTATCATCCAACAATTCGATTGCATTTAAATTGATACCCGATATTAAAAACTCATTTACTGAGTTAGCTGCGTCTTTGATGGTTTTGAATGGGACAACGGCCACTCGTTCAACTTTAGGTTTAACGTGCAATTTCACGGTAACTTCAGTTATAATCCCCAAAGTACCTTCTGAACCGGTGAAAAGACCATTTAAATTATAACCAGCACTTGTCTTTCTAGGTCTTTTTTTAGTTCTAACTACTGTACCGTCAGCCAAAACAACAGTTAATGAAACAACATTGGCGAATGCAGCTCCGTATCTAGTTGCGTTAGTACCAGACGAGTTGTTGGTTACACAACCTCCAACTGTAGCGCCTGGACCAGGGTCAACAGGGAACATTAGCCTATAGTCCTCTAAGTAGTCATTCAAAGCTTCCCAACCTAGCCCTGCTTCCACTGTAATATCTAAATCGGTCGGTTTAAAATGAACAATGGCATCCATATTCGATAAATCAAGACTTATCCCACCTCTTGTAGGAATGAAGTGTCCTTCTAATGAAGACCTGCCCCCAGTGGCAACCACTGGGATTTTGTATTCATGGCATAATTTCAATATTTCAGAGACCTGAGCAGTCAGACGGGGAAAAAGGACATAATGAGATCTTTCATTATCTAAAGCATGGTGGGTGTTAAAGTAAGTATCTGCGTGTTCATCAAGCACCGATTTCTCGTGACTGATATACAATCCTTCATCATAGCTTTCACCATTTTTCAAGTCTGATTTGAAAATTTCTCGAATTTTATCAACTGCTTGATCAATTTCTTTATCAGAGGCATACTCAGGCAGCTCCATTTCATTTAAGGATATAGTAGATTTGAGGGCTTTTCCCTTTATATCATTTTGGTATAACCAAGCACCGAATATGGCACCACCAGCAAAGATTATGGTTTTACCCAAAACCCCATTTGCAAATAGATTTGTTGGAGCCAAAGGAGATGAAGAAGATTGTTTAGAGTTGCCGGAATTGCTGGAATTTAATCGACATTGAACTTTCACTTGTGGTCTTCTTACTCTTAGGCATCGATATACCCCAGTTGACCTTTTCACTAAGGAATTTATTGACATGGTACCGACTTACCAAATACAAGAAATGAAGGCTCAATTGTCTTTATTATCAAGAGTGTTTGAACGGACCACTATCGGCTAATCTGGGTATTGTAGATCCAGTCGTGTAGCGAACAATATCTCCTCATCGATGTTCCGGAACGAGTAAAGAGGTCCGTTACAACTTCTGACTGGTTGGAAAGACAGATGCCAACCTTCTAACCTATAGTTTAAAGTATGTTCCAGGAGGTGAAAATATAAGAAAATGGACTGCAAAAGATTTTTGCATCAATTTTTCTCGATAGGGTGTTGTGCTGCTTATGTAATCGCGATCATCAAATGAAGATTTAGCAGCAATTATAAGTGACAGGCTAGGAGAGCAAGGAGGTGTTAATGCCAATGTGGATCGAGGAAGTTGAGGTAATTTTGCAGGAGGTAAATGTAGGGTTATAGGGAAGAAAAGAAGAGATTGAGCTACCGAAGAGTGTTATCGAAGAGCTACTAAAAAGCTACTCAAAAGCTACTCAAAAGCTACCAAAGAGCTACCATAAAGCTACTAAAGAGAGTCACAGAAATTGAGCTACCGAGAGTTTTATCGAAGAGATTCTAAACTGAAGTACCACAGTGAATGATGAAGAAGCAATTAGTTGGGGAGGTTAATCGAATGATGTTGTGCACATTAGCAATTTACCCTTTATGTTAACTTTGCTCTCCATTAGTTGCGAAATTTATTGGATGACAGGTGACAGTATATATATGGGGACGGTTTCCCCAAGGATTCCGATTATGTTGAAAGTACACACTGCAAAATGATTAGATCGTCACCAGTACTCAAAAGAAGTCCAGTTAAACAGTTACTTTTCCGTCGTAATGTTGCCAATCCACGGATTGAAAAACCAGAAGTACATAAGACTACCTTAACCTCGCATGAAAAGCCCAGTGGATTTTCCAGTGCTAGTATTAAGAACGGTAATGTTGATCAGCCATTATTCCCTAAAGGAACGTTTTGGAGAACGTATAGACAATCGATTTCTGGATTTATTGGGGGGTTAGCCCTGGCTCTTTTCATTATGTATCTTTGGCCGGTTGCAACCATTAAGGCCAGTGATACTATTGGTGGGGTTCCATCGAGAGGCGAAACTGCTGCAGTTGGATACAACCGACTCACGAAAGAAGTTGATGTTAATATTCCACAAACGTATGCCCATAAGGATAAACCGGTTGACGATGAATGAATGCATATAGAAAATATACGATTATATGAGACAACCGTGTAGACTGACTTGTGCTACTATCTTACAATGCACAGGTTTATGGAGAAATTAATTAAACATCTAGGTACACAAATTAAAGGATATATAATTAATAAAAACATCTAAATACACCGATTAATGGATAAATTGTTTTTGGTAGTCGAGTTGTTCCTTCTTTTGTTCGACGTCAGAGTCATTAACGAGATCATCATCAATGGCTCTTTCCTTTTCTAAATCGACAACTTCATCAGTACCAAAATGACCGGTCCAACCATGGTCCAATAAGTAATTTTTAAATTTGATATCTTCTTGCATTAAATCATCATCTTTTAATTGAGGAATAAAGAACCAGCCCACCAAGACCCCAACTAACCCACAAATGGCAGCAATGATAAACGTCCAACCCTGACCCAAGTTATCTTCAATTGGAGTGAAAACTTTAGTACCAACCACAGCACCAACTTTACCAATAGCAGCGGAAATCCCATAAGCGGTACCCCTCATTGGAGTAGCAAAGGATTCCGAAGAAACAAGACCCATCATACAACCAGGACCCAAATTACCAAAACTCATAAAAATCCCATAAAAAACAATGAATAAAGGAACAATATTTGAAATTTTCTTAAAGGCAATTCCGATAATAAGACCAAAAACAATATAACCAGAAAACCCAAGACATAAAGTGTTTCTACGACCAATGAAATCACAAATATAGGCCCCGATGAAAACCCCGGGTAAACAAATGGTAGTCAAGAGTAAAGTCCATTCGGCAGTCTTCTCCAAATCACCTTTAGCAGAACCTTTCAAAACATTTGAAATAATGGTTGCGGAAAAAATCCCATTGGGGAAAGTGACAAAATCATACAAGAACCAACAAACACAAGTACCAAATAAACGTTTCCAGTAAAACTTGAAGGCCAACCAGTAAGGAACGTTACGGTTAATTTTTGATTTCTTAAACAAAATTGAACTGATCAACTTCATTCTAAAGTAGAAAACCGATAATGGTAAAAAGGCCCCAATGGCGTACATTGCTCTCCACAACCCATCGTGAACTTTTGTAATTTGGTATACAATCAAAAAAATGCATAATGCCAAAGGCCCACCAAAGGATAACGGGAAGTTTGTACACATGACAAAGGGGAACCCTCTACGTTTATGCGATTCATTAGCAGCTTCGTTGGCACTGACTGAAGAACTGGGGTATTCCGCACCAATTCCAAAACCAGTAACTCCTCTCGCGATAATCAACATCCAAAACATCCCATAATCAGTTTTACCATGGGCAGCCGCACATAGGATAGTCCCCAAAATTAAGAAAAGAGTAGCAATGACAATGGCAGTCTTACGACTGATCAAATCCGTAGCAAACCCAATGGCAACCTGACCCAAAATGGTCCCCACCGTGGATGCATTGGAAACGGCAGCTTTCAAATCGGCATCGTAAGTCTTGGGGTACAATTTAGTAAAAGTTGGATTCAACATGGTCATAACGTTATTCTGGTAACCATCACTAATCAAAGCAAAACCAGCACAGAAAATCGTCAAGATATCGGTCAAGTTTGGCTTCTTATTGAAACGAGACTTTCTCAACTCCTCATCGTAAATAAAGTGTTTTTTGGCTTCTTCGCTGGAAGAAACCGACGACGTAGATCCAACTTTGGCAATGGGTTGATTTTTTTCGTCTTCAATCATACTAATCTCGGTCTGGTTTTTCATCCACTGTTCATTTTTCAGATCAGCGAATATACCCTATTTATTAATTTATCAGTCCATTCCCCTCTAGGCGTAATTAATTTCATTTGGCATTAGGCTAATTTAGCAATAGGTTTTGTTCTGCATCCTGGACCTTTTTGGTTTTTTTTTTTTTTATTTTTACGTGTGACACATGGGGGGGAACTGGCCCTCATTACACGTGGGGCACCTTATCTACTGATAGCGAACGTGGATATACGATGCTTACAATACCTTGCCAGCCAGGACAATACCCAGCACCACCCAGCACCTTAGCCTTGTCGGGTCGAGAGCGGGCAGGTTGGGCTGTCTCGAACGATTTGCACCCATCATTTAAAAATATGTCAGTGAAGCGCATTGGCGAGTCCGTGGGGGTCGCGTGCGTGGAGTTACCGGTACACCATCACATCATCGAGTCTGCGTCCACCAGGACATGTTGTATGTTGGTGTCTATGATGATTGTGTTAATTCTGTTCATATTCATGTTTATGTTCATGTTCATATTGGTAGTTCATGTTCATGGATGTTCATGGATGTTCATGGATGTTCATGGATGTTCATGGATGTTCATGGATGTTCATGGATGTTCATGGATGTTCATGGATGTTCATGGATGTTCATGGATGTTCATGGATGTTCATGGATGTTCATGGATGTTCATGGATGTTTATTTCATATATGCCATGGTTCAGTTGTCTACTCATGAAGTGACAGGCTTGGCAATGTAGATGGGCTAAATAACCCACTAGGGCTGTTTGACGTTTATATGAATTATTCAATTCGCAGTTGCAAGAAATACCGCAACACCGAGCTGATCACGTTACTGTTGTGTACTTGAACAATTGCAAAAGCCCCAGATATCCAATAAGATCGCAATCTTGTCTTACTCGTTTATGCTATTTACGATTTATTAATAGCACTTCTATTTAAAAAATAGAATACTCGTTACACCAAATCCCGTAGTCATTACAATGCTCTGACCGTTGGTTAGTATAAACGAATCAATCTACTCACTCTAACGATCCTCAAGAGTATATAAAGTGGTGCTTTTTCATTTGGTTAGAGAAATTTCCCGTTTGTTTAGCATCAATAATGAAATTCGCTACTCTTTTATCTACCGCCGCCGCCTTATTCTCCGTTTCCAACGCTTTAAACCTCTTCGTTGAATCCGAAGACCACACCCAAACCGGTAAAAGAATCGACGCCTACCATCAAGGTGCCGGTATCTCCTACTTTGTCTTAGACACCGCTGGAGCTGAATTCACCTACCATGAAAACAATAACACTTTGGCCTTGGCCGATGTTCCTGATTACTTGGTCAACGTCCAAGACGATCACGTTGTTGAAGTCGGGGTTCTTGGTGCTGCTGATATCTCCATCCAAGATGGTTACTTGGCCTTAAACGGTACCACCCAAGGTTTCAGAGCCTGTGATGAAGTCGACACTCCTTACCACTACGGCTTACCAGTTGTTCTTTTCTCCACCGAAAACGAAGACTTCGCCGGTAAAAGCTGTACCCCAATCAAACTTAAGGTTGGTTACCACAAATCTGCTTAAATCAGTTGATAGTTATTAAATTAAATAGATAAATATATATATACATTTTTTTTTTTTTTGTTGATTTACTGCAAATATCCGAATGTTCGCTTATGTAATCGGGAGAATTTTCCGCGGGGGTTCAGCCAATTACTACTGACTCACTCCGATTACTCATAATTATGGGGTAGAACTTATATAAGGGTAAAGAAAAATTTTTCACTTTCCTGGATTCATATTTTCTTTAGTTCCAATAGTTCATCATGCCTATGTTAAAGGATCCTTCTACCAAGTATAAGCCATTTCCTCCAGTCAACTTACCCAACCGTCAGTGGCCAAGTAAGTGCCTTGAGAAGGCCCCTCGTTGGTTATCGACCGATTTGAGAGATGGGAATCAATCATTACCTGATCCCATGTCGATTGCTGAAAAAAAGACCTACTTTAACAAGTTGGTTGAAATTGGTTTCAAGGAAATCGAAGTTGCCTTCCCGGCAGCTTCTCAAATTGATTTTGACTTCACTAGATACGCAATTGAAAATGCTCCTCCCGATGTTTCCATACAAGTTTTAAGTCCTTGTCGGGAAGATTTGATCAAAAGAACCGTTGAAGCAGTGAAAGGGGCTAAAAGGGCAACCATTCATATCTATTTAGCCACTTCAGATTGTTTCCGTAACGTTGTTTTCAATATGACTAAACAACAATCTTTAGAATTGGCAGTTAAATGTACTAAACTAGTTAGATCATTAACTAAAGACGTCGACTCAAATACCGACTGGGATTTCGAGTTCAGTCCTGAAACTTTTTCCGATACCGACTTGGAATTTTCGGTGGAAATTTGTGAAGCAGTTAAGGCCGCTTGGGAACCTTCTGAAGCAAAACCAATCATTTTCAACTTACCGGCAACGGTGGAAATGGCCACTCCAAACGTTTACGCCGATCAAATCGAATACTTCAGTACCAACATATCCCACCGTGATCAAGTCTGTATTTCCTTACATCCTCATAATGACCGTGGATGTGCAGTGGCTGCCGCTGAACTAGGTCAAATGGCCGGGGCTGATCGTATTGAAGGTTGTTTATTCGGTAATGGAGAACGTACCGGGAACGTCGATTTGGTCACTTTGGCTCTTAATCTTTATACCCAAGGTTATACTCCAAATCTTGATTTTTCAGATATCAATTCGGTTATTGATGTCGTTGAAAAATCAAATAAAATCCCTATCCATGCAAGAGCACCTTACGGTGGTTCTCTTGTTGTTTGTGCATTTTCTGGTTCTCATCAAGATGCTATTAAGAAAGGTTTTAATAACCGCCAAGTTAAAAATGAACAATTTTGGAAATTACCCTACTTACCCTTGGATCCAGAAGATATCGGTCGTACTTATGAAGCAATCATTAGAGTTAATTCTCAATCCGGTAAAGGTGGTTCTGCTTGGGTCATCTTACGTAACTTGGAATTAGATTTACCTCGTGGTCTACAAGTTGAATTTTCAAAAGTTGTCCAAAATCAAGCTGAAATTAAAGGTCAAGAATTGTCAAATCAAGAATTATGTAATCTTTTCAAAAATGAATACTTCATTGATACTCCCGATAAAGAATATTATAAATTGGTTGATTATTCAATTTCAAATTCTTCCAGTGGGGAAAGAACTATCAACTTCCAGTTACTCATTGATAATAAACCAGTCGAAATCTCCGGTAAAGGTAATGGGGCAATCTCCTCCTTTGTTAATGGTATTAAAAACTCTTTGGGTATATCTTTAGATGTTAGACACTATCATGAACATTCTTTAGGTAAAGCAAGTGACTCAAAAGCCGTCACCTATATCGATACAGAGGTCAATGGTGAATACATTAGATGGGGGGTTGGTATCCACGAAGATGTAACTCAAGCTTCCTTCTTATCAATTATTTCAATCTTAAACGGTATAAGAAGAAAATGATTTGATTTTCGCACTCTTAAAGATTTGATACTTCCAAAAAAAAAAACAGAAATAGGTCAATAAAATCTTGTAATTTATAGTCATTTCAATTTTTAATAAACGTCAAATAAAGATAAAAGTAGATCATGTCTCAACAAGATATCGGTGAAACATATAAGCAAATAAATGAAGCCGAAAAAAGGGCTGATGCTCTTGAAAAAATGCTTGATCAGTTAGATGCTAAAATGGACTCAATCTTACAAGAAACAGAATCAATAAATAAGGTTGACACCAATGGAAAAGAAGCTGCTGATGCTGAAAAGAAAGATTAATAATTTTCCTTTTTTATTATACATGAATTGATATTATATCTCTTTATTGGTAAACTCTATTAAGAAAAGAAAAAAAGAAAAAAAAAAAATCTGTCTATATATATCCTAGTTATTTAATAAATTCATCAATTGGCCTCTGGTAATAAATTCAGGTTCTTCAGTGGTTTCGAAAGGGTTATTTGGTAGTCTTGGGTTGATGATTTTTTCTAAATCACCTTCTTCTTTATTACTCAATGCACCAATTTGAATTTTGGCGGGTTTCCCGCCCTCTAACCACCATTTATGAACATCAGAACTTGGTGGGGGTAATGCTTGATCATCAATATCATTAATTAAAAATGAAACATCGTTGTTCGTAAGAAATAAATCGTTGATATCACCCATCGATTTACGATAGTTCTCATAAAGATCTAAAGCAAGATTCTTCCTGATATTTTCGTTGATTACGTTAACTGATAATTGATATATTGCAATCACCGGACGATGATCACTAAAAATAATATCTTCACAGCAGTCATATACTTCTTGTTTAATGATTTTTTTTCTTGACATGTTTAATATACGATCAGTCCACGCTGGAATACGTTGTTTTTCGGATGTATCATAAACTTTGGTACCATTATCATACTTATAAGTAGGAGGAAATTTAATCTCCATTTCATCAAAAAATGGGAAGGTTTCACCATTTGCCATTTGTTTATTTAATTGATCATATTCGAATAATTTATTGAAATTTTTTAAATCAATTAATGGTTTAACTTGTTCATTTGGTAAACCAATTCTAAAATTGAAATCTCCTAACCATATAACTGCATCATGATCTTTTATATTTCTGTTTTTCGAAAATTTTATACCTTTCACTAAAGTTTTATAGTTTTGATGACGTTCTTCAACATTACTTAAACCAGCAGCTAAATGTGAAGAAACTAAACATATGTCAGTGTTTGCATAACTAAAGCTAACTGCAACACCACCTTTATTGGCACTATAACCTCCAAGACCGGTTTTTTTGTAATTCCCTTCAACATTACTAATATTTTTAAGCTCTTTTTCCTTAATGAATAAAAGTAAAGCTATACCTCCAATTTGACCTGTCCATAAACTTACATATTTGAATTTTTCTGGATTATATTGATCAAGAGTCAGCTTGATTTTCTTCTCCCAAAAAAGTCGATTTACTGTGTCAGTATTGACCATTTGACCAGCAGTTAGTTCCACAATTTCTTGAAATCCAATAAAGACAATATCGTAACTAGTTTGAATATTATGCTTTGAAGGAAATAACCATTCCTTAACATCTTCTTCATGGCAAGTTCCATTAACATTAAAAGTGCTTGCAAATAATTTTATATTTTTAAAGGAGCTATATTCTTTAGAACGTTTGTTTAACTCTTTAATGACATAATCATGGATTGGGTTATGTAAAGTAACACTTACTTGATCTTGCAATCTACCTAGTAATTTCAACATGGCGGTTTCATTAGCTTTAGGATCGACCACCCCACTCAAGTATTTTTTGGTGAAATGAGATTTAACTGAATTCTTTGTTGATGCAGCACTTGAAGCTTGTAATTTTGAAGAGTAAGTTAAGAAATTTAGGGTAATTTTATTAATATGTTCTTCATTTTCTTGCCAAAGTTTAGCGTGTTTAATATATAAGTCGGGGTCGACTTGAATGCCAATATCTCTAAAAGCTAATTCAATAACTTCTTGACTTATAATTTTAGATATGAAATTAGCTTTATTTAAGCCGTCAAAGGAGTTAACTCTGAATACTCCTAATTGTTTACCGGTATAATGTTTTTTATTGATATCGTAAAATAAAGCACCAAAATTAATAATTGGATCGACCAAAACAGGAACGATTTCATAAGGATTTGAGGAATTATAACCAACTTTTTTCATTAATGAAGTTGATATTGGTAAATTTGTACAATTTATTGTATAACTGGTACCAGTGACTCTTTCGTCAGTATGCTCGTTAAAATGCTTGATATGTTGTCTATAAGAATCATTAAGTTGACCTTTATAGCTTTTAAAATTTTCTGATAAAGCATTTATAACATGAACTTCACTAAATTGATTCACTAAACGATCGAAATGACGAGTGAATGCATGTTGAGAAGCTTCAAACGATCTTGGGTAAGTAATCTTTTTATTCTTCGATAATAATTTTTTCTGGGAATTATCCAATTCCCAATAAATAGGTACATTACCTCTTACTATAACGTATGCAAAAACAAATTTTTCTGTATATATGATAACTTCAGTTTCAACGTAGTTAGAAACAGCACCATTATCATCACACCCCCAATCACCGAATAAAGGACCATTTTTAATACAAGATTGTTTAGAAATAAGCGTCAATAGAGCGTCTTCGTCACCTTTAACTTTAGTATTGACCGTTTGAGCATAACCTCTAGTGATGACAGTTAAAAACCCGGTATTATCAAAGACATTTTGTTCAAAAATTGATAACCTATTTCTGAATTCCATTAGTTCGGAAATCATAAAAGAATTCCAAGTAAATCTGGTGAAATAAGAAGAATCTGCTATTAATTTAAATTTTAAAGAATCATGTAAAAACCCACGTTCTTGAACATTAGACGTTATATCAAATTCAGTTGAGTAATAGAAGCAACCCAGAGATAAGAATTTCCTTACTGAAGCTGCAGGATATTCTGAAGTAATTCTTTCTTCAACGTTATTCAGTTGTTGTTGGGGTTGTTGAGATTGTTGATGTAATTGAAGTTGATTATCGTTAATCAAATGATCAAATTCATCATTATTAAGACAATAGAAATCCACCCCCGTAATTTGATTGATTTTATGATCAATGGTTGGAGAAGCTGCAGTTGTACTACTAGTGATGAACCCCAAATAGATATTACTTTTAACGTTAAGAAATCCAATAAAACCCAATAATTGTTTATTCGAGCGAGATTTACGAGGAGTGATGTCTTTATAAGAAGAAAGATTTAAAAGCTCCAGTCGAACAAATTCCACAATTACTTTATTGGAAGAGGCTGAATCTTTATTCGAATTCCCATTTCGATGATGAAGATAATGATGGTGGTGTTTATAAGTGGGAGAAGGGTGTCTAATGATTAATGCATAGCCGTTACTGACAAGAAGAAAGGATCTCGGCGTCTCATTAAGATAGAGTTTCATTCTATCAAATGACTGGTGGTTCCCTGTTTCTGGTCTCTTTTCAAACTGTTCTATTTTTAAAAATAGGCGACTTTTAATATAAATGCAATCGAGAAGAAGAACGGTTTGCCCAGGTCAATGAATCAGTGGGAGGCTCGAAGTGGTTTCAATAAAGAGCTTAAGATATGTCAAGATCAATAGACGAACATTACAGCCTCTCTGTCACAATAGAGTGACAGAGCTAACCGCTCTAAAATGTTGTCAATATCCTGCAGGTAACCCCCCACCTTTGGCTCTTTGGTGAACGGGTGTTTGTGTCACTTCGATATACTTACATAGTGTTAGATTGTATATAATGACTGAGTTAGAACTTACGAACATTGATTAGAATACCTGGATCCTTCTTTATCTTATTGCAGACACATCCATAATTAGCCCTGTCGAGTCCTTGTAGTGTGCCACAACTTAGCAATTGCCTTTTGCAATTGGTGCACTATTACAACTTTACTACTGTAGCATTGACGTATATAGTGATGGTTCTGTTCAACAACTAATGTCTTTTAGAATATCTCTAGCATGACTTCAATGAAGTCGTGAAAGCTTGTCTTTATCTCTTCTTACACAGTATCCGGGATATCTGACTTCAGTAAAGTCTCCGCCCGTGTTGATAATATCATAGCATCTGAAGACGCCATCTCTGAGTAGCAAGTTCCAGTGAGGACGCTCATCTTCAAACACAACATAGAAGAGATACCTAGCAGTACTTGTGGAATCATAGTCGTAAAGGATAATGCTAGCATATTCTTCGCGATCGAGTCTGAGCGAGAATCGGTAATTTGACAATTCTCCAATCCACAATTCAGAGGAAGGAGAAGGTAAGTCTAAGTCACGAATGTTTGGAGTCATATTGGAAATCTTTCGTGGCTTCCAAAATTCAGGAGAGGCTTTTCAGTAGAGAATTCAGGGATACTTTATGCTGATTACTTATTTGTTGTAGGTTTAGCTTATTATACAAAACAGTTTTTACAGGTTACTATATAATTGCAAAACCTTAGCACCATAGTTGATGGTTACCGATGTTTAAAGTACTCGATACTATTTTATGGTCATATCTTTAGGTTATAACGATCTGACACTCACTCCTTATTGTAATCTTAGGTTTCCTCTTACTGTAAATATTAGAGCAACATTCTAGTATATGAGAGAACAATTTTAAGTTATTCCTTGTGTTGTAAACTTTAACTACATACACTTTCGAGACATAGTGTCAATTTGACAAGTAAATGGTTAAACACTGTCCTATGAATTCATATACTCATACTTATACTCATACATAAACTGATGCATACATATACTGATGCGGCCATTACTACTTATACATATACTCAACCCATATAATGTAGGCTGACATAGCCAGATCAAGGTTCATTGCTTGCAGACAATCGAATCCCAAGATAAAGGACCCTTCGAGAGAATGTTCCTAAAGAAACGTACAATGAATATTGTGAGGAAACCGCAAAAACTGCCCAAAACCGATGAACGTAAGCAGCAACAAGGGTCTACACTAATGTGGCCGACCTGGCTCAAAAGAACGCATCCTATATGGACACCAAAACAACATGGGAGCACGCAAGTCTGCTTAAGCTCAAGGCAACTGAGCCAATACTGGTCCAATGCATGGATCGTTGCAAAACGATCGAGCGACGAAAAGAGTAGCCTCCCAACCCTTCGTCTCCGCTTCCACCACTCCATATATTCAAATACAATCATATACAATCAGCAAGTATACAAGTATACAATCATATACAAGTATACAAGTATACAAGTATACAATCAACAATCAATAAGTACTCAAGAGTACAATATCCAAAGCTTCTTCAATTAATTAACTAAAAAAGGCAAGTATGCAGTACGTAATACTGTTTATTTGGATAAAGTCCCAATTTGGAAAGGCAACGAGACTTTCGCATCTTTGATGGAAATCAGCTATTGAAATTCATTATAGTTAATAGGTAAACATATAGAAGAGAATATCTCTTTGATGGATTGTAAATTTCATTAATAACCGATATAATAAGTTTTCTTCCTTCTTTTTCATTTTCCCAACTCTTTTCTTCCTGGGTTTATGGTGGATAATTGAGTTAGTATCAGTTTTTGTTCATCACTTTTGGTTAATCATTTTTGTTCTTTTTTGCCAGTAACTACTTATTACTTCTACTTCACAACGAAACTCCTTATTCAACTAGCTTTTTGTTACAGCTTCCGCAAAGTCTGCTCTTCCCAAAAGCTTCAGCACGAATTTTAAAAACCATCAAGTATTGAAAGAATCCTTTTTTTGTTCTTCTTACTATTATTATTATCATTTTCACTTAATATTTAGATATAAGAAAACCAGTTTAAAAGAATGGAGTATAATGGTAATTGGCTTAATGCTAACAAGTCCATTCCTCTTCCAACTGAAGATTTTGATCAATACTTCTCTCATTATAATGAAATTGATGATCTTTTCAATGAAACATTAACCGGATTACAAGACTTAGATGTTCCTTCGGGATTTGCCCATCTTGACTCAAAGCAAAACAATAATTTAATTCTTGATGCTTCAAATAATTTACCTTATTCTTCAACTTCGAGTTCATCTCATAGAGCTCAACATTCTCAAAGTGCATCTCCTCAATCAAAACATTCAAGAAAAACTAGTGGGACCGCTATTTTCGGATTTGCTGAACATAATAGTGAGTTCTCTCTCAATGGTATTACATTAGATTTGAATAAGTCAGTTAAACCAAGTGTGGATTTATCTAAATCAGTAATGCCTGGAGAATTATTGAAAACTTTAAATAACCCTCAAACAAAACTTCAACAATCTTCTCCAAATCATAAAGCAAGCAACTCTCAATTAGATTTTAATTTTTCAAACAATCATTTTGAAAATTCTCCTAAAAAAATTCATTTAAAAGAAGAAGATGAATATGAAGATGAAATTAAAGAACAAAAAAAATTAGGCTCTCCTTTGAAACAACAACCTAAAAATGAAGATTATATTGTAACTAATCAGAATCCAGTTTCTTATAAATTTCCTCCTTCTCCTCCTCCTCCTTCTTCGTCTCAAAACTTGCCTCCTTCTGCTCAATCTCTTCATTCAAATTCCAGCAATCGCTCGGTTAATAGTTATTCGGTGAAATATTTAAAAGAACTTACTCGCTTTAATGGTTGGAATTCTGCTGGTTCCAAAAATTCAAGTGGTTCTCAACAACAACTTCAACCTCCGGTAACCTATGTTGATGATATTGAACCTCTCTTGAATGATGATCTTTATCCTGAACCAATTCAATCCCCTTTCCAACAAAAATCATCTAATAATAACCAAGATATGTTACCAAATCAATCAACTCCTTTTAAAAATAATCAATCATCTCTTCAACCAAATCAAGAATTGAAATTTGTTCCAATTCCAGTTCAAAATCCAACAGATTTTGGTAAAAGAAATGATTTTAATTCAAAACAAATACCAGATATTAACTTGAAAAATTCTGAAAGTTTATTTTTACCTCCTCCCTCTCCTCCAATGTTATCAAATGGTTCTCCAGAATGGCAATCTTCTCCTGAACCTCAATCTCCTTCTCCTTCGAGAGTTACTTTAAATCAAGGTTATTACAGTAATACAAGTACTATCAGATCAAACGCTTCCCAATTCTTATCCCCTCCTGGTAATCAAAATAATAGAAATAGTAAAAATTTTTATAACCCTCAATACTTTTCCGATAGTATTTATGAAAATGAAGGAGGTTCTTCGAATAATATGGCATTTCAACAACAATCTAGTTTGCAATTTCAAAATCAATCTTCTCCTGCTTATCCAGGTTCTTTAAATTCTTCACCAGTAAGATTCAATTCTTCTCCTTTAAGAAATGTTCACACAACTAATGACGATACGGTCGATGCTAACGCTACAATTACTCAATTAACTCCTTTGAAAAACCAACTTCCAAATACTCCTAATCGTAGTAAAATAAAATTAGAATGGAGTCCTATTATTTCTCCGAATGCTAAATCGTCAACTGATGTTAGAAAAGCAATCCAACAATCATCTCCTCGTCGTAAAATAAAGAAAACTTCTTTATTACCTCCTGGAGAACTAGATCAATATTGGGAGGGCCCGGATGAAAATAAAATCTTCACTTGTACTTATAAAAATTGTGGTAAAAAATTTACTAGACGTTATAACGTTCGTTCTCATATTCAAACTCATTTAAGTGATAGACCATTTGGTTGTTCTTATTGTCCAAAGAAATTTGTTAGGCAACATGATCTAAATCGTCACGTCAAAGGTCATTTGGAAGCAAGACATTGTCAATGTCCTTGTGGTAAAGAATTTGCTAGATTGGATGCTATGAGAAAGCATAGGGCTAGAAATATCTGTTCTGGTGGAATTGCAAATTCTGAAAATAATTGCATAACAAAACCTCAAAAAAGTCGAAAAGGTGTTGCAAGTCCTGAGCTCTTGAATGAATTCACTACAGATAAACTTAGTGACGACCTAAATTCAGCATTAAATGAACACCAAGGACTCCAACAGCAGTTCCAACCTCACCAATTTTAATAATTCCCTTAATGATTTCTTACCCACATGCTATGGTTTAGCTTTTTTTTTGGCCTTTTTGACTTCCATTCTTATCTTCCCTTTGTTATGACCTATTGCCTTTCATTTTGTCTTTGTTTTGTTTTATCGTTTAATAATGTTTTGTTTTATCTTCCATCGTTTCAACTTGTTTTTCTTTTCGGTTCTTGTGAGTAATTACAATCATTTTCATTTAAAATTACTTTCAAAAATTCATTTAATTCTCGATTTGACTGTTCAGTCTGCAACTCTCACATTGCCTTTTTTTTCTATAATAAATAATGTGATTTATATAAAACTATATAAGTAAAATAAATTAGGCCCTAATGTTTAAAGAACTGAAATATGCCATAAAGAAAGGGTCTTTTAAAGCCATAAAGAAAAAAAGAAAAAAATATGATAATTAGAGAGCTTGATTCAAAAAGCTATACACTTTTAATGATCTATTTCTTGTTTGATAGCGGCCTTTTGTCGAGCCAATTCAGCTTCAGCTTCTTCTTGTTTATGTATCTTTAAGTGCTGGTTTAAGTTATCAGATCTACTAAACTTTTTGTTGCAAATAGCACAATCGTAAGGTTTTTCAAAAGTGTGTAGGGATCTAAAATGTCTCTTAAGATGTTCTTGTCTCTTGAATCTTCTGGAACAATAATTACACAAGTATATTTTTGACAGATCCAGTAAGTCAGCTTCCTTGTTCTCTTTACGACCCCTAACCCTACTTTTCGAATTGATTATGCTTGAAGGGAAAATTTTAGTGTTTGGAGGTAAATCAAGAGATTTCAAGTCAACTTCAACTTCGACACCTTTGGATATTATTGTAGCAACGTTACGAGTATAGTCTTCAGAACCTTCACTTTCCATGGATTTAAGGGAGGTGTCGAGACTAGTTCTTGAATCTGGTCTGAGTGCTTCTTTTTGAGATTCCTTTTCTTGTTCAACCTCTAATTTCTTTTGTTGTTGTTTTTGGTTCTTTTTCTTCAGCATTAACTTCGACCCGAGTATACGCATAGAAGCATTTGCAAGAGACGAAGTAGTATTAGTGTTTGGAGTTGATGCACTGGTTGAAGTAGTGAGCTTCTGATCAGCATCATCATTATTAATATTCATGGCATTAAGGGATGATGAAGCATTGGATGATGACACACTAATATTCAGGTGGTGGTCGTTGCTATGAACATCACCAACTGGAACGTTCAACACGGATGACTTTTCGGTATTGGAATTAGAATTATTATTACTAGTAGAAGGTAAATTATTATTTGAATCATTTTCGTTCTTCACTTTTGGTTTAGACTTAATATAAGTGGAAGGATTTACAATATTTTTTCTTTTACCAACTTTTTCGAATAATGCAGCATAATCTGGTTGGATATTGCCTTGATTTTGGTTAATCTGTTGATCTTGAGATGCAATATTAATTGAACTGTTCCCGTGAGACTGGTCCAGCGAAGAAGTATAATTTTGAGAGATATAATTAGAGTTGGCAGCAGAAGGAGTTCTACTAATTGGAGTTGGTCTAACGGCACCATTCAGAGTATCAAATGGATCATTTTCTGTTTTTATGGGGGTATTCAAAAGAGTATCAGAAGTGTTATTATTGGTAGTATTTGCACTAGTGACTTGATCAATAGGTATATCTAGATCTTCCATTTTCACGTTATCCTCTTCAATAGGTGGTTCTTGTTTGATGGGGGTTTTGAACCTAGTGAACAAACTTCTCTTAGACCTTTTGGCTTTCTTATGGAAAGTATTTTGATCAGGGTTTTCTAGTTCGGGCTCTTCTTTTGTGGGACTAGTCATGAAGTAGTCATTATCCGTTAAAAATCCATCTATGAATTGATCATTTTGTTGAGACCCTTGAATAATTCCATTTGATAACCCATCATTTTGGATACCATTTTGGAAGATGTTATTTGAATCAGCGTTATTAGTAGATTGGTTATTACTATTATTATTATTGTTGTTACCGTGGCTGTTACCGTTATTGCCGTTGCTGTTGTTGTTCAAGTTATTGTTTCCTTTGAAAATACTTCTTATAAGATGTTTTGATTGCTGATTACTCTGAATTGGCATAAAGTTTGTTGGAGAGGCTTGGTTTGGAGATGGGGGGCCGGAGCGTTGTTGATTTTTATCACTCATGAAAGGAATATAATTACTGATTGAGTTGGTGAAACTAGCATATCTTTGATTCCTTTGGGGTTGAGTCCGATTGGCGGAAGCCTGGCTATCCATTGATTGTCTTTTTTTAGAATATGCATCGAAGGATGCTCTGTGAATACTTTGACTTTGAGATTGATCAAGTGAATTTCGGGGGAAGTATTGATTAGCCGAAAAAAAAGATGGTTGGGTTGAGTGGATGGAACTGACAGAAGGTGTTAGAGAGGTTGTTGTTGTCAATGGGGAAAGGTCGTTACCATAGTAATTATTATTACTTATACTAGAATTATTTGGATTATTAAGGCCAACACTAAGATTTTTAGTATTTTGATATTGTTTATTGATGTCATAATTATCACTTCTTTCATAACCTTGGGTGGCGCCAGTATGTAGGCTAACATTTGAATTATGATAACTATCAATTGAAGCGTTTCTGAGATGTAATTGATCTCCCAAATGATTCGTACCATCATAATCGTAGTTATTTACCGAAAGAAATGAATTGCTATGACGTAGACGATCATCTTGAGAAGGAACAATTGAATTTACCTCATTTTGATCTTGATTCATATCGTTGAAATTGAATCCATTTGAATGAGCATCTTGATATAATGAATTCATTGGAATATTGGAATTAAGGTTATGATCGTTTAAGCCAGGATTCAAACTTTTACGATCATCATTATTAGAAAATGCACTATTTATATTACTTGGATCTTGATTAAAGTTAAAAGCTGTATCATATAAGAAATCCAGCTCAATTGTAAAAGGTGGGGATTCGTCCAATTCCATATGGTCATTATTATTCTTAAATGCACCGGGCATATTTAATGATGCTTCCTGATTCAAGATTGTATCGTCGTGATTCAACATTTCTTCATTATTCTGTTTGGAAACAGAATCTTCGAAAAAATTACCCTCGTACGAAGGAACATTAAAAAACCCATCGTAGCTTTGATTTTGAGGATCCTGTAAAGTGGAAATATCGTTATTATTACTTGGTTGGTTTGCATTTGAATTTGAATTTTGATGATTTTGAAATTGGGCCTGTTGCGACCCGTCTCTGGCTAGAGTCCCGTCCGAGTCCGCAAAATTGCTGGAAATGAAAAAAGAGTTGATATTCTGATCTTGCTCCATACTCTTAAAACCATCAAGATTGAAAACCTAGCTGTAAAGCTTCCATTAATTTGAAACTGAAATTCGAAAAAAAGATACTTGACTGGAAATGATCAAACTGAACCGGGTTAAATTAATCGGTGCAATGATAATGATTCGCAAATATTCGATGAACTCTGTATACGTTTCGTCTATGTTTCGTGTGTTATAAGTTTGTTTAATCGTAATACTAAGTTAACATTTTATCGGACACTACTCTGTTTAAATATCAGATAGAACGATAAATATTTATTCGTAGGAGGAAGGAGAGGTAGAGAGAACAGAAAAAAAAAAATTATGGTTGAAGGTACGGGTCGAGCCGATCATGAGATAAAGAAGGGATTTGTAAACCGGAATAAGAGGAAATTTTTCATTACAAGGTCAACTAACTTGGGATGATGACCGTCCAAGGCTGTACTATTTTGATATAAAAATAGAATGGATACGTAGTAAAAGTTCGTATTAAGTGGTACATAAAAATACAGAGGTTATTCGTCGAGCTGCTTGTCACCGGATGGAACCCTTTTTCTTATATTTGTATTATCATTATCGTCATCCAGATTGATTTGATTAAAGATTGAGTAATCTATATCGATATCTAGGTCTGGCTGAGGAGAGGGTTGTTGGTGATGTTGTTCTTGGATATCAGGATTGACAACTCTCAATTTAGATCTACGTTTAGAACTTATTAAAACTTGAGCATCGATGGTATCGTCAATTGAAGCACCAATTGAACCATCATCTCGATTAAACTGAGAAATATCAACCGATTTGGTATCTTCATTGGGTAATTGGGGTAGATGTTTTTCTTTGTAATCAAATTCATCTTTTTCTGAAATTTTATCATTTAATAGGGGAACTTTATTCGAACTTTTAGGTTTTTTCAATATTATTGGTGATCCTGGAGGAGTATTAGTGAAGGAAAACGATTTTTTCAATTTAGTGACTGATCTATTGACAATTTCACCAATTGGTGTTCCATTTTCATTGAATTCTTTTGGCAGTTTTTCATTTAAGGATAAATCATTAAAAGGATTTTCATCAGTTATTATTTGATTATTTTCAAAAGATCTTTTAATTGAATCATGACTTAAAGTTTCATTTGATGCTAAGTAGCTATTTCTTATTTTATTTCTATTTTCTTCAAATTCTTGTCTTTTCTTAACCCATGAATCAATCGATGCTACATCGAGTGTTGATGAGGTATCATTATCATTATGATAAACTTGATTCTGGATATTTTTATAGGTATGACCATTATGGACTTTAACTGATTTTTCATTTGTTGACGGGTCTAAGGTCATAAAATTATTTTGAGATCTACTCAGATTAGGAGTATGTCCGAATAATCCACTCAATTTACCGATTGATTGCTGATCGTAATAATTACCAAATTGATAGTCGATGGTTTCTAATTCTTCAGATTGTTTTGCTTGTTTCCGTTTTTTCATTATAAAAATCCCAGCTACAATCGCTAAAGCAATAGATGTAACTGGTATCACTGTTCCTAATATAGCTTTCTTTTGAATGTCTTTGACTGATTTGGATGATGATGAAGTTTTCTTTGGAGAGGGGGTATTTTCTTTCACACTTGAAACCAGTTTCAAATTAGAAGTATTATATAAGCTTAAATGATAACTAGTATCTCTTTTAGAATTTGAAGCAGTGGAATTGATTATAACTAGAGTATCGAATATGGTAGCTGCGCCAATTATTTCGTCGTAATCTAAATTAGTTTCGTTAAGAGAACTCCAAGACCATTGATTTGAATCTAATGATAATTTAGCGAAAAGTGGTGAAGAATCAGTATTCCCCAATTGACCACCAAGTAGTAATACTTCTTCCACATTATAGTAATCGGTAAAAGTTGAAATCTTATTATCTTCCAATTGATTAAAGATTGGCAATACTAATGCAAATCTTCTTGAATTAATTTTGGAAGAATCGGAGCTTTCAATAGTTTTAGAAGTCCAACCAGAATCGAAATCCCATACTGCTAATTGATACATGTTTAGCCAACCTTGATTAGTTTCACCACCAATAATTAATTGAGTTTGAGGATCTGGAGCTAATAAATTATTAGCACCGAAGAACGCTTGGGGTTTTGTTGAAGTTGTAATATTTGAAAACTTCCCCAGTGATACATTGAATGATAAAAGACGATTCGTTGGTTTATTAGTTTCATCACAGTACCCACCATAGATATAAATGGTATCGTTTACTATTGGACTGGATAGATAAGACGAATATTTATAGAATGAAGCATCTTCGATATCATCAAAGATAAGTTCATCATCAAATTCATCCCATTTATCATTGGGTTCATTATACTTCAATAGATTCAAAACTCCATCTCCGCAAGCATCAAGCTTGGAACTCTTTTTATTGGTGAATGCATAAAGATTTTGATTTGCTAAGAATAAAGTTGAATTTATTGGAGGTTTTGCTAACGGATTAATTTCTTGATTATCATTATAATCAATATCGGACTCAGTATAATCATCCAAGTTATCAAATCCGGTTATTGAGAAATTCAAACTTATTAAATTATTATCTTTCAAATGAAGATATATTTTACCCAGTTGATAATCGTATAAAGTATTCCAATTTTCATTTTCATTTTCATTAGCCAATACCAATTGAAGAATGAACGCAAAGGCCAAAATGATATCAACAATCACCATCAATGATGCTTTTTGCCTCTTCATACTTGAATTGTAAATAGTAGAAAATCAAATGAAAAGACAAATGAAAAGAAGTAGATAAATATAAGACAACTAGATATTGACAAACACAAAAGACAATCCTAAAATTTGAAGGACTTTCGAAAAAAGTTTTTTGTTATTAAGACATGCAACTAACCGAATAACAGTAATGAACATAATAGTGGTTTGTTCGTTTTCTGTTTGTCTTATTAGTTAGTTGATGATTGAATTTTCACAGCATTTAAACTGTTTAGATTTTTCCTAATGAGGAACCTGCAAGTAGGAATAAAATGCCTAACAAATCAGAGCACATTAAACAGCTACGCATACCCTATACACGATTGATCCTTCTACTCGTATACGCCTTGAAAGTCCCTTGTTTGAGTGATACATGATTATAGCTTGCCTTTGGAGTATTAATTATCATCTATATATTCGAATTCCCGTGTCACGTGAAGTGGTGGGTGCACTATTTTTTTTTGTGCTGCAAAAAAAAATTCATTACAATTCAATTATAATTAATCATCTTGACTAATTACTTTAAACTTGGTGAAAACCGCTAACTTGGATGAAAGAGTGAGCTTATCAGAGATGCAAAAAAGAAGGGGCGAGCTGGGAATTGAACCCAGGGCCTCTCGCATGCTTGGTCAGCTACTAAACTGTTTCCAGCCAAGTAATGATCTTAACCCAAAGCGAGAATCATACCACTAGACCACACGCCCGTCTTGTTGGCGAACCGAGACGCTTTGTTTAAGAGGTTCAAGCTGTTTTATGTGCTATTAAAAAGGCGTTTAGAGAAAAAGCATTTTATTTTGTGGTGATGAGAGTGTTTTAGTACTACCAACACTCTAAAGCCGCGTTAGTGAGTGGTATAACATACCAACACTTCCTGCGAGACTACTATGAGTGTGCGTGTAGCTTATCAGTGTTTTATGCCAGCGGGTATCGGGCTGTCTGAACAGTTCAGACGTTCATAGAAACGTACCGACTATTATTGATGGTGGATTAACTCATCGCTTAGATCAATCTCAGTGCCTAGACCCAGCTAAGATGAATATACTATAGGCATTTCACCCAAGTGTCGACCATTTCAACCGTCAAACAGCCACTAGGCACCATGCTTAAGAAGCCGTCTCATATCTATGTATCGAGTATGGTTAACTGGTTATAATTACGGTGACTTAATTGACTGATCTGGTTCATGTCTGATCGAAGCAAATTTGAGAATGTAGAACCCTATGAGGTTTTTAGTTTTGGCAGGTTTATTTTTTGTTTATGGTTTCTTCAGCCTTTTGCTACTCCCCAAGAACCTTGGTTAAATGGATATATACTAAAACGGGTAAGTATCAGAGTTAGTAAGTACAATCCAGCGCCTCGAAGCATATCCTGATATCTTTTTGCAACTAATGAAATCCAAAGCTCTCAACCAAAATATCTAAACGGCCGCTCCAGGTGCAAACCTTTTCAAACGCACACCTTTTCTTTTCAACTTCACCTCTTCAAACACACCTCTGCAAACACAAACTTTGTATGTATACGTGCTTGTCTAGCTGACAGTCAGACTGACAGTACCTGTTGCAAAGTGGACTCAAACACCCATGCACCAGCTTTCCCCAAGCAAAAATGAGTAATAAAATTTTTTAGCGTGCACTGCTCATCATCTAGTGAAAAATTAGAATATCAACCAAGGTGGTGTGACTAAGGACATTTAAACTCACGTATAAATACTAGTTCTTTAAGAAAAGATCAACTCAGTAGGTGAAGATAAACAAGATGTCATCGTTTGGTACTTTATTCCGTGTCACCACTTATGGTGAATCCCACTGTAAATCAGTTGGGTGTATAGTTGATGGATGTCCACCAGGATTAGAATTAAGTGAAGCTGATATTCAACCACAATTAAGTCGAAGAAGACCAGGTCAAAGTAAATTATCGACTCCAAGAAATGAAAAAGATCAAGTTCATATTCAATCTGGTACTGAAAACGGATTAAGTTTAGGATCACCAATTGGTATGTTGGTTCAAAATGAAGATCATAGACCACATGATTATAGTGAAACTGATTTATACCCAAGACCAAGTCATGCTGATTGGACTTATATCCAAAAGTATGGTACCAAGTCAACTTCAGGTGGTGGTAGATCATCAGCTAGAGAAACTATTGGTAGAGTTGCAGCTGGGGCAATTGCAGAAAAAATTTTAGCAAAAGCCAATGGGGTTGAAATTGTTGCATTTGTATCTAGTATTGGAGAAATTGCCATGGATAGAAATCCATTAGATCCAAAGTTCCAAAAAATTTTATCAAGTATTACTAGAGAAGAGGTTGATGCAGTTGGACCAGTTAGATGTCCAGATGAAACTGTTAGAGAAGAAATGGTTAAAGTTATTGAAAAATATAGAGATGCAAAAGATTCAATTGGTGGTGTTGTTACTTGTGTTATTAGAAACTGTCCAATTGGTTTAGGTGAACCATGTTTTGATAAATTAGAAGCTACTTTAGCTCATGCAATGTTATCATTACCTGCAACAAAAGGTTTTGAATTTGGTAGTGGATTTTTCGGTACTACTATACCAGGTTCAAAACATAATGATCCATTTATTTTTGATGAATCAAATAAAAGATTAAGAACTAAAACCAATAATAGTGGTGGTGTTCAAGGTGGTATTTCAAATGGTGAAAATATTTATTTCTCAGTTGCTTTCAAATCAGCCGCTACCATTAGTCAAGAACAAACTACTGTTACTTATGAAGGTAAAGATGGTGTTTTGGCTGCAAGAGGTAGACATGATCCAAGTGTCACCCCAAGAGCAGTTCCAATTGTAGAATCCATGGCTGCTTTGGTTTTGGTTGATCAATTATTAATTCAAAAATCAAGAGAATATGGTATAAATATTTGTAAAAACTAATTTTAATAGATATAATATATTTTAGTATTGTGCATGTAAAGAGAAAAGCTAGAAAAAAAAAAAAAAAGTCGAACGATTGAGACGAAAAAATGTCTTCAACAGGTTAACAACTTATCAACCACCAAGGGTATCGTTAAGAATGGACGGTGTTCAAAAAGTATTGCTCAGCTTATTGTTGGGGTTACTATTGGTTTTGCTAATTTTTTACATTCAAAACAATTCTTTTAAGTCTAATAAATCCAAATCAAAAACTCCAACATTTTTAATAATTGGTAGTAATAATTCTGGTAAAACATCATTATATTATAAACTTAAATCAATTAATAAGGAAGAACTACCAACCAGTACCATATCCTCACTTGAACCTAACGATGGGTTAATCCAATTACCGTTTTCGAATGAAGCTATTCAAAAACCTTTTAGAATAGTTGATTTCCCAGGACATTTAAAATACACTACATTATTGAAAAAATTGATATTAGAAGATATTACATTAGATAATTTAAAAGGAATTGTTTTCGTTATCGATAGTTCATCAAATTCAATTAATCAAGAGAATAAAATCAAGAATATAACCAAATTAATCTTTGAAATATTATCACAAACTGAAAAATTACCCAATGGGATTGATTTTCTATTTGCCGTCAATAAAACTGATTTATTTGATAGTTTACCAATACATAGAATCAAAACTTTATTACAAACATCCATGAATGAAATCATTCATAATGAATTGAATAGATCAGGTACCGGAGGTTATGATGATGATGATGAAATAGAATCAGATAAAGATGATACTGTTAGACAATTATGGTCGATTATAGTACCAAAAGATCAAAGCTTCCGTTTTGAAATGTTAGAAGGTAATATGGAGTTTAAGCCTGGTTCAGTTTTGAAAAACAAAATTGAAGACTGGGAAAATTGGTTTGACGAAAGAGTGGTTAATTATGGTGGTATGTAATTAAACAATCTTATTTTGAGGTACTGATGGGAAGTAATTTGTAGAATGAATCTTTTGCTGTCTTTTTTTATTCACTTGCATTTGAATAAAATTATTAATTCGTATCTTATAAATATCTTTATCTAATTTATATTGTTTAAATTTGTAATTCTTTATTTGTTCATTCAACTGATTCAATCTTTCGTTATTTGCCATTATTTTAATCGATAACTCCTTATATTCTTCATTCTCCTTTCCATCTTTTTCTTTACTTAATGATAAATTCGAAACTAATTTTGTCCATGCATACGGTTTGATTTTATCCATATCGTATTTCCATTGGGCCAAGTCCCCAGTTAGCTTGGCCTTCTCCTTTATCAATTCTTTATACTCCTCTGGTTGAATGGCGGTAGCAAAAGTTTCATCTTTCAAATGTTGTTCACAGACGTAGAAGAAATCTTTTTGGTTACTACTTAATAACACCGTATTGGTGGGTTTGTAGCACGTATTGCATGCTTTCGAGTCGTTTTCTGCCACCATGCGCAAAGCGTATTCATTGGCAAACGGTGGAGCACTCATGGTGGTGAAGGTTAAAGGGTGGATTCCTCCCGTTATCTCCAGGATATACCTTATATTAGAATGGATAATTGAAAAAAAAATGAAAAGATAAATGGTCACGTGTGTGGTCACATGACTTTCGTGTCACGTGATGCATCACGTGACCCGTAATCCCAACGAAACGAAATCTGAGAAGCGACATGAACTAAGTAAACACCCCCCATTGACGAAAGCAACACCCAGGCCCCTACGCGTGTATCTCTGCCATCTATTGTAAGGATTGTGTTTTGCACATCCAAACACTCCCTAACAAGTTTTCAGTGAGGAAAAAAAAAAACAACAGAGAAAAAAGCACAGAAAAAAAAAAAAAAGACAAAAAAAAAAAACGAAGAGAAGGCGAAAAAGAGAAAAAAAACACACCTTTAAAATTCATTCGAATTAAAATAAAACTTGTTTGCCATCCTTTGAATAGCTTTCAATATCAATCAATCAAACAAACCACCTTCATCTGTGTGAGCGCTTCATCGTTAAAGCATACTACTTGCCATCGCCATCCATCTTCTTCCGTATACATCCGAAGTTGATTTCCAGAAAGTGTGAGGCCACGACTTTAACTTATCACTTCCCGCCCTTTTCAAATAATTAGTGAGAGTGAGTGTTAAAACTGTTTTGTTTGGTTTAAATTTTTTGAATCCAACGAATAATCCTATAAGCCAACTGGTCTCGTTAAGTGATACAGTTGTTGTTGCAGATTCAAACATTTTTTGAAGATTTGTTTTTGTTTTGCTTTTCATTTTTGTCTTTTCAGTGAGGTTGAAATAAATCAAGACTTATTCACTGTTCTATAAACAGTTATTTTTTTTATTAAATTATCGCATTATATCATAATTAAACCATGTCTGATCATCAAGAGGCTGATATTGATTCCATTGTGGATAGATTATTAGAAGTTAGAGGTTCTCGTCCTGGTAGACAAGTTACTTTATCCGAACACGAAATTCGTTATCTTTGTACTAAAGCAAGAGAAATTTTCATTCAACAACCAATATTATTAGAGTTGGAAGCACCAATTAAGATTTGTGGTGATATTCATGGTCAATATTATGATTTATTACGACTCTTTGAATATGGTGGTTTCCCTCCTGAAGCAAATTACTTATTTTTAGGTGATTATGTCGATAGAGGTAAACAATCTTTAGAAACCATTTGTTTACTTTTGGCTTATAAAATTAAATATCCAGAAAATTTTTTCATTTTAAGAGGTAATCATGAATGTGCTTCAATTAATAGAATTTATGGGTTTTATGATGAATGTAAAAGAAGATATAATATAAAATTATGGAAAACTTTTACTGATTGTTTTAATTGCTTACCAATTGCTGCCATCATTGATGAAAAAATCTTTACTATGCATGGTGGTTTATCACCAGATTTAAATTCAATGGAACAAATCAGAAGAGTTATGAGACCAACTGATATTCCTGATGTTGGTTTATTATGTGATTTATTATGGAGTGATCCTGATAAAGATATTACTGGTTGGTCAGAAAATGATCGGGGGGTTTCTTTCACTTTTGGTCCGGACGTGGTTAGTCGTTTCTTACAAAAACATGATATGGATTTAATTTGTAGAGCCCATCAAGTTGTTGAAGATGGTTACGAATTTTTTTCAAAACGTCAATTGGTTACTTTATTTAGTGCTCCAAATTATTGTGGAGAATTCGATAACGCTGGTGCTATGATGAGTGTTGATGAAAGTTTATTATGTTCTTTCCAAATTTTAAAACCAGCTGAAAAAGAATCAAAATTTTCAAGACCAAATCATTTATCAAATAATAGACCCGTGACTCCTCCAAGAAAACAAAAAAGAGGTGGTAAGTAATCTTAACACCTCCAATTTTTCTCTCTTAACTTTATCGTGTGGCTCTCTATTCTTACTTTTACCTCAACTTGTTTTTTTGTTTATCTTATGCTTATAACCTTTGATCTGGTTATACCTTTTAAAAACACCTGTCTCTATTCATTCCTCCACAACATTCCCCTTTTTTTTCCCTTTATCTTTTTATTAATCTAATATAGTATAATATTTCTTATCAACACACATTCTTCTTGTATCCTGATGTGTTCTTTTCCCTTTGTTTTTTATTTTTTTCTTTTTGTTCTTCCAATCTGTTGAAATGTTGATTGTTGAGTGTTATGACCTGATGATCCTACTTGATTACGATGCTTGTGTTCCTGTTCCTGTTCCTGTTCCGTTCCTGTTCCTGTTCCTGTTCCTGTTCCTGTTCCTGTTCCGTTCCTGTTCCCATAAGTGCTAGACTTTGACATACCGTTACCTAAAAATAAAATAAATCACCTTTTTGTATAGACTCTGCATCATATAAATTTTATAGCGTAAGTATTTAGTTTCTTCCTCTTTACTGTTTTTCTTTCCCTTTTTTCATTTTTTTTCTTCTCCTCATTAGCTATTAATAGTTTGTATTTCTTTCTTTCATCGTTTTTAACGAATCTCTAATGACTCTTCTCTTACTCTTTCTTAGTGACATGGTCACTTGTGTATAATTATAACATTACCCGATCTACTATATGGAAATTTTTTATTTTGCTTTCATTCGAATGCTTGATCATTCGAAATTTCCTATTAAGAGACCGGTCATGTTGAAATTTTTCTCTGTGGTTCAATTGTCTATACGGTGGTGGTGATGACTGTCAAATTGGGGGTTTTCCGATCTGCTCGGGTGCAAAAAATACAAGGGTCCTTTTGCACCCGCAGTGACTCAACGCAGGTACTGTACTCTAGGGCCTTATAACAGGGTCATGTCAATCTCAATACTTTACTACTCATCAGCTAGAAGAACTCAAGAATAAGAAGATGCTACTGTAAGTTTATCTGTTGTAGCTTTATAGTTTACTTCTCCTGTGTATTTCTACTTATGTACAAGAAGACTCAATTGTTCAATGTAGACTACCAGTGTGCTAATTTGCAGTCCCTGCAATTGTAACGTCGACTGTAGCCAGTACGTGTCAGTAGGTGTTTCTGCCAGGTAATATGGTAACAGTAACAGTGTCCCAGAGTATTCGGAGTAACAAAGGAAAGAGTGCAAAAAAGACAAGACTCGAAAAATTAAAAGACAGTCACGCGGTGCACGTGATGCTTGTGCCCTACTGTTTGTGTGCAGGCTTACCAAAAAGAGGGAACTCCGATTACATAAGCAGCGGAGTCCGCAAAAGTGGGAGTAAAATGTCGCGCGCCCACCCTCGCGGTTCCGCGCGCGGTAGTGGAGTGTCGCGACATTTCTTGCTGCTCGCATCTCACACGACATTTTATTCCTTTTTCCTCACTAACAAAAAGGTGGTCCTCACTAAAAAAATTTTCTGTCTTGCCCCTACACTGAGTGAGAGTACCATAAAAAAAAATTTTCATTTTTCTTAATACTATATCTTTTTATTCCATATAAGATATCAAGACAAAATGGTATGTTGATCCCCTATATCATATAGAAGGATAGAACGAGTGATACTGATGGAATGGTGGAATGCTGATTGTTTGAATACTTGAACCAAGCTGGATAGTGTTAATGTTTGAAGATTGAAGATCAAGGATAGAATGAATAATTGAAATACTGTTAAGGATTTGATCAAAAAATTAAATGTTGATGAAATGTTGGCGGAATGCTGACCAAATTTTGAATGTTGATGTTGAGGAATGATGATGAGATCCATACACTCTACTATCATGTATTGAGACCAATACTAACTAATTTTTATAGGTTTTAGTTCAAGATTTATTACACCCAAACGCTGCTTCCGAAGCTAAAAATCACAAATTGAAGACTTTAGTTCAACAACCAAGATCATACTTCATGGATGTTAAATGTCAAGGTTGTTTAACCATCACCACTGTTTTCTCTCATGCTCAAACTGCTGTTACTTGTGACAACTGTTCAACTGTTTTATGTACTCCAACTGGTGGTAAAGCTAAATTAACTGAAGGTTGTTCTTTCAGAAAGAAGTAAATTTTTTCCTAAACAAAAAATATTTAATTTCTTTAATTAATATAGTATAATGTAATAAACAAAAAAATTCAGATAAACTAATATATATTTGTAAATAAAGAGAATATATTATATAAATTATAATTTAGATTTTGAATAAAAACGAACAACTTCATCAAAAGCTTTAGCTACTTTTTCAACGTTATGTTCATTTAACCCAGCAACCGAAGCACGACCACTACTAACTAAATAAACACCATGTTTTTCTTCTAATCTGGAAACCATTTCTGGAGTTAATCCAGTAAATGAAAACATACCGGTTTGATTGGTGATGTGATCCCAATTACCAGGTGTTTTCAATTCGATTAATAATTGTTTTAAATGATTTCTCATTTTAATAATTCTTGAACTCATGGTGGTTAAATCTTGATCCCATTGACTTCTTAATTTTGCATCACTTAAAACTGTAGCCACAATTTTAGCTCCATAAGCTGGTGGATTGGATACTTCAGATCTAATCAATTTATTCAATTGGGATTTGATTGCACGATTAATTGTTTCATAGTTATCTTCATTATTAATAATATGAACTGCACCTACTCTTTCACCGTACATACCAACATTTTTAGCAAATGACTGACAAATCACAATTGGTGTCTTGATTTTATCGTTGTTAATGGCACTTCTAATGGCAAAAGCATCTTTTTCTAAATCTCCACTAGCAAAACCTTGATAAGCTGAATCAAATAAAATAACATGATTCTTCTGAGATATTTCATTCAAAATTTGAACCCATTGATCTTTAGTTGGATCTAATCCAGTTGGATTATGGGCACAAGCATGTAATAAGAAGATTGATCCATTAGGTGCTTGTTTAATTGAATTCAAAAAACCTTTCAAATCCAAACTCTTATTATCGTTATCCCAGTATGGATAACTATCAACTTTTAAACCTAAACTGGTGAAAATTTGATTATGATTGGCCCAAGTTGGTTTAGACAAGTAAACTTTGCCCTCATTGGATCCAGTATAGAAATTTTTCAAAAAGGCTCCCGCTAAATGTAATGCTCCGGTTCCGGATAATGATTGTTGACTAACAATTTTATTTTGTTTGATAGCAACAGAATCTTCGCCCAATATAACTTTAGCGGACTCTTTCAAAAATGGTTCATATCCACTAATTGATAAATACTCGTGATTGTATCCTTCACTATTAATCAATTTTTGTTCGGCTTGTTTAACTGCTGGTAAAATCCATGGTTTACCATTATTATCTCTGTAAGCACCAATTCCCAAATCAACCTTATCAGCACGAGAATCAGCATTGTAACGAGCTTTTAATCCAAATAATGGATCTGGAGGTAATTCTTGGATGTTAGCGAAAAATTTAGACATCTTGGATACTTTGTAGCACTAGATTATGAAAAGAAACAGGATTAAGATGACTTTATAAAGTATGGAGTCAATTTATTGAGAAAAAATTATGTCAATGTGATTAGCGGAAGACTTAATAGCGAGGCAATTTAATGAGGGGAATGACTCAGGCTCGGTGATACTTGAATTAAAACTACTACTACTACTACTACTACTACTACTACTACTACTACTACTACTACTACTACTGCTACTACTACTGCTGCTGCTGCTGCTGCTGCTGCTACTACTACTACTATTAGTATTACTACAGCTATTACCATAACTACTGCTAGTATTGTAGAATTACTGGAACGAACAGCTATTAGTACAGGACTCGGCACATACATCAGTACAGGGACTCGGTACAGACTCTCGGTACGATGTCTTCTCAACGGCAGGTAAATACTGTAGCATTAGAACTATATGATAAGAGTATTAGATCCTATGAGTTTGGCCCAAATATATGTCTATGAAATCATTGGTATATGACTGAGTAAATCGGTCTTGCTGAATCAAAGCATTAGGTACGTTGAATCACAGTATTATGCATGATTCGTTATGATTGACTAAATCATTATGACCAAATCAGTGGATGAATCAGATTTGTAACTAATAGAATTTCTAACTACAATAGAATACTGAAAATTGCGTTTTATTAATGACACCAAAGTATACATGATTAAACAACCAGTTTCACTTCAAAGAATCTTTTCAAATAGTAAATTTGGAAGATTGAGTTGGAAGCAACCACCAAGATTTGGAAAACCGACCACCATTTAACTCTTGAATTAGTTGATTCAGCAGTGTTTCTATGGGTTCTTTCTCTGATAACCAAATAACCTTGTTCAGCCTTAACGTCACTGGTTAACTCACTTAATCTTTGGACGGCGTAATCCAAGGAGTCAGATTTAGGATCATTAACATCAATATAGATAACCCCGTGAACATTAAAAGTAACATCTAAATCAACACGGTTGGTTTTTTCATTTGAAAAACAATATTGGTATTTCCCATCCACGTCAGCCTTAATTGATTCATCACCGTGATCCATATCGTTTTTCTTCAATCTAACTTGACCACTGGGAGTAATAATGAAAAAATCTATTGTGAATTGTTCAGCATTTTGACTGTTTCTAGAACCAACTTGGAAACTAACTGCCAATTCATCATTTCTTTTCAAGTGTTCGTGGAAACACTGTTTACCGTACGGAGGCAACGCAACGTTGTGCGCGTAACAGGTGATGCTGAACACACTGAGAATCAACCACGTTATATTAATCAACTTCATTGCTGAAGAGAAGAACCAGGTTTCAGTTGGAAAATTATCAACAACGCAAACTTTATGTGGTGTCCAAAACAAAAAAAAAAAAAAAAGAACATAAAAGACGGCTTCACACGACCACGCGTAAAGAAAAGATAAATATATTTAGCTATATAAACTATAAAGGTTTCATTATTTCATCGTATAATAATTTTTTCAATTCTTCTATACTTAATTCATCTTTTCTTTTATCAAAGTCGAAGAAATCTTCTGGGATTTTATCGCTGATTGGTTCATCATCTGGATCATGGTATAATTTAAGATAAGGATGATTTAAAGCATTATCTACGGTGATTCTTTTAGTTGGATTAAAAGTTAATAATTTTTCTAATAAATCAATTGCCAAAGGATTTATTGGATCATAATTAGTATTTGAGTTTGACATCATATCATTAAATAAGGTTTGGAAAGGGATTTTTTTACAAAAGGGTAAACTTCTAATATACTCTCTTGCTCTTTTCAGTTTAATATTATAATAATCTTCCATATTTGGAGTTCCTAAGACTTCCATAATTAACCATAATTGATTATGATAATCTCTACCGGGGAATAAAGGTCTTCCGGTTAACATTTCTGCCAAGATACAACCAACTGACCAAACATCAATGGCGGTGGTATATTCTTGGAACGTTAACATAATTTCTGGAGCTCTGTACCATCTTGTAGCAACGTATTCCGTCATGAATCCAAAGTTATCTTCCAGCAGAGCAATTGATCTAGCCAAACCAAAATCGCAAATTTTTAAATCACAATTTGAGTTTAATAATAAATTTGAAGGTTTTAAGTCACGATGTAATACGTTTGCACTATGCATTGATTTTAAAGCTCTTAAAGTTTGATAAATGAAATATTGAATATGATCATCACTTAATTTTTGAGTTCTTATAACTCTATGTAAATCCGTTTCCATTAATTCTTGAATTAGGTAAATTTCATTAAAGTTTAAATAATTAATTGGTCTTTGAATGGCTAAAACGGATATAATATTTTCATGATTAAAGTGTTTTAATAGCTTTAATTCACGTAATGTTCTTAAACATAACATCGATCTTTCAAACGGTTCAATTTTTTTAATAGCAACTTTTTGTTGTGTTGGTTTATGAATTGCTGAACATACTATACCATATGCTCCTTCTCCAACAACTTCCAATATTTGATAATGATCCGATACATTAAAGGATATCTGTCGAGGTTGTTCAAGACTCATGTTTGATAAAGAACAACAAGCTTATTCCTCTAACTTTTCTACCAATCTTGAAATAAGCTATTGACGATGAATAAAGGTGCACAAAGTAGGAATCGATTGATCCAATCTTGTTTCATCTTATAATGAACTACACCCGTACATTTTTTTTAATTTTTTTTTTGTTGTTGTTGTTGTTCTTTTCTTTTTACAATAAAACAATCCGTACATATACAAAACACCATAATACATAAACCTTAACTATACAATAATCATTTTTTTCTACCAAATAAACCCTTCTTCTTCTTTTTTTCGGGTTTCAAGCTGGTGGCACTATAGTTACCGGCTTGGTAAATAGGTTGATCTTGGTTATTATTGAAATTAATTGTAGGACGAGCGGCGAAATCATCTTGGGGTTGATTGGAATTACCATTTAAATTATAGTGAGGGAAGTCTTCATGAAACCCCCAACCTAACCGATTTGATTCTAATTGATCTCTATAAGCACCATCACCAGTAATGGCGTATTCAAATCCTCTGATGGTATCCAAAGGTCTTTCATTTCTTGATCTAGTTGGATTAGACATGTCTGAACCTCTAATTGGATTACCAAAAATATCTTTCAAATCATTGGATTCTTGACTCAAATACGATGGTCTTCTTTGGTACGAATGATCAGCAGCTTGTTCAAAAGGTTGTGCTTCGTTGACTGCAGTCAAAATTGGATCATGGATGTTCCCAGTATGCATCTTATACTGTTCTTCATCCTTAGCACTAAGCTTAATATTAGCTGGCTGTCCATATTCATTAGTGACTTTTCCTGATTTTGATCTAAAAATTGCCATCTTGATCTGGGGTTATTATTTTGTGTAAATACCTTTTTGGGTGCGAACCAATATACCAATATATTGAATGGGGAGTATTATCAAAAGTATAATAAATATATAAATATAATAATAGTAGAAGTAATGAAAGAAAGGAAAGGGGAAAAAAAAAAAACAAGTTGAAAAATTAAGGGCCGGAAGGGGTGTTTTATACAAAATGTTATGATAATTTTTCTGCCTCAGCTTCCTTCCCCTTTGAACATACAAAGAAATCGTTTTAGCAAGAATTCATTACAAATATGGTTTTTCTTTTTACTTGGTTCAAGCGATTTAACCAAAATGTAGCATAACATAACCTTTTTGACAAGATACTATTCAGTTAAGGATATTGGATCATAATCTGGAGCTTGTCAACACAGCCCAAATTTTTGAGACCAAGGCTGGCTTTGCAGTCTTTTTTTTACAGTCTTTTCATTGTGTTTGCAGTTTTCTATTGTGCTCAGAGTGTTTTCCCTGGGTCTTACAGCCTCTTCAACGGCTACACCGGTACACCAGCAGTCCACATGTTGAAGCAATCGTTATAAATAGCCTGCCCGTATATACGGGCACCCCGTCCTGCCCCACCGGATTTACTATCCAATCTACTATAAACTATCCTGTACACGATACTGTACACTATGCTGTACACTATACTATACACTATACTATACACTGTACTACACTGTACTATACACTGTACTATACAGTATAATACCCTACTGTATGCTATCCGCGGATGTCGATACGAGACTGGGAGTTAAGGGAATTCTGACTGCAAAAACAAAGACGTGTGCTAACCGAAACGTCGTTTGTGGGTACGGGTGTGTGTGTGTGTTTTGATTCTTGTTTTCGTGTGCTGTCAAACACACACGCCCGTGCACCGGCGAAACTTCCTACAATAATTTCCTGAACCGGCACCAGCAAATTCACAAAAGAAAAACGCCTATTCTTCGTCTTGTGGACGTCCGCCCATCAAATGCTCTTACTAATGGTGCGGGACAATCAAGTGTGCCCATGTATATGTTCATATATATATGTATAGATGCTACTGCTACAACTGTATGGGTGGATATTATTTGAAACATAACGGTTTTCCCGTAAATGTGAGATGGTGTGCACGTGACCGGGGATGCTCCGGCATCGCTCATTACATTGTTCCCATACCCTGTACGGTTGTATTGGTGGAGCCTTGCTGTATATCTGTTGGAGACCAGTTTGTATGCCCTATGGTGCAGAAGATCTTGTAGTACACCATGTAGTACACCATGTAGTTAGCGAGGTAATAGTGGGGTGGAGACGTCTCGGCGGATCTCAAGGCATCTCAAACGGCAAACAAATACCTTTACCGGCTTTGTTTTTGCATTCTTTTCTTTTTTTCTTACGCTGCAATCTGATGACTCTTTTAAAAATCATTTATAAAAGACATTTTATCCAATTTTCATAGTGAAAACATTGAATTATTCATCTTTGTTCAGTCAAAATGGCATCGCAAATGTCAAATTCTTCGAAAAATTCTGATCAGCCTATAATTACTTATAGTGCTGATAGTTCAACAAATACAAATTCAAAATGGACAAATTTTAAAAATTCTTTCAAACCGGCTCGACCACTGAATAACGACCTGGCTCTGGATTTAGAAAAAAACGCCAGTGATAACTTATCTTCTGCGTTTAGTCAACTTCATCAAAATTTAATTGGGTTAGCTGGTTGTGTTGGGTCTGGTTTATTGGTGGTTTCTGGTAATGCTTTAGCAAATGGTGGACCCGGTTCAGTCTTGATTGGTTGGGCTTTGGTTTCAAGTTTCTTATACTGTACTATGCAAGCCTTATCTGAATTGGCATCTTGTTATCCAGTTAGTGGTAGTTTTTTCAAATACGCTGATAAATTCGTTTCCAGACCAGCTTCTTTCGCTAGTGGTTTAAATTATTTCTTATTTTGGTTAGTGGTTTTACCTTTGGAATTGGTGGCTGCTTCTTTATGTATCCAATTTTGGAATAGTGAAATTAATACCGTGGCTTGGGTGGCTATCTTTTATGTTCTTATTGTTGGTACTAATATCTTTGGTGGTACTGCTGCTTTTGCTAATACTGAATTGGTAGCTGCCATCATTAAATTATTAGGGGTTATTGGTTTTGATATCTTAGCAATCATCTTGATTTGTGGTGGTGCTGGTGAAGAAGGTTATATTGGTCCTAAATATTGGCATAATCCTGGGGCTTTTAATCATGGGTTTAAAGGTTTTACTACCGTCTTAATTTCGGCTACTTATTCTTTGGCTGGTACAGAATTAGTAGGTTTAACCGTTTGTGAATCTTCAAACAATCCAAGAATCGCCTTACCAAGAGCTATTAAACAAGTTTTCTATAGAATTATTGTTTTTTACATGTTCACTTTAACCTTAATTGGTTTCTTGGTTCCTTCAAATTCAGATAAATTAGGTGGTTCTTCAAGTGATGCCACCGCTTCCCCATTCGTCATTGCTATTAATAACGGTGGTATCAAAGTTTTACCTTCAATCTTTAACGTGGTGGTTATCATCTCTTTATTATCCATTGGTAATAGTGCAGTTTATGGTTTTTCAAGAACTGCTTTATCCTTGGCTGAATCAAAATTGTTACCTTCCTTCTTTGCTTACGTCGATCAAGCTGGTAGACCTTTAGGTGGTATCATTTTCGCTGCCGTATTTGGTTTACTTTCCTTTGTTAGTGCTTCTCCAAAACAAGCCGAAGTTTTCGCTTGGTTAGTGGCTTTATCAGCTTTATCAACTTTATTCACTTGGGCTTCTTGTACCACATCCCATATCAGATTTAGATTAGCCATTCAAAAACAAAATAGATCTCTTTTAGAAGTTCCTTACTTATCAAAAACTGGTATTTGGGGATCGGTTTATGCCACCATCTGTTTGGTTGTGGTTTTATGTTTACAATTTTGGATCTCATTATTCCCATTGGGTGCTAAACCAAACGCTGGTGAGTTTTTCAAAAATTATTTGGGTGCAGTCATTTGGTTAGCTTGTTATTTAGGTTATATGGTTTATGCAAGAGACTGGATTTTATTAATTCCTTTAGATGAAATTGATTTAGATTCTGATCGTGCTGAAACTGATGCAGATAAATTACAACAAGAATTACATGAAGAAATGGAAGTTTTAAAATTAAGACCTTGGTATATAAGGGTTTATTATTACTTATTTTAAAACTAATGAGCTAATGATTTGCATTCTTTTCTTCTTTTTTTCTCTATTGGCTTCTTTTCCTAATTTTCCATATCCATTCATGACGTTATAGACATTTTAGCATACATAATTTAATTTTTAATGATACTATTAATTCAATTTAATAATTTGTAATGATTTCAAATTTGATTATTTATAGCAACACTAAATATAATTGTAACATCCTTAGTCAGGCATTTTTTTTTTTGATTTTTTTCACTGTTTTTCACTTTTTTTGCAAGTTTCCTACAATTTTTCAGCAAAATTAAGTAACGACAATTTGATAATTAAAAATATATAAATCTCTACTAACGTCCAAAGTATTTCAATTCAATTGGACGAATTATATTATATCCAATAAAGGCAAATAAAATATTGAGTTCAAATGAAATATCACCACCAGTAGCCCCAAATTTTTTAGAAATTACCCCATGGTACCATGATTGGTTCATTGATAATACAGTTGATGCAACCCCAAATGCAAATCCTGTAACACCAGCAAAACCGACCGGGATGGTTTTACGGTCATTGAAGTTGGAAACATCATAACCTTTAAAACCTTTTCTATAAATGAAATGTTCAGCCAAAGAAATACCTAAATAAATAGAAACATTATAACTAATGATACTCAAGAAATTTGACATTGTATCGGCAAATACATAATAAGCAGGTATGGATAAACCTAAGGAAACAAAATTACCAATAAGACACCAACCTAATCTTGGAAATTTAGCCAATGGACTCCAAACAGCTTGAATTGCTAATGATAATGAATAAGAACCAGGTAAATTATTTGCAATGGCTGATAATGATAAAACAACACAGCAAAATTTCCCAAATCCGTGTAAACTGTTAGGAACTAAAATTTGATAAACCAAACCACCAATTGATTTGGCAGCATAGGCGGAAGCCCAAGTTGGATCATTATAAGTACCCATAGCACTTGCAACACCAATTATAAATGCAAACATACAAGGAACACTAAGCCCAATAACCATACACACAAAAATCTTCCAAGAAGGAACTCTAGTATCCATATAAACGAAGTAATCAGCAGCTGAAGGAGCCCAACCACTAGTGAACCCGAAAACTAAAGACATATAAGATAAAACATTACCAGCTTCAGCAGTACCAGTTTCCATCTTACCAAAAGTGAAATTTTTTGATTTAGTCAAACGGGCAATTATAATAAGATAAATTATAAAATTTGGTATCCAAGAAATACGTTCATAATAATGAATGGTTTTATAACCAAATAATGCTAGTATACAAGTAATGACAACGAAAATTAAACATCCAGCCCAAGGTGGTAAAGGTCCAAGTGATGCCAATAATTGAACAGCAGGAATAATGTTGACCGCATTCCACCCAATACATGATATAACATTGAATAAACCGAAAACTCTTCCCATAATATTCCCACAGAAAAATCTTGAAAGAATTTGTTGTCTAAGACCCGATTTTTGACCAAAAACCGAATAAAATGCAACTGGGAGGGCTCCGATAACTGAAAGAAAGATAATACAAAGTACACTGGTCCAAAAATCAAGTCCATAAGCTAATGGTCCTAAAGCTCCACTACTAAATGCACTAATAGCCAAATTTGGTGATAAAAACATAGTTAAAGCATTCCAGTAATTGGTATCATTCTTTTGTTCGTCAGTAACTCTTTGAACACCCCTGATTTCAGCATTAAATCTTAACCCAACCTTATCAATGATGTTTGTAGCTTGGGGTGGCTTTTCTTCCTGGAAAGATTCTTCATAAACATTTTCCAACCCAGCTTGTTTTTCCTGGTCCTCAATACTAACCATACTGCTTGTATTCTCAAAGTGCCAACCTAACTAAAAAGAAAGATAATTTGGGGAGAAAAAAAACCTTGCTTTTGACTAAGAAGAAGTAGTAGATTTCCTTCCATAATGTAGTTGAATCTGCTAATCTATGTTTAATTAACGTCATCTTGAGCCGTATCAATTTGCGAAGAGCTTATCACAAAGGCAGAAATGACGAAAAAAAAAAAAAAAAAAAAAAAAAAAAACTGTCAAAAGGCGGAAGACTCCGCTTAAATTTACCGTCCAAATCAGGATGGCCGTAGCGACACTACGATACTATAGAAGTAGTAGAGATATCTATCGGTCAAAGAAATGGTAAAATACGAGGCCAGAATAATGCGGACAAAGTGGAACGGAATCCATACAGCGTGGGAAGCTGTTTCTGTCGCGTGACAGCTTGATTTATTGGCTCTGTAGTATAAGAAGTATATAAACTAGTTCTTAATGGTTTCAAGGTGATGCCATCTTTCGATGGTTCTGCCGTAGAATTTGACCAAGTTTCTTTCACCGGCTGCGACCCTACCCAAGGTTTTACCTTTGGTTTGGTTCCAGTCGTTGAACTGGATAGTTTCCCAGTCTTTTAGTTTGTCTTCTTTACTAAGACCTAATTGTTTTAATTTAGGAGATTGAATATTTTCGGGGTCCAATATGGCTTTACCGCTTGGATTACAGAAAAGAATAATCACCAAACGATTAAACTTTCTCTGATCCAAAGGAGGTTCAATGACTCGGTGTAAACAAGCCTTAAAATAGCCACCACTGATAAATTCCAAAGCGTCACCTAAGTTTACAATTAACGAGCCTTCTAAATGGTCGATGTATCTCCACTCTCCGGTAAAAACATCTCGAATCTGAAGGGCCAATATTGGTTGGGATGTGATGAATGTAAAAGCTCCCATATCGGAGTGTCCTCTTAAAAACGTTCCTTCGGTTTCTTGCGACAGTTGTTCATCTCCATAAGGCTCATACATCATTAATCTACCATGAGTGTTTGAATCATCAAGATTTGTTCCAACTTTAGCGAAATAATGCTTCTGTAAACTACCCTCTGGTATGTTCAAAACTAAATCGCAAAGTCTCAACAACTTTGGGAGAATATCCCTTTGAAGGTGGTTGAAATAATCAGCTAATTCTTGCAAGTGGTTTGCAACTAACTCTGGATGCTTTTCTTTGTCCTTAACAAAGGAATCATGGCAACTATCTCTAAAGTTATAATGATGAATTGAATCTCTAATTCCATTTTTGATTGCCCAATAACCTTTGGGTTTGAAACCTCTTCCTCTTTCTCCCCCTTCTCCTCCTTCAACCTCTTCTTCTTTAGTAGGTGCACTGGCCAAGTATTGTTTTTGTATTTCATACGGTAACGTTAGAACAGATTGAGAAACTGCTCTCAAATTGTCAATAGTTTCTTGGGGTATTCCATGGTTGATCAAGTTGAAAAACCCATGAGTTGTGATGGATTTTTCTAAACGGTTGGCCAAGTCCTGTCTTTTATTCAAATTTTCATCCCCTTCTTCGAAAAATGATAAATCAATTGCATCCAATTTCAACGGATTCAAATCCTCTTTCGTCCTTTCAGGATCCACAAATGGTCTGACATTGTACTTTTTGTCGACTTCTTCTTTACTCAAATACATTTTATAGTATCGCTTTGAAATATGGTTCCTTCTTAAACCTTCGTGAAAAAAATGGTTTAGTTATACCATCTAGTTTGCCCTTCTTGCTTATAAATTTAACTAAATCAAAGCTGTGGCTCAAATTTATGTGGTTGCAATTTTTTTTTTGCAGCACGCCTCATGATTGCGATAACGAAATCACGGTGCCTGATTTTAAATAATTAGATCTAAATGAGCTTATAAATCAAAGACATTTCGGTTTTTGGTCTTCAAAAGAGTATTTCAATAAAAAATAAGAATGAAGTTACCCTGGTTTATTCCTCAATTAAGACATGTTGAAGATTACACCCTTGATTATGAAGATGATGCTTCTACAAAGTCAGATTCAGATGAGCTCGAAATAAAGGAGTACAGGGACGAAGCATATCGTCCCTGGTATAAATTTTTCGATGAATATGAATATCGGGAAACTACTGAAAGGGCCGCCCGCTTTAAACTTTGGGATTGGTTTCCTGAAGGGGCTCTGAAAGCTGAAAAAAAATTGATTACCAAACTAGATTGTACACTTGCTTTGACTACCTTCGTCTCATATTTTTTTAAATACTTGAATCAATCCAATCTTAATAATGCTTATATAAGTGGTATGCGTGAAGACTTGAATTTAACGGGTGACTGGTTGGTGAACACCCAAGCTATATTCACTGTAGGTCAAGTTGTTTTCGAGCTACCATTTATTTTCTTACTTCCTAGGATTTCAATAACTTATCATTTATTCTTTTTTGAAATGTTGTGGGGGATTTTTACTTTGGCAACAGCAAGAGGGAATGCACACTCAATTCAAGCCTTGAGATTCCTTGTGGGTGCTTCTGAAGCAATTTTTTTTCCATCTGCTCACTTCTGTCAACCGTTATGGTATAAGAGTGATGAAATAGGTCGAAGATTAGGGTGGATGTATGTAGGGAACTTCCTAGGAATATTATCCCTGTCTTTGATTTCTGGGAGGGCAGTACAGAATCCTCCACCCGAATATAAAGGTTGGCAATTTATTTTTATCATAGACGGGATTATTTCAATAGTATTTGGTGCCCTATTAACTTTATTTTTACATCCTGGGACTCCACAAAGATGCTATTCCATTTGGCTAACTGATGACGAGATTCGGTTGGCAAGAAAAAGAATGAAAACTGATAACGTGGATATTAATCATGATGTTAAATCCTTCTTCGATAAACAAACTTGGAAGAATATTTTAACTTCATGGCATTTTTATATTTTCAGTATTGCTCAAGTATGTGGATTTAATACTAATAGTGCATCGTCTGGTTCTTTTGGGTTATGGCTCAAGTCGTTAAACAGATACTCTACTTCAAAAGTTAATCAATTGACTGCGTTGCCTCCGGCTTTAGGGATACTTTGGGTCATAATTGTTTGTTTTGGAGCTGACTTCACCCGAAAACGATTTGCCTTTATAATTTTTTCAATGGTGATGAATTTTGTTGCAAATCTTATTTTAGCTATTTGGGATGTTGATGAGTCTACTAAATGGGCCGGCTATTTACTAGCTTATTTTTCATGGTCTCAAAGCTCCGTATTCAACCCATTGATAAGTGATATATTAAGATTTGATCAAAACCAGAGGTCCATTGAATGGATGATAATTTACATTATAGGACTTCAGTCATCCGCCTGGATAAGTAAGTTAACATTTCCAACTAGTGAAGAGCCAAGATATCCAAAAGGTTTCTCTTCCTGTGCAGGCTTCAGCATTGGCTTTATCTTACTCGTCTCTATAGCTTATTTTTTTTATAGGCGTGATGAAAGACACAATGCTATCAAGCATGGAATATACCTTTACGATAGCAGCAAAGGAGAACTTCCGGAAGAAATCCAACCAAAAGTCAAGCAAAGTGGTCAAAGAGATAATAAAACACCTAGTATTGAAGAGAGAATTGACTTCATAGAATAATCATACAAAGTTTCATTTCGAATGCGTATGTATATATATTTGTAAATGTTGTAGTCATAAACTATTTAAAAGATCATTAAAAAAACATTAAGAAGGAAAATAAAAGAGAAAAGAAAGAAAAGGTATTTTTATAATTAGACGTGTTCTTCTTCAGGTTTACTTTCACTGGCATAACCAGTTGTAGTAGCCATAGCTTCTTTTGATGGTGGAACCCATCCACCAGATTTCCATGGTAAAACACCACTAGAGTATAATTCATCAACTTCTTCCAAACTTAATCCTTTGGTTTCATAAACAAAGAAGAAAACAAAGAAGAAACTGAAAATCAAACAACCAGTGAAAACGAAACCATAGTAAAAGTGAATATCAGCAGTAATAAGAGGACTATAATGAATTGTTAGTATTATGCTTTGAAAACGAATTTTCTGTACAGGGTAATATCTGGTGTACGGAACTTTATCGGAAAATTGTTGCATGAAGTAAAACAAAAAGAAATGCAAAAAATTGCCAGCAATTTCATCTCTTTTCCACCACTAATAAGCTTTACGGCATGAATCAGTATGAACATAACCAGTATGACCATGAGACACACACTCCAGTAGCAACCCTGTAGTTAGTAAATAAGTAGTTATACATACGTAAAGAACGAAATTAAGAAACCCCAAATCCAGTTACATGCTGAACCAACAGCAATAGCTTTAGATCTAATTCTTAATGGATAAATTTCGGAAACAATAGTGTAGACACCACCAGCCCATGTAGAAGCAAAGAAGAAAATGAACAAACAAGTGATGAAAATCATAGCTTTACCAGTATCAGTGTAGGTTTCACCACCGTAGCCTCCTTTATATAAATGAACAGAACCTAATACGGAATAAATGATGAAAGTAACACTCATAAGAGCAGAACCAGTCAACAAACATAATCTTCTACCGAATCTTTCGATAGTCCAAATACCAACGAAAGTAGAAGCGAAATTAACGATACCTAAAATGATGGAGGTTTGGAAAGAATCTTTCAAACCAATTGCTTGGAAAATAGTAGTACCATAGTAGAAGAAGTAGTTATCACCAGTTAATTGTTGTAAAGATTGTAAGACCATACCGACAACAACTCTATTGAGAATTCTTGGTTTACCAGTAATTAATTGACTCCAAGAAGCAGAACCAGCCAAATTTTCTCTATCGATACCAGCTTGAATTAATTGAACTTCAGTGTAAACAGCAGGATCTTCGGGACTAACTTTATTAGATCTACCGATAGAAACCTTGGCTTCTTCGATTTTCTTCTTTTCGATAAGGTAACGAGGAGATTCAGGCATGGCGGCCATACCACTAATTAAAAAGATGGCCCAGGCAAAACATAAACCTAATGGGATTCTCCATTGTCTTGAATCGGAGTAAACTTTAGTACCGTAAGTAGTACAGTAACCTAAGAAGATACCTAACGTGATGAATAATTGGAAACAACAAACCATTGTACCTCTTAAAGTTTTTGGAGCGGATTCACCAATGAATAATGGGGATAAAACTGAAACACAACCAACAGCTAAACCAGAAATGGCTCTACCAACAACAATTTGGTACCATTTGTCAACTGATGAGATTTGAACGATTATACCAATAATATAAACAACCATTGAAGCAGTTAAACCCATACGACGACCCCATATGTCACCAATTTTAGATAAAATGATACCACCAACGGCACAACCAACATTGAAAATTGCAACAATGACCCCAGTTCTAATAGTAGAAATTGAGTATTCACCATTGGAATATTCACCAAATCTTCTCTTATAATCACTCATATTAACGAAACCAGAGATGGTACCGGTATCGAAACCGAAAATAAACCCACCAAATGCAACTAACATACAAAAGAAACAAATTAAAATGTAATCTTTGAATGATTTTTCTGGTAAAGTAGGTAAGTTGTTTTCCAATTCATGAGCTGAAGGTATTTGGTTTGGATCTGAAGGAGTTTCATGATCTTCTGGATTTTTTTCTAATAATGAACCTTGGGCAGTATGACTACCAGAACCTGAAGTTTGATCAAGTACTGGTGAAGTATTTCTATTTTCTGCTTGTACTGACATTATAGTTAACTAGAAACAGTATAGTTAAAAAAGAGAAAAATCCGTTCTCGAAATGCAATTTCAATGGGAAATCTCTACATATATATATATCTATCTACATTCTAAATATACTTGACCATTAAGAGAAACTGGTTGTGAGTGTATATGGTTGCCCAAAATCTTAATAAAAAAAAAAGAAAAGACCATTTCAAACGATGACAGAATGAAAATTATTAAAAAACACCAAATAAAAAAAAAAAAAATAATAATAATAATAAAAAGAAAAGGAAAGGAAGTAGCAGCAATCTACTTACTGCTTTTGTCAGATGTTATTGAAAAGCCCATTATGAACCAGACTACAATTTTCGAAAAATAAACTAGCTATGTAAACTTTCTTTTTTTTTTTTTGTTTCGCTTTTCTTAGTTCCATCAAGCGTAAACCGCAATTGGACACAAGTACTAAGAATCATACAACTCCCAGCATTATAGGAGAGATGCACCTAGTGCTTGAATAAACTTCAGGTGAGGTTTCATGAGTACGGGGACAAAAGAAAAGAAGAAATCTGGTTCCAGCTTATGTAATCCGAGCTGAGATTTCCTGTTCGGAAAAATCCTAAGCAATAGTCCTGCACAAAACGTCAAAAAATGACATACTGTGTTTTTTTTCTTTTTGTATACAAACCGGAAAAAATTGTATGCGTTTGTGTCAATAATTAATCCTATATAATCCGATTCGCCGAACATAAGAGCTATGAGATCATAGGTTTTCTGGTTCTCCATTTCTCCTCATCAGACGTAGCCAACCTTGTGATGTGCTGGGAACCAAACGTTATGATATGTTGAGGGATCAAACGGAAACGAAGGGGATGTAACATGCGCTTTTTCATTAGTAACCAGCTAATGACAAACTTTGCAGAGTCAGTAGATTAACGATTATTCAGTTAAAGACAATACACAAAGTTGAATGAAAACTAACAGTAATCCATCTAACGAAATACAAAAACATCTTGGGAACAACAAAGCGGCATCATTTCGTAATGCTGAATCTCGTCCCATGGGACAATTTCGCTGGTGGGAAAAACTTTCCCACTCCAGCGGGGAAGCTGGATCCTTTACTTCAGTTTATATCCTACGGACACCGTTTTGAGTGGTTGCAGGGAAATAGAGGCTGCTTTCACTCTGGATAATAGTCTGCTCCGATGCCGAACTCAGAAAGGCTCGAAAACCGTATCCGAAAACCGTCCTATTGGACCATCCTCCATCTGATTCACACTTGAACAGGTGTTCAAAATCGGTGTGGGACAATTCTTGCCCCTACCCACCCCGATCTTCTCCAATTCTTCAGACAAAACAACAAACTAAAAAAAAAAAAAGAAAAAAAAAAAAAAACTGTCAATAATTAATCCGGATTTTTTGGGGGTGCACAAAACACATCTGCATACGGTTATTCCGAGAATTTTCCAGCATTTTGAGCTTCTGGTGATTATTTGTCCGACAGTTTTGTTTGGGGAAATAGAGTGAAATTAGAACCTGCTAACAATCGCTCGGTTCTTTCTGAATCTAATCGCGCTACATATTTGTTTGTATCAACTTGCGAACTTTTAAGACTTCTGCCCCAGTTGAATGGATGCGGCAACTGAATTTGGCATCTTGTTCCATATCCCTTTGATTTTTTCTTATTAGTTGTTTGTAGCTCGTATTGCTTGTACAGTGGGGCAAAAAGATATCTTTACGTTCTTGCCACCATTAACATGTTTAAGAAGAGAACGCAATACTACATTTAATATGACGACTTCTGGTTGAATGCTCACTTTTGACCCAAGGTTATACTCAGCTCTAGTATAATGCAGTGCTAACCGAAGTAAGTTATATCATTTGGCTTTAAGATTAAATATTCTCACCATTTTAGTTTCAGTTTCTAAAAAAAAAATGGCGTCAGAGTTAATCCGACGATAGGATTTTCCTTACTGCAAGAGTAATTGGAAAAAAATAGAAAGGGCCTCCTCATTATCGTTACTCGTGTTTGCTTTGGGTAGTTCGGAAAAAAAATTTTCCTCTTCAGAACAACACGATTTGCCGAGTTCCCACCCATTAGTTGACCGATGTAGCTCGCGGGGTCTGATTTGCCTTTTGATTTTCAAAGTTGCAACCCTAACAAAACCAAAAGGCACTTGTAAGCTGTTACGTTACGTGATGAAAAATCAGAAGATATTGTTATGGATGATAATAGAGCTCATGATACTAAACCAGATACTGGTAACTGAACTCACTCCGGCTTAGCTAATTTTAATTGCCGAAGATGAAGTAATGGTTAACAACCCGAACAAAGCAGAATTTGCGAGTGGCAAAGCTTTAATTCATCATCTCCATATTTGAGGCTTATTCCCCTGATATATCGGCTTGCTATAGTTCATTTGTAATGAATGGCTAATAACGGTTATGTGCAATATCAGACTTAGTAAACAACTTGAAATGTTTGAAAACTGGCGTAACTGTACTTTGGTTAGAGGTTTGTATTTACTACAATAAAGTACCTGATTTTCATCGTCTCTTTGCTCAAATCATTTGTTCACAAGACGCTACTTTGTCCCAGGCGAATGTTTCCCTGTTTCTATTCTGTTCTTGATAGTTCTTTTGGTAAACTTCTAGTTACGTTTACAGATGTATGGGTTTATGGAAATGACGAGAAGCCCGCGTAGTGTAGAGGAAGACTGGGGAATAGCTCCTAGAGACATTTATCGAGTTAAGGAAGAGCCATGTCCGATTTGCTTTATCTGAGTTGAAGAATAGTTATTGTAATGTTCTTTTGAGGAGAGCAAGATTATATTTCGATTAAAACTGCTTTTTGATTGAAGAACTCTATTGGTTTTCTCGGAGCTTGTCCTTCACAAATAAGCAAGAGAATACCCTTCCATCTATTTTAGTGTCCAATGAAGCACTTCACTTATAGCTCAACACTAAACTGCTTGGTATCTGAGGGCCCCAATCACAATTGCACCAATAGCAGTGTTGATGGTATGTAACACCGGCAACAGCACGTGAGAATATGCCTAATTTCATCATTGCTTCACTGTTGCATTGACTCTAATAATGAAGTTTCATAGTAACATCTTCAACGGGTCATAGACAAGGTGGAAATCAATACCAGAACATAGGCAAGACTGAAAATCTTGAAAAAAAAAAATCTTCGTTTGAATAATACTAGCCATCGATAAAAAAATTGAAACTTGATGCATTTTTTATATTTCAGGAGAGTACTTAAGTTTAACTACATAATTAAATCCAGTAGGTATTTACAAATTTAGGCTAGCTTATTAGAAATAAATAACAGCAAAAACCTTTTTGCAACTATCTGGCTGCGAAATCTCGTTCTTTTTACGAGTATCCTCCTATATGTCTTCTTTACCCCACATAAAAACATAGAGAGAATTTACTTAGTTCAGTCAGTTACAGGCTTTGATAGTTGAAATATGAGGATGGGGACCTAAAAGATTGGGTAAACTAAGAATTTTGCCAGGATAGTTCCTCCCGGCCTCCGGTATTTCTCTGTTTTTTCAACAGCCAGTATAAAGTAAATCGGTATTCTTTCATTTCTTGAAAGTTCCTGTAATTACATTCAAGAGTTGAGAATAGTAATATTAAGTAAGTGTTCGGTTACCTTAAAGCTTGGAGAAAAATTGTTAACTTCGTATGATCAATTTCTTAGAATAAATTATAAACTACGATTTTGCCACAAGCCTTTATCATCTCTTCAGTTTTTGTTAATGCATAATGTTTTTTGGAGTCTTTCAAACAATTGGGAGCCATATCTGGTGGGTCAACTACAAATACAATGAGCACCGACTCACAACTTAAGGATGGTGACACATTTCTCTGGAAAGGCGACTGCAATTCGTGTAACCCATTAATCAAAGTGTTGGAATAAAAGATGGGGTATGACGAATCAAAAGATCAGGGCTTTTGGAGTAACCAGGTTTTTGATTGTAAATTTCAACACGGAAGTAGAGATGATAAATGGTATACGGGAAAATCCAAAGATGAAGAAAAAGGTAGCTCAAACTCGATCAACGAATTTCACATATGTTATGTTGATACGCCATGTCCATGAACCTTGCTTAACGGTATCACTCTGCTATGGCTAAGTTTCTACATGAAAAAGTAACTTAGCGCCATCTATATGTAAAATGGTTGCCACTTGTCTTCTTCAACTTCTAAATACTTAGTAAAAGTTTTCTAATAGGCTATTAACCGATAAAGTTTAATATATCTTTATTAAAGCAGCACTCTATGGCGTATTAGTAGTGTAGACCATATATTTGGTGTACGGGTGTGTAATGTTTTTTTTCTCTTTTTTTTTTTTTTTATCGTCTTCGAGATGAGACTGAAAAATTAGATGAAGAGCTGATTCAATGTCAAGCTGCAAATCACCATCTTACACACATAACATATATATAGACAATGTCATCCACAAGAGGGAAGGTAGTTCAAGTGAGGAACCCCACCTTGCCTAATCAGACAAGCCCGGAACAAAGATACTGGAAAGGATTTGTTAACCCACAACTAATAAAAGAAAATCATCCTATAACTCATATTCATTTTAATCCGGTTGCCCCTCATGATTATGCCGTTACTTCATCTACTAGAATTCAAGTATTCTCATCCAAAACTAGACAAGTCACTAAAACTTTCTCAAGATTTAAAGATACTGTTTACTCGGGTGAATACAGATACGATGGGAAATTACTTGTTGCTACCGATGCTTCAGGTCTAGTATCAATTTTTGATAGTTATCAAAGAAATTTACTAGTAAGTTTACAACCTTCGGGACATCCCACTCATGTGGCAAAATTCCACCTGACCGTTGGTAATCAATTAATCACTGGTTCAGATGACAGAGTTGTTCGTTTATATGATATTTCACAAACTACCAAAGGTCCAATAGTTGAATTCAATGATTCATATCACGGTGATTATATAAGAAGTGCAAATTTTATACCTGGAAATCCAAATTTAATAACCACTGGTTGTTACGACGGGAAAGTCCGTATATTTGATACAAGACAACAATCTATTGTCGCCAAATTTAATCAAGGTAATCCAATTGAAGATGTTTTAGCATTATCTCCAACTACTTTAGTCAGTGCAGGTGGGCCTCAAGTTAAAGTTTGGGATTTATCAAGAGGTTCTCAAATCCATGAATTAAATAACTTCACTAAAACCGTTACATCATTACATGATTCAGGTGAGCGTGGTTTAATGGTTGGTTCATTAGATGGACATGTTAAAATGTTTGACTATACTTCTGCCAATTGGGAAGTTAAATTCGGTTGGAAATTTGGTAGTGGAGGAGTTTTGAGTTGTGCAGTTTCTCCAAATCATAAGCATTTCGTAACTGGTTTAACTACTGGTTTGTTATCAGTTCGTACTAGAAAGACTGAACCAAAAGTTGAACAAGGGGTTAAACAAACTAAAACCAATGCATACAGTAGAATGATGAGAGGTTCTGATTATTTGGGTGAAGAAGAACATCGTATAATTCAAACAGCAACCACTCAAACAAAAAAATTAAAACAATTTGAAAGACACTTGAATGCTTTTAAATGGTCTTCTGCTTTAGATAGTGGATTCGCTCATGGTGTTACAAAAGACATTACTATAACCGTTATGAATGAATTAAAGAAAAGAGGTAAAATTAGAGTGGCATTATATGGAAGAGATGAAATCTCTCTTTTACCAATTTTACAATGGTGTGTTAAGAATTTAGATGATGTCAAGTCTTTCAATATAATTTGTGATTATATTGGTGTCATACTAGAAATGTATGGCTCATTGATTGATCAAAGTGTGGTCTTGGAAGAAATTTTCACTAATTTATCAAGAAAGATTAATACCGAAATCAAAAAATGTAAAGAAGCTAATGAAATTGGTGGTATGTTGGAATTATTGACTGTATAATCTATATATATACATTTAAAATAAATAATATTGTACATTAATAAGAACCTTTGTTCTTCTTTCTTTTCCTTCTTCTTCTCTGTTTTTCCGATGCAATTTCTTTACATTTATCAGAGCAAAACCATTTATTACCACCTTTGGTATATTTCATTGCCTCAACCCTATTGAAAAGTCCAACACATTTATAATGAAACCATTCACCATTAGGACATGCGTCATTGTCGCATGCAATCATACCCCCAAGAGATGGTTGGCGACAGAAGCAGTAAGGTTTGTTATCCTCATCTTCAGCTGTTTCTGCTAGGTAAACCTCACTGTCTTGTTCTTTTGGCTCTATTTTCTTTCTGGTATGTTTGGATGTTGAAGCAACCGGTTTGCTCACTTTGTAAGAGCTCCTTCTTCCCTTAGGTTCCTCCGGTTGAGCAATTTGTTGCTTGGAGTCTAATCTGGGTCTACCTCTTGGTTTAGTCTCTCCTTTCAACTTGTCACTTTCATTAGTTTTTGGTTTTACTATTCTGGGTCTTCCTCTAGATCTATTACTGATTTCAACTCTGGATCTTCCCTTCAGCTTCAATTTCGTTTTATCCTTAGATAATCTTAATACCAATTTAATGCCACTGCTCGTTTCTTGATCAGTTAATTTCTGATTATTTGCATTTACTGAGTCCATCTCATCTTGTTCTTTAAGTGCTTCCTTTTGAGATGTAAGGGGGTTTTTCCTATAGTGTTCAATGAGCTGAGCTCGAAGTTTATCCTGATCTTCTGAATTTGCTGTTAAAACGCCCGAATTTTGGGCTAGATTTCGTAATTCATCAACTTCATCACTTAGTGTTATTTCATGCGTTATCAATTGGTTATGCAAAGCCTTTGCTTCGGCAGTGGCCTCTAAATTGAGGGACTGTATTTTCAGCTTGAGGAACTTGAGCTGGTTTATAATATTCTTCTTATCTACCAATGGATCATGCTGTAGCTGTAATAATAAATCATGTAGCCTTTGTCGATGTCTATCAACTGCAATATTACATGCCTGTATTAGCCAAAGAGACCGTATTATGTCACAAGGTAGATGGTCAACAGTGGAAATGAAAGTATTATGAATCGAAGATGAATGTTGTATGACTGAACTCATAAGATTATTAATAATAAACTTCAATTGGTTAACTTGGGCTTGTTTATAAATGACTTTACTAGATCTTATTTTCACTCAGTATCGACACACCCGTACACCGCTAGCCCAAAAGTTTTTTACAGCTACAATGAAAATTTTTTTTACTAAGATGCCCCTTTATTAAATAATCTAAACTAAATAACTACAGAGCCCCTTATACTTTAAAAATAGATATAGAAAGATAAAATTAAAACCAACTAAAAGTCAGGACTAATTTAGTTTTCTAAGTCTTTCTTTAAAGTACCCATGAAAGCGTGTTTTTCAGCTGGGGTTTGGAATCTACCTTTACCGAATTTAGAGGCGGTATCGATCCATTTCAAGTTAACCTTTTCGGTAGCTCTTCTAGAGGTGTCAACGTATAAGGATTTTCTTAAAGTAACAACTCTCTTTTTGGTACCTGGGATAGAACCTTTAACCATAACGAAATCGTTTTTAACGTTACCGTATCTAACGAAACCACCCATTGGGTTAATAGTTTTCTTGGTTCTGTCAAATTCAGTAGCACCATTAGCTTCATCAGCACCGGAACCAACTCTGTAAACTTTGTGGTTGATAGAGGTTCTGTGGTGGTAACCGTTTTGACCAGCTCTGGCAACGGTCCACATAACATTAGCTGGATGCCAGGCACCAATACAAGCAACCTTTCTTAAACCTCTGTGGGTTTTTCTTGGTAATTTTTTGGTACCCCATCTGTGGGTAACACCTTCGAAACCGTGACCTTTAGTAACAGCAATAACATCAATCATTTCATCTTGTTCGAAAACAGAATCAACAGTGACGGTTTTTTCAAAGTGTTCTTTAGCCCAGTCGACTTTATCAGAGATAGAACCACCATTAACTTGGATTTCAGCTAAGTGAGCTTTCTTTTGAGATAATGGAGTCTTTTTGATTTGAGTGTGAGCTAAAACTCTAACAACGGTAGCGTATTTCTTAATTCTGGCTAATTCACGTTCAATTTGGGCACCATCTTGAGCGTATTTAGCAGAGTATTTGGTGAAAGCCTTCTTTTTAGATTTGTACCAGTTTTTGTAGAATCTTCTCTTGATTTCTTCAGACAAGTGTTCAGCCCAAACGGTAGTTAAAGATCTTAAACCTCTTGGGGTTTCAACGTAACCAACAACACCAACAACAACTAATGGTGGAGTGTCAACAACAGTAGCAGCTTCAACAATTTCACGCTTGTGCATTTTAGAACCTGGACGGTCTAAGTCTCTAACGATGGTGGTCATACCAGCTTTGTAACCTAAGAAAGCAGTTAAAGCAACTGGTTTAGATTTGACATCTTTTGGGAAAGACTTAACTCTACCTCTTTGTTTGGCAGCTCTCTTTCTTGGTAAGAAACCCAAGGAACCGTGACGTGGTGCTTCGTATTTTCTGTGAGACATTTCTTGATTAAAATGTTATTAACAACTAAAGAAAGAAAAGAAGAAGAAGAAGTTTAGATGTGAAAAATTTTTCTTTTAAACTCAAAGGAACCTTTGAGAATTGTGAGAAGACAAAAAATTTTTCAGCGAAGAAGTCGTGCGTGCGACAAACATTGGGAAAATTTTTGGGGAGGCAGGTGTATTCTCTGAATTACTCGCGAGACCACAAAATACACTTGGTGTAAGGGTGCATGGCATTTCGACTTATCTGGTCTTGGTTGCAAACTCTGAAGAATGGGTATATTCGACTGGAACGGTCCGTGTAATCAGCATCGAGCAAGGGATTGATTGGAAAAGCAAGCAGAGTAAACAAAATAATGGGAAAGAACAGGAGTGAACTTTTCTAAGACGCTGTGGGGTTACGAAATGGTAGGTAGGGGTTAGCAGATGGATTGGAGTTGTTGAAAGTACGTTATAATTAGAGCAATGCATTAGTTTACGGTGGAAAGAGGAGTTTTCATTCTCGGATAGACAACGGGAAGGTAGGTAAGGTAGTTCCAGCTGCCCGAGAATTGTTGAAAAAGCGGAATAAATCCTTAGGCAACAAAAAAGGCTTACACGGAGTCGGATAACAAAAGAGCCTGTGGAGAGTTATAGAGAAAGGATCAAATGTTTTGGAGAATATTCGTATCCAGCTTTGTAAAATGAAGATTGAAGCAAAATTCAACGAAATTTAGCAAAAAAATGTATTTTTTGCCAAAAAATTCGTAAGCTTTGTACGTATGAATTGATAATCCCTGAAGAATTTTCAAGAACAATAGTGAAATTGCAACAATCCTTTTTTTTTCCAAAAAAAATCATAGCACTATAACCGTTGCATAATGATGACCGTAATGCTCATTAAGTGATATAGTTTGTAGTTGTTTACAGTAGTTTACAGATGTTTACTCAGTATACGTTATCAGCTAACTTGCGGAATTCCACGACTAGTGCTGAGCCCATAAACTGGTAAATACGAAATGGTTGGGAAAAGGACAGTAATAAGCAAGCCCCTTATTGTATATGCTGTACTTGGAATTAAGCTGCTGGAGTAGTGGAATTAAGCTGCTGCTTGAAGAGATATGCTTTAATAGGAGTAAGGATTCGCAATGGATTTGCAATATTTTTTCGAATGCTGCAAAAATAGCTAAATGTAATTTTGACTACATGAATATCAATGGGAAATCGCCGGAATGTATTTGAAATAAAGGGAGAAACGGGCCAAGATTCAGAACTGAAAGGAAAACTAATTCTAAAATAACAAAACAGAATGGAAGGAAGAAGGTATACGAGAGAAAGAAATANAAAAAAAAAAAAAAAAAAAAAACTAAAGAGTTCAATAAAGCATTTTCTATTTTCTTTTAATATGAATGATTTTTTTCAAAGCCGATTTTGCATCACCATTTTCGTCATTTGAGTTGCTTGTAGAGGTGTTGACTTCTTCATCGGATATTTTTGAATCTTTTATGGAGGAATCATGGGTTAGACTCATTAATTCATTCATGTTAATGGTGTTATTAATGGGAGAGTTATTTTGATTCATAAAGAAATCTTGATTAGATAAGAATTGTTGATTATTGGAAGAAATCTTCAGTTGAGGAGAATTAATATTCATCATTGAATACATCATTGAATTGAATTGAGGGGTTAAGTTAAAGGATAAGTTATTTGATAAAAAATTAGAAGAAGGAGTTAAACCAGTTGAGGAATAAAGATAATTTTCTTTAATTTTTGGAGTTTGAGGTAATTGGGGTAAGATTGATGATTTATTATTTAATTTATCAAGTGGAGATGAATCGTGTTCATTGATTGAGTTTAAATTTGGCGCATAAACATTTGAAGTATTAATTCCGGTGAAATCTGAATTATGTCTTCTTAGTAAGTTTGGCCCAGTTGAAGTATCAGTAGATGTAGATGGCGGGTTTGTTGTAGCTGGTCCCGATAAATTGGTTTCGCTCAGGGATCTTTTAAATAGATCATTTGATAAAACCGCTTTACCAGAATCATCAACGGTTAATTTCAATTGAAATCCGTTATCCTTCTTTTCAGGTTTTGGATCAGTTTTTTGGTCAACTTTTTGATCATTTTTCTCTTTGGAAGCTATTGAAACCGGAGGTAACAAGTTCTTATCAAACTCGTTTGGAATTAGCATCGAAGGATTGAGCATCGGCTGAGAAGAAGACCGGTTAAACTTTGGTGGTGCTGGTGCTGGATGGTGGTTAATTTGATACGGGTGGTGGGGCACCGATTGCAGCGACGGAGGAGTATTATATATATCTGAATGAGTGATATAGGAGATATTATCCAAAGTTTTTGAATTGATATGATGATTGAAAGGAGTGTTGTGATTGGTACTCGAGTAAGGAGTAACCAACTGATCATTTAGCTTATGTTTTTTGGTAGGAGAATCATTTGAAGGAGATATTAATCCAGTTTTTGATTTTGACCGTTTCTTCAGGGGTGAAGAAGATTTCAGCGGAGAACTCAATTTATTAGGAGACACCTTCAAAATTGAAGTATAGTAATCTGGATTTTTCCTTCTAGTGATTAAATTTGAGTTTGATTCTGCGGTAGGAGAACTATTTAAAGGTGACGTATTAACATTAATATTCATCGTTGTAGTAATCCTAGTACTTAACGAATCAGCTTTAGGAGGTCTACCTCTCTTTCTCTTCATTGGAGGTGAAGTATTACTAAAATTAAAAGATGTTGTATTCTTTGAATTCGACGACATCTTTAAATGTTCACTAGATGGGTTTATGATAATGTTTGACATGTGGAACAAGTCAAACAGAGATAAATAAAGAAAAAAGACAAAGTATTATCGGGATAAAAGAGCGTAAATGAATTAATGAAAATTTCTGAAACACCCTAACTATGGAATTTTCAATATTAATATACCGAATATTATCATTAAATAAATAAATAATAAGGCAATAAACAACTTACTATGTAAATAACGTCTCCTTTCACTAGTTGAACATCCAACTTGCAATCTGTAAATACAACATGTAAATGGCTGGGTCCCCCTTCACCCTTCATTTTTCTATTCATGCCATTTAGTACCCTTCACTTGTTGGAAAAGGTACGCGTACAATGGTCTTTACCCAATCGAGTTAAATTACCAGCAGATTAGCCCCCTTTTAACCACAAAAAGTATTCATTTACATGTTCATATGCTTGAACACTACATAACACCCTTACTTAACCTACGTATTCGATGAGGTTTAGTGGGTTGCTATTTCAGATCTACCGGTGCTCTGAAAAAGAAAGAAGCGTATCTTTGTATTTGATTCGAGATTTGATGTACAACCGAAAATTTATTTAAGTTGGAAAAGTGATAAAAGTGCCGTTTCTTTATCTATTTGAGCCATAAAAAAGGGTATTGTAATGCAGGTAAGATATCCTAAGCAAGGGCAAGGTATATGTAGTGGGAGAAGGTGAGGAGTTCATCGATGATCTTCAATTTCCTATTATCTATTATTATTTGGGCTTTTCATAATGACATAACATTGAGTACTTTTTCGTATTGCAAGATACTCATTGTATAGCCACAAGTCTATTGTGAGTTATGTTGGACGTAAGCTACGGAAAAGACACAAGTTGAAAAGGGTGTTATGAGGAGTGCCAACGGTTTGATGTATTAGGTATTAAGTGTTGGATTAGTGAAGTATTACTCAAGTATCAACGAGAATTATCGATGATGTATTGAGAAATCAGTAATTATCAAGTATCAACTATTCAGTATTAATCAACCAGGTAATCAACCAGGTAATCAACCAGGTAATCAACCAGTTAATCAACCAGTTAATCAATCAGGTAATCAATCAGACAATCTATAATCAGACAATCAATAATCAGATAATCAATAATCAGACAATCAATAATCCGATCAATAATCAGGTATTAATTATTAAATCATTTTCATCAAGTATCAGATATCATTGATTCTACATCAGCTTGCTTTTCATACGGACTCCCAGAAGCTGAATCGTACGAATCGTAGTCGTATGAATCGTATAAATCGTATAATTTTGCAGTTTTACTAACGCACTACGTCGGTTTGCGAAAGTCATCGTACTTATATAAACCCAATTGAAACATCTCTTTTCCAATACCTTTCCAAAACCAAGGATGTCCAAACTAAACCCTCTCACTACTCATAGAGAGTTCTCTGGGTTACCAGGTGCCATTTCCATCACTTTGTTTCTCCCGCTTGTTCTTGTTTTTTTCGCTTTGGTCACCAATGAAAATTATTCAATCAAAGGCATAAATCTTCAATTACAGCCAATTTTAGATCAAGTACCATCCAACTTGGACCAATTGATTGATTTATGTTTCGATCGTGAATGCTGGGTTGCGTATTTAGCATGGTTCTTCGGTTTGGTCATAGTAGATCAAATTATCCCCGGTAAACAGTTACAAGGGATCGAACTACGCGATGGTTCTAAATTGAACTATAAAATTAACGGGAAATTAATGTCTTTGACTTTAATAGTTGTTTTAGTCAGTAGATTATACACTTCTAACGATTACTACTTACCTGAATTGCAATTTTTATACGATAATCAATTGAAATTAACCATCGTGATCACCATTTTTTCCTTTTTATTATCATTCTTCGTTTACTTTATTTCCTTCATTCCTTTATCTTACGAAAATGGCTTGGGTACTAGAGAAAGAATATTATCAGTTAATGGGAATGCAAAAAATCCTATTTACGATTGGTTTATCGGAAGAGAATTAAATCCTAGAATAGGTAATTGGGATATTAAGTTATTCTGTGAATTAAAACCAGGGCTCTTATTATGGTTCTTGATTAATTTATCATGCATTCAACATCAGTATCAAATTCATGGTCAGGTAAGTGATTCTCTTGTTTTAGCAAATGTTTTGCAAGCATTTTACTTATTTGATGGGGTTTTAAATGAAGAAGGTGTTTTATCAATGATTGACATCACTACTGATGGATTTGGGTTCATGTTATGCTTTGGTGATTTGGCTTGGGTTCCTTGGTCTTACTCTTTACAATCTCGTTACTTATCCTTGAGTGATAATTATTATACTTTAGGTTATTTCAAATGTTCGCTTATCATCGGTACTAGTATTTTAGGTTACTATATTTTCAGTCAATCAAATAATCAAAAATCTGAATTTAAACAAGGCAAATTAAATCATTTGAAAAGTATTCCAACAAAAACCGGCTCAAAACTTTTATGTGATGGTTGGTGGAAATTATCTCAACATACTAATTATTTTGGTGACTGGTTAATTGGTTGGTCTTGGTGTTTACCTACTGGATTTCAAACTCCTTTAACCTATTTTTATGTGATTTACTTTGGTACCCTTTTAGTTCATAGACAAAGAAGAGATGAAGCCAAATGTAGTGCCAAGTACGGCGATGCTTGGATCGAATACCAAAAACAAGTTCCTTATAAAATTATTCCTTACATTTATTAATTTCTTATATATAGATAATATATATTCAATGTATTTTCAAAAATATTTTAACTATTTATTCAGTCTTCTTTTCAAAATCAACTTGTTTATCAAATGATTTATATGAAATTTCCAAACTTGTCATCCATCCTAAAGCAGTGTATAAAACAAAAAGTAAAAATGCCGATACAATGAAAGTTTGCCAAATACCTGGAGTGAAAAATTGGTAATTGGTGAAGAGATTCGAATTTCTATTCACATTTTTAGAAGGTTTTGCGCTAGGTTCATTGAAAATCGTAACCATGGCTTCTTCACTTTCTTGTGCAAGAAATGATTCAGCAGCTTTTAAATCCAGTTCAACTTCAGCCATCAAATCATCATAATTATCAGCCATTTCTTCACTAATTGGTTCAGTACCACTAGCTTGTCTCTTTTCCTGTTTTTTATCAAGTTTCAACTTATTAAAAGTTGGTTTTCCTTGTACAATAAAATTACCTTTAGAATTAATAAATTCTTCAACATCATGCTTCCCGCCATCTTCAATATCAACAATAGTAAGCTTGGCTTGAGAATTACCTAAGTCTTCAATTGATGAGTACTCAACAACGCCATTACAAGCTCCATTTATTTGTAAATCCAACTCTTCTGGTTCTTCATAGAAAACATGCTTAATAAAAGTCCCCTTCCCATCAGATGGTATATCATGACTCAAATTGCTAACTCTATAAATAACCAAGTTTTCCTTCGCTCCACCATTACATGCCATTGCAGTAATTGAATCTATGGATTTAGCCAATTCATCTGCTCTAATAATATATGGGAACTTGGTCTTCAAATTTTGAGATGAATAAAATGGCGCAGTGTCCGAAAACCCTTGCACAGATGATATTATGGCACTGGACGCAATCAAAAAGACACTAGACAACTTCATTCTATGGTTCTGGATGGTTCTTTAGAATTGATTGATAATAGCCCACAAGTTTCGTTTAGTTGGAGTTTTTTCCCTGATAAATTGAGAAGGATTTCACCGGTTTAGAAAAAGTAGTGAGAATCACCAATTTTTTCATCTTCAATATATCAATATAGATATATCAAGGATAGACTGAATCACTGTATTGTTTTAGCTTAAGCATACTTTACCGAATATATCCGTTGTTATATAAAATGGCTGTTGATATACCCAAGTACGTACCAGTTGCAGGCTGCTTCAATTGAATACCATACTAACCAAACCATTTAGGTCCGTTGTTCAAAAATTGACCTTTTTCACTGGTGCCATGGTCATCTTCCCGGTACTTTCATTCTTCGTATGCCAATGGTTGTTCAATAATAACGCTATAATAAGTGGAGGTGTTGCTGCGTTAGTGGCCAATATCGTCTTAATTGGCTATATCGTGGCTGCCTTTACTGAAGACACTACTAAATATGACTCTGAAAAACCAGAATCCAAGAAATCCCAATGATTTATTACCAATTGCTACTTGTACTACTAGTTACTATCTCGTGTATATCATAATAATATTGTTTGTATTGGATTACTCTGTAGTTAATGATTTCCCAAAATTTTTTTTTTCAGTATTTGCGCAGTGGATATATCTTCGAAGATGAATAACATCAAGCACAATTCAAATAGGTGAAGAATAAGCATGGTTCACCAGTTATCATTAGTGTCGAGCATACCGCATAGTAGCTATATACAAACAGTATCGACTCTCCAGGCATTGACGGGCTTAACGTCTCCACAACCGATCAATACTTATACGCTTTTAACAAGACCCCATGATGTTTTCAAACCAAAGTTTGAACCAGGTAAAGTGAATCAAATTGAACAGTACCATATGCGATGTACCACTACATGGTCCGACGTTACAAGTGAAAACTTGGACATTTCAAAACCAATAATGAAAAATGATGAATCTAATGAAATATATGCTGATAGGCTTTTCGTGGGTGATGATACAAAGAAAGAATGGACTTTACAAATATCCGATATCCCAAACGCTGGGAAGAATCAAGTCTGCTCAGCCCAAAACATATACGAAAGTACCTTGGTGCATCATCACACTAGTGTGGTGGATATTGAAAAAGTCTCGGTTGAAGATAAACAGGATGATGCAATGGAAATTGATGAACCAGTCAAAGAGGAACCAAAGAGTCAAACCATGTCGGAAGATTCTCCATTAAAGAAGGAAGCAGACGACAAGCCAGAGCCAAACGAAGGTAAGCTGGATGAAAGTAAACCCGAGGAAGGTAAAGCCGATGAGAGTAAACCGGATGAAAGTAAAGCTGACGAAAACAAATCTGATGAAAGTAAGTCAGAAAGTAATTTGGATAAGAGTAAACCCGATGAAATCAAGCCAGAAAGCAAGCCGGAAAGCAAGCCCGAAAGTAATACGGAAAGTAAGCCAGATGAAAGTAAAGAAATCAAGTCGGAAAATCCATCCGAACCAATAGAAGTCTCAGATCAGCCAAAGTTTAAAGAGGTCGAAGTCAAAAAATACCAAGATTCATTTCTACAATTCTTGGGGGATTTAGGTTATGACGTTGTAAATCAATACTGGATCAAAGGTATTAGATTTTTCCATGGTGATATTGTGATTGAAATTTTTAAAATCTTTATTAGAGATGATTCTCCAGTGCCCAGTAATGGCAAATTGAAACTCAAATTACTCGATGAATCAAATACTTTCCAAATTAAAGCATATTTAAATTTCCCTAAATCTACAGATGTTGAACCTATAAAACAAGGTACAAAGGAGCTTTTAAGGTTACAGGATTTCTTTAAAAACTTATTTAAACTAACTATTCCTGATAGAATGTATATGGACTCAAGAGTCTTAAATAGGCAACATTAAAATAATATAAAAACTAACCCTGGCGTGCTTTAACTGTAAAATAAGAACTTTCACTATCCGGGTGTAATTTTCGTATATCAAAATCGATTTCTCCCTTCTCTTTATCAACTTTTCCTGGAAGACTTTCAATTTCTTCTAGCAAGTCTTGTAAACTAACGGGTTTTTGTAAAATGTGATCACTGGCTATTAAACGAAACAGCCTATCGTTAGCTTCTTCTGTTGAATCCATGTTTGAAGTATCATTATCATATAAATGTTTTACGAAACCCATCTGTTGACCCAAAGCAGAAGCAAGTTTCTCTCTTTCAACACTTGAAACATCATTGGTAAGTCCGGATAACCGGACTATTTTATCCATGGTTTTATCACTTATTTGGATCCTATCATTGGGATCAGATATGAGATCTTTAACTGCCCAAGTTGATTTATTCAAATACTCGTTTATCTCTCGTTCCGTTTTTAGTAACCTTTGATTACTAGTGGACGCTCTTATTGAGGAACTGAACTGCCGCCTTGCAACGAAACAGAACTTTCTAAACATTGCCTAAGATACTCTTACTGATTAAGCTAAGTGTTTTGGCTGAATTTTCATTCTCAAAAGCCTGCGCAAAACAAAAAAGGAACAAAAAAAAATCGATACTTTTTATGATAATTACAATAATATGAACTAAATTAAACCAAGTATAAAATAAAGACGTTGAAATAAAGAAAGAATACAAAATAGATCTATATATACAATAAATGGAAGAAGGAATGCTAAACTTAATTATTCTTTTTATTTAATTTTTCTAATTCAGCTTTTGTTTTATCAATTTTTCTTCTCTTTTTAGCCAAATCATCTTGTCTTGCTTCTTTCTTATCAATACCGTATTGCATCTTCTTATATAATTTACGTTGTTTGTTTGTCATCATGATCTTCTTCAATTCTTTTTCTTCATCTTCAGCAGATCTCTTCTTACCACCATTCTTTTGTTTAGTTTCTTTAGTGTCAGAGAATTTAACACCAGCAGCTTCAGCTTCTAATTCTTTTTGAGCTTTAAGATCTTCATCTTCTTCATCTTCATCTTGATCAACATCTTCTTCAGCAACTTCGGCGTCTTCTTCGTCTTCATCTTCAACATCATCAGCAACTTCGGTTGGTCTAGCATTAGGATCATAACCACCAGCATCACCCCATGGAGATAAATGAGGGGGTAAAGTTTCACCAGGAGCATATTGATTCACAGGTAATAATTCACTTTTATTGATAGAATCAAAAATCCATTGAGGTTGAACATAAGTTCTACCAGCAACTTTCGAATTAATTTTAGGTCTATCAACAATTTGATGAGTAATTTTAGATAAATCTAATTTTTTAAAAGATTCAGGATGGTTAATTTGTAAATCGTCAAGAGCAATTTCAGAAATTAAGGAACCACCAGCTGATAAAATACAAAATTCTAAAATATCTAATGGTACTTCACGACCAACGTAAAAGATAAATTTAGAAAATAAAGTTGAAGTTGGAGATGCATATTTTGAAGGTTGAGATAATAAATCACCAGTGGTTTTATTAGTTGAAGCGAATTCATCTAATTCGATTTCTTCAACATTTTCATTTACTTCTGATTCTTCATTTTGATCTTCTTCTTTATCAGCTTCTAAAGCTTTTGATATTTCAGCGTTAGATAATTTAGTTTCTGGAATGTTACTGGACTCTTCTTCTTGAGGTTGTTTTTCTTTAGGTAATAATGCATTAGCACCTTGTTCCACTGATTTTAAGACATAAGATGATAATCCACCAACTGCCTTCAATTTAGAAATATCAATGGTTGGAGGATAAATCAAATTGGCATCGTTATACAATCTGTATAAAACAAAGTGTAAAAGAGTAGAATAAAATTCTAAAAAGGTTAACATAATTCTAAAATCAACATCACTTGGAATATTAGTTGGAAATTTAAAAGGAACTAACCATCTAACTTCTTGACCTTTGACATTAGCTTGATAATAAACCCCTTTAATAGAAACGAAGACCTTTTTAATTAATCTTTCCTTAGCAACGTATGCTAACCATTGATTAGTTAATCTTTCAGCTTCTTTAGTAACCCGATGACTAACTTTATCAGTGGCAGGCATATTAGCGAAAAGGAATAACATATTTAAAGGATCATCAAGGTCTCTTAAAGCATCCAAGAAAGTTGGATATCTTTCCTTAATAATATGTTCTAAAGTATATTTTGGACGATTGGTTTCTAATCTTTCGGCATCACCAACTTCACCTCTACCTAATGCTTTTTGTAATTTTCTAGCAAAGGTCTTATGTTCTCTGAATTTGGCCAAAACTGGTTCATGCAATAAGTATTGAATATCCTTAGTATAGTAAAAGGTCACTGGTGCTGTAGACCCTTTATTAGCTTTCTTCTTGTTTCTTGGTTCCCTTGGATAAATACCTTTAAAAATACAAAGACGACGGAAATCAGCTAAAGAAACTTGTAATTTCTTAACTGCCTGAGTTCTGGTGACGAAATTCTTAGCGGCACCAGTGGCACCTTTCCTCCTAATCTTAGCCATGTTTAATCTTGAACCAAATAGCTTCTTTACTGAAGGTATCTTCTAAATTTTTTTTTTTTTTTTTTTCACTTTTTAGTAGGTTTTTTCGTGATGAGCATTTCAATTTTTTTTTGTTCTCTTTTTTTTCGCTGTTTTTTTTTGTTTTGTTAGAGGAAAGGACTCTCACAATGTACAGGACCACCAGATTTTGCAATAATCAAAGAATCAGCTACTGGTTCGGGTCTTGTTTTGGTCTTTTGATGTCACAAGACAGGACGTCACTGGACTGGGGCCGCTTGCTGCGGAGTGAGCGGGTATATTGAGTATCGATGTAAGCTACTAGAACCCAGTGGCAGTTGAACCTGTTAAGCCACTCGAAACGAAAGTCGTTTTCCTTGAATGGAACGTAGAAAAGCCCTTTGAAGTTTGCAGCAAGAAGATCACATAAGTAGTATAAAACTGTAGCTGGGAACTCGATCAATGGCTTTCGCCAGCTTGACACAAGAAGGTCTACTAGGTAATCTAGCTGATTTTGCAACTGGGCCTTGACGATTCTGTGTTTTTCAACCGCGATGTCAAGTCCTAGTGCTTTGTCCAAGTCCTCTTTCGTGAAGCCAATTTGGGCCTTGAAGAAAAAGTAGATGGGGAGAGTTGAATGGTTAGCGAGTCGGTGTCCGTTTTTCTTTTCTTTTGCCCGTTGGATTCTCTTCACAAGCGTTTGTTTTCTTAAGAATGAGTTGTGCAGTTGCAACTGGAAAGGGTCGATAGACGGACCAAGTGCGTTGTACGATCTGCTATGTGTGTCAAGGCTGCTTTCAGCAACCGAGCCGTAGCTGGAACCGTTGCTGGAAGAGGAGGTAGAGTCGGTTTCAAGAGCCATATTCACCAGTATAAAAGAGAAGTAGTTCTAATTTCTAAAGGAGTAGAAGTTGGGAAGAAAAGATAAAATTAGCCGCTGGTTGCAAAACACTTTAACCATGAACACAAACAACAAAATGATAAGGGCCTATAGACTCGAGCTATTGACCATGGGGATCAACCGCCGTAAGTTCAACCCACTTGGTACACAAGCGCAGCTTGAAAGTGAGGGCGCTAAGCGGAGCCATGAATCTTTCATTAAGATGCTGACAGAAAGGAATCACCAGGAAGAACTTGTAAATTTCAAAGAAGCAGCCCACGAGCTTGCCAAGTTGGCAGAGTATCTCCTTTTACTAAAAGAAAGTGCTCTAGAGAGACACGTTGATTTTGATCATTACCTAAAAGGTGAGATGGACTCGGTGATTGAAGAATTGTCTCGAGAGTATATCGATGAATCTGACAAATACAAGGACTTCTTGGGTATCCTGGCATCGGATTTCTATGATTTCAAACTGAAGAATTTAGGAGAATTAGCCGATTTCCAGGAATCTTGCTACAACGTCCTCTGTTCTCCGTACTATAACTACAAAAACGAAGAATTCATGTATTTCGAGAGGTTTGTCAAGTACCAGTTGCTTCCTAACATCAGGTCCGGCCAGACTAATGCCAAAGAGGTACAAGTCGACTACGAGACCCTTGTGGGAAGACGAGTAAAAGTATATAGAGATCTTCACTATTAGTCTTGCATTTGTATCCTCGACCCTTCCTACTTAGTCTCAGTATAACTGCTTTCCATAGATCTATTCAATACACATCAATCCAATATAATAATTGCTATTCAGTCTACTATTCAGTCTACTATTCAATCTGCTAGTTCGGTCTACTGTTCAGTCTATTATTCAATCTACTATTCAATCTGCTATTCAATCTACTGCTCAATACTCCATTGAATCAACTTCAATACTGAAGTTCAACAAATGAAGATTTTGCGCGAAGATTTTTTTTTGGTTAAACAAAACGGCTACTTTGATTCGATTAAGTTCTAGTTACTTTTCTTTTGAAACCAAGCAAGAGTACTTCCAGCGGGCTGCTATCTCAAGATGTCCTTTCAAGATGTTTTGAAAAGAGGTGACGAGTTTCTTTCGGAGTATCCAAGAACCTCTGTTTTTTGGAATTATGCTTCTCATGCAACGTGCTTAGCGATGATTTTAAATTCAAAATTACTATTGAATGTATTATATAAACCAAGATTACATAACATTGAAAAATTAGATGCTGCTTTGGAAAAAGCCAGACTGGAGAACAGATCCTTATTAACTGTTATGAATCATATGTCAGTGGTTGATGATCCAACTTTTTATGCTGCATTACCAATGAGATTTCATACCGATATAGATACTATAAGATGGGGGTTCGGAGCACACAACATTTGTTTTTCAACTCCTACATTATCATGGTTCTTCAATTTAGGTAAAATATTGGGTACTAAACGTTTTGGTGCTGGTCCATTTCAAGGTTCTATTGATGCTGCAATTAGAATATTGAGTCCTGATGATACTTTGGATTTAGAATTTACTCCAGGAGTGAAAGATGAAGAAAAACCAAATTTGATTCAAGAAATTAATAAAATCGGTAATGTTTCAACTAAAACCCAACAATTAGTTAAAACAGTTAAACCTTCCCCCGAATCAACCAATATTTTAATGTCAAAATCACCTTTCATTCGTAATAAAACTTCTTGGTTTCATGTTTTCCCAGAAGGTTTCGTATTACAGTTACAAGAACCTCATCAAAATTCAATGCGTTACTTTAAATGGGGGATCTCTCGTTTGATCTTAGAAAGTACAAGAGCTCCAGTAGTGGTTCCAATTTTCACTTTTGGTTTTGAAAAAATTGCTCCCGAAGATAGTGCCGATAAAGGTATAAATAGATGGTTACCGGCAAATTTAGGCGCAGAAATTCATATTAGTATTGGTGATGCATTCTCCGATGAACGAATCGAACATTATAGACAAAAATGGAGAGACTTGTGTAAGAAATATATCGATCCAAAAAATCCATCTGAGCTTACCAAAGAATTAATGCTGGGTAAAAAAGCCACCGAATTGAGATCGGACTTGGCTGCTGAATTAAGACAAGCAGTCTTGAATATTAGAGAAAGTCTAGGTATTTTCAAACCAGAAGACCCTCGTTTTAAAGACCCTAAATTTTGGAAGGAATACACTAGAACTGAAGGTATGAGTGATCCAAATGTTAAATTTATTGGTAAAAATTGGGCAATTAGAAGATTGCAAAAACATTTACCTGAATTCAGCGAAGATGAATCAGAAAAAGTATAGTTTGATGGTTTCTTTTCTATAATAATCCCTTGTAAATATTCCTCCCCATATATTAGATCTCATGTAATATTTGATATATTAATTTTACGACTATTTATTAACGCTTTGAAGTATCTTCATGTAGAGAGCTCTTCTCATTTTATGTGCGCTTTTCTACTCGGAGTTTTTTTTTTATAAGAAATTTTTCATCAACTACTAAGAAACTAGCTAAATATCAGCATTTAATCCATAAACCATGCTTCGTCGTGGGATACTAAGACGATCGTTTCCGACAGGCCTCGCCAAGCCATGCACTAGCCAAAGTTCAATCGAGTTTCGAGCTTGCTCCAATTTACACCAAACGAGAAATAAAACATGGTTCAATCCTTTAAGTAAATTCAAAAAACCAAACCAACCAAATCAGAAGAAGCCTATAATAATAGTAGAAGAACCAGATATAGAAACTAATAGCAAAACGAGTCGAATACTATCGGACCTCAATCATTACTCTAAAACCACAGAAATTCCAAAGAAACTTCGAAGATCAATTTTAACCAGTAAATTCAATGACTTTGTCCATAATACGCCAATTTTTAAAGTTGATGATGGTAGTATACAGATTTTGAACAGTGCTTTTTTAGAATTGTTTAAACTCAATGATAACACGTTTCTAAATGGAGAAGGTCATTATTCTGGGCCCGTGGACTTTGAAACTTTAATGCAGCTATTTGAAAAATCAAGTTTGGCATTAATATCCTCCCTGGATAATAGCAACAACATCAACATGCCAGCATATATGTCAAGTATTGTTCAATTCTTAGTAAAATCGGATATACCGAATGTTCCTGTCAAAGCCTTAGTATATGTGGTTGATCTCGCAGTAGCTGTTAGGCCAAATTATTTCTTGGATACCTTAAACCTTCTTGTACATAGTAAATCCAACTTGTTGACTCCAGAATTCATGAACAGCTTAATTGACTACTACGAGAAAAAAAATGAAATGAATTTAGAAAAATATGAACAAATATTTGAAGTTTCAAACTTAAATCAAGAGGCAAAGATTCTAGATGACTATATCTATAAAAAATTCATACTGTATATTGAAAGTTTGTATTCAGATGAACCTCCGTCTGTTCACGAATATAAGGATCCCGAAAGGAACCTCTATAGAATACAAAGTTTAATTACAACCAAGCTAACCCCATCCCTTCTGTTAGACAGATTCTCCCCGAGCATCTTGATCCACTTATCTAAATTAAGCTATGAACTTGATTCCGTCTTTCCTAATCAAGAGCTCAAACTGTTCATCATAGAAATATTCAAATGCTTGACAAGTCAACCTCCAGAAAAGCTCAATCTTATATTTGAAGAAGTCCGCAGAGAATTATTCAAGCAAGACTTCGAAGATGAGTCGTTAGTTGAAAATCTTCTCTTACTATCACATTCTAAGTATGTGGAAAGTGCCTTATTACAACAGATGTTGTTTGAATTCATCGAATCAAACGACGTCAAATTCTCGCCAATGTTAAGATTTCAAAATCATATATACAACTTGTACCAAAATAACTTTACACAGTCTGAGAGTGAAATTTTCGATGTAACAAAACAAGAAGTTGAATCCTTCATTGAATCTCAAAATAACACCGAGAATGAACTCTATTACAATGACATATACACCAGATGTATTCAGTCGGCTATGGTTTCTGGTAAAATTGAACCAAGAGGATATTTTACACAAACCCTCACCAATTATTTCAAAGACAATTATCATTTTGAAGTTACTTTATATTCATACAAGTATAGACTTGACAAAGCCATCGAAGCTGAAAATCATGTTTCCGCAGTAAATATATTTGAAGATAGTATGCAAGAATTTGTTGATTGGTCTCATAGCCAGGATCCTTCAGTGCATGCTACATTAAGTTCATTAGCCACTTTAATCTGTCAAAAAATGAATCATATAAATGACATATTTCCAATCTTCACAAAAATCAAACAACAATCATCATGGCAAAGTCAAGCCCCTACCATCTGTGCATTAGCAACAAGAATGTTAGAAGCTGAGTACGTTGGTGATACGATTGAAATGTTGAAAAGAGAATTACCTCCTATTAAAAGTGAAAGTAACCTCAAATTACCTCTTAATGAACCTTATGGCCAAGAATATCGTAAGTTATTTACTATTTTACATAACTTCGTTCTAAATTATACAAATGAAACAACTCATGAAACTAATTGGGCACTTTATTGCGAACTTCATAAATACTTCCATGCACCTTACGAATCGTATTTACCTGCAATGAAGTTCTTTTGTGACAAGGACAGAATGAATGCCTCATTACTTATATTTCGTCAAATAAAAAGACTTAGTGAATTACACGGGAATCACCAACATTTACCCCCTCTGAGAGAAATGTACCTTTATTTATTCCAACAATTTGGGGACAAGCTATATGAAGAAGGTATACTTGAAATTCATGAACATCTAAAAATGGACATAAGTTTACCAAAGCAAGATATTTATTTACAGAATTGTATTCTTAATGCTTATTCTAATTTGCAAGATGTACCAAAAGTCAGAGACTTGTTTCTTTCTATGATAAGTGATCCTAAAAAGTTTGGAGGTATTAATGAAGATACTGTTCAAATCATGATAAAGACTTATACCTATAGTGACATGATGTACGTTGTTGAATTTTGGAATAATTTATCCAAATTTGATATTGTTCCTAATTATCAAATTTTCAAACAATATTTGATTGCGCATGTTTATCACGGAATGGCGGAGGAAGCTATGTTATTGACTGAGGAAATGCAAGATTATGGATTGGAACTTAGCTCAGATACTCTATTAGCCATGCATAATTATTGTTGGGAAACCGATAAACAAAAATTGATAGTGGATTGGGCAAAAGAGAAACATCCAGCAGTATGGGATGAAGCTGTTAAAAGTCAGTTATTGAAAGGAGCCACCAATTATGAACCTGTAAATAGTCTAATTGAAGGTGGTAATATAGAATAATTTGACATTTATTTAATTTTAGTGGAATTAACTTTTGTAGCAAATCTTAGAGAATTTATACTTTCAGCAAAGTTTTTTTGTAAAGGAGATATGTTGACGAACATAAGAGTTTTCAGGTCACCTCCAAGACTGTGTTTTAATAAGTAGGTTAATTTTGAGTTACGGAAGGGGATATGATTATTATTTTGATTTTTCAAATTTAATGAATAGATCACGTCTCCTAGACTCGACAAGCTCTTATTAATTGATTGAGTTTCTTTTAACCTATCACCTTTTGCTTGCGATTGACTGAGCCTTTCTGAACCTGCAAGATCGATTAAGTTAAGTGTACCTTCAAGATCTTGATTAGTTTTTGAATTATGTGCTTTTAGTTTTAGAATGAAAATTGAATGAGATCTCGAAGATCTTTCATTGGATAAGGTTGAAGCAGTGGACCTATTTTTGGAAGCACGATTCAAAATCGAATGAGCTTGTTCTTTCGATGAGATTGAAATTGAGGTTACATTAGTTATTGTAGTTTTAAAATTAATATCATCATGCTTAATTTCATGTTTCCCCTGACTTGATGAAGAGTCCAGTAATAAATCAATGATTGATTCATTGTAAATTTCGACGAATTGACCTTCTAAATTATAAGTCCAATTCTTCGATTTCAAATCTTCTATATCATCGAAGATCTTATTAATTGAAAGAGGAATCATACCGGTTTCCGAGTGAGACATTGTCCAAGTTTTACCTGAGCCAGTCTGGCCATAAGCGAAAACACAAACATTGTAACCATCCAACGAAGATTGAATGAGCTGAGATAATTCATCAAAGATTTCTTCATTTTTTATATCTGGAGAAAATATTTTATCGAATTGAAATTTATAAGTATTACTTGATAATCTACCAAATTGTAAAGAAGAAGAATGAGACTCCTGTTTCTTTGAAATGATTAAATCTTGACAAGCATCATCATTGAATTCATTATCTGGATATTCTATATTCGATAATTCGTCGGAAGCAGTTGGTCTTACTCGACAATAAACCCTTATATTCCCCTTTAATTCTTGTAACTTATTATGTAGCACTCTTCTTTTGAATTCATTTGACGCTAAAGTGGAATTTATTTCTAAGATTGATTTTTTAAATAATTCAAGTTGACTTTTTTTATCATTAATTGAATTTTGATAGTTATCATAGTCATTTTGATTTTTTATTATTGAAGATTTAATTGAATTAATTTCTAATTCTTTATTTTCATAAGTTGACTTGGTTTGACTTAACTTATTTACCAATCTCTTATTTATCTGTTGTAAGTTATTTATTAAATCGTTCTGCAAAGCGTCTCTTTCATCTATTTTTGATAATATAGTATCTTTAATTGTATTAATGTCATTATTTAAGCCATCTAAAGTTTCATCTAATTGGTTAAAGAGTTGAATCTTTTTCTTATTAAAATCTTCTTTTAGTTTGATCAATTTTCTAATTAAATCCGATTTTTGATATTCATTAGCTTGTTTCAATTCAGTGACATCACTTTCAAAATGTTTCTTTTGAGATAATAGTATATTCATTGATTTATTGATTTGATGTTCTACCAATGCAGATACATTCTCTTTCAAATCATTCAAACGTTGGTTGAATTGAACATTTAATTGCTTGGAGCTGATATCAAATTCATCACTTAACTGATTATATGATTCTTTATAATTTGATTCTAATTCATTAATAGAATTATTTATTAGTTGAAGTTTCTTCTTTAAATTTTGGAAGTCATCTTCCAATTTACGAACTTGAAGCTCCTGGGTTTGCTTCTGATTAGTCAATGTTGTTATTTTCGTTTTCAAAGTCATATTATTAGTTAATTTGGCTTGTATTTCCCGATCCAAGCGATGGATATCGATTGGTTTAGAATATGAAGAGTGTGTTTTGGAAGTCATTTTAGAGCTGGGCGGCTTGGTTATCTTATTGGAATTCGAGTTCAACGACAGCCGAGGAACCCTCTTTAATGCCTTGGGAGAGGCCAACTCCTCCAAATCACTCATACTATCGCCTGGTGGATGAAGATGAAGCAGTGATGGATATGTAAATAAAGGGCGCGTAATTCTGATACTTTGTTGATACTTGATTGTAACAGGTAACAAACCCGTACATCAAAGAACAACATCACCTCCGTACACCCAATACATATATATAAATCCTCGTTATTTGATCTGACAGCTTTTAGTGAAACCCCGATTAGCGGCACTAATCTTAGCAAATCCTATTATGATTGAGCAAAACAAAGAGCCACTGACCATTCACAATCTTTGACAACCATCACTTCTTATTGTAATCCTCGAATAGCGAAACAATCTCGCCGAACAACTATCCATTTTGTTGAGTTTGTACCGATTCAAAGCCATCCTATAGCCGTAACACAACCAAAGCCGATATGGTTTAGGGAAACTTTTAGCAAAAATAAAAGATTTATTAAAAATAAAAAAATGGAGACACGAATTTTTGGGGATTTCCCCGGATTTTCGACTCGACTAACCGAGAAGTCTTCCCTATGATTTACTTTCGGATAGCTTACCCAAAGGGGTAAGGGTAGCTATGACGCAGCAACCGGTGAGTGGTGGTGGGTTTTCTCGAACCTCGTATGGGGAGATCTTCATAAAGCCACAAGATGTAGCTGAGGCCAGATAATCTGTGCTACCAGACGGCTGTGTAGCTTTTTGACAAACGGACAAGCTCTCCATAGACCATGGTAGAGCGAATCGAAGCTCACCGGCGACTGATGTCATGAGTGGAAATATACACCAAATTTTTTTAGTGGAGCACTTAAAAAATATTGCCTTCTCCCCTCCTTTCAGCCCTCTCTGCTACCCCCCACACTGTTACGAGCCTGGTGCTTCTGTGCCGCACCCTATTTTTATGGTCAAATAAAGGTGTCTGACTATGGTACGGTGTTTCGCGTTCAATTGGGCTAATCTAAGACATATCTCCCCAATAGTAGATGATTGCTTTAGAGAGCGCCCCCAAATGGAATTGTACTATCTTGTAGCGTCAGCAGGAGAAACTGTTTGAGAGTATGACTCGGGGTATAAATATTGACAGCCACGTCAGTTTCTGAAGCTTTTTTTGCTGCTGTTACTGATTTTCACTTAGTATTTTTCTTGACTAACATATTCTTTTATTGTGTTTTACATTTGAAATCTCTTGGAAGTATTATTTTAAGTTAGTGTTGATCTATTAATAAGAATGTCTTCTGCATCGTCAATGGAGAAACGTACATCTCCAGTTGCTTCTTCTGTCAAAACTGGAGGTTTTTCTGGAGAAGTTCCCACGTATTTGGGATTGAAAGGTAAATACTTGAATATGGCCATTTCAACTATGTGTGGTGTTGGTTTCTTATTATTCGGTTACGATCAAGGGGTTATGGGTTCATTACTTACTCTTCCTTCGTTTCGTGACGAATTCCCCACTATTGACACCCAACGTAATCCGGATAATTCTACCTTACAAGGTTTCACCGTGGCGGTTTACGAGTTGGGGTGTATGGCCTCGGCGTTAGTCACGATTAAATTGGGTGATAAATTGGGTCGTTTGAAGACAATGTTATTGGGGGTTGCAATTATGTTTGTTGGTGGTATTTTACAAGCATCTTCGGTTAAATCAATCGCATTTTTAATCGTAGCTAGAATTGTCACTGGGTTAGGAAACGGTTTCAATACTGCAACCGTTCCTGTATATCAATCAGAAACGTCTAAAGCTCATAATAGAGGTATGCTTATTTGTGTTGAAGGTTGTTTAATCACTTTTGGGATTTGTCTTAGTTATTGGATTGACTATGGTCTTTACCCTTATGGTGGTCAAGTCTCTTGGAGGTTCCCAATTGCCTTCCAATGTATTTTCCCATTGATTATGTTCCCCTTTATTTTAAAATTACCAGAATCCCCAAGATGGTTAATGAGACACGATAGGGAAGAAGAAGCAAGAAGAGTTTTCGCTTCTTTATATGATACTTCTGTTAATGATCCACTTATTGATTCTCAATTAGAGGAAATTAAACAATCTTTACAAGCAGAAGTTGCTGCAAGTGGTGGTCATTTCTCTGCTAAAGATTTATTAAAACAGGGGAAAACTAGAACTTTCCATAGAGTTTGTCTTGCAGCTTTTTGTCAATTCATGCAACAAATTTGTGGTATTAACTTGATTACTTATTACGCGGGTACTATTTTCGAAGATTACATTGGGATGTCTGCTACAAATTCCAGAATATTGGCTGCTTGTAATGGTACAGAATACTTTATTGCGCTGATTTTCACCATTTTCTTAATTGAAAGACTTGGTAGAAGACCATTATTCTTATTTGGTACGGCGGGTCAAGCTTTGAGTATGTTATTTTTATTCGTTACTAATTGGTTAAGTGAAAATAAGGATAATAAAGGTGCTGCCATTGGTGCTGCTTTCTTACTTTTCATGTTTAATACTTTCTTTGGTCTTTCCTTACTTTCTTTAACTTGGTTATACTCTCCAGAAATTAGTTCTCTTGCCGCTCGTACTGCAACTTCTGGTATTTCAACCGCTGCTAATTGGGTTACGAATTTCTTTGTGGTGATGATTACTCCAATCTTGTTCAATCATATTAAATCTTATACCTATCTTGTGTTTTTCTTCATTAATCTTGCCATGTTGCCAGTGCTTTACTTTTTATTCCCTGAAACAAAAGGTAGAAGTTTGGAAGAAATGGATGTTATTTTCTCAATGACTCCAGTATACAAACCTTGGGAAGCGGTTCAAATTGCAAGAGATTTACCTTTCATCCATGCTGGTACCGTGGACGATGTTGAAGCTAAATATAAAGAATACACCGAGCATCACGAAAAGGTTTCCGTTGACCATAATGATGAAGCTCTTTTAACTAGTGTTCCTGAAGAAAAAGCTTCAGTGGTTCATAACGACGATGCCCTTGAGTCAGATCATCTGATATAATCACCAGGTCCCGGCTTCAATATTCAGTTCTTGTTATTTATATAGTTAATGTACAATTTGTTTTAATCAGAGAGTCTGTTTTTTTTGTTTCTTGTTTTTTTTTTGCAATTCTGATTCCAGAGGTGTTTGGTTAAGACAGGTTGCTGTCCGGCTGAAGATTGGGTATCCAGAATATTATTTACCCCACCTTTTGACATATATGCACGACTTACTTTTCGTGGAGGCCAGAAAAATAAAATGAATGTCCCAAATAATCTACGGGAGTGTTTCTTCTTTTGAAACAAAAGCCTTTGGGCTAAGAAAAATAACCGTAAAATAATAAAAATATAATAGATTAAGGTTTGTTAGTGCATTTTTTTGCAGTATGGATAAATTTCTGGTCTAATTAGTAGGTGGCATCACCAATTTTATTTATTGCTAACAGGTATTGATCATTCATACAGAACTCAATGTCTTAGCTTAGATGTTGTATAAATAGTTGGTTAGATCTTCTGGTGGGTTTGAGGTGTTGGCAAATTTCTTTATCTAAATTCAACCATGTCTTCAGATTCAGTATTGGAAAAGAACAATGCTCTGGCTGATAATGCCTCTAAAAGTAGCGAGTCACTTGCCAATGATAATCAAATCCCAACTTATTTGGGTTTGAAAGGTCAAAAATTGAACACTGCCATTTCTACTATGTGTGGTGTGGGTTTCTTATTATTCGGTTACGATCAAGGGGTTATGGGGTCATTACTTACTCTTCCCGCATTTCGTGAAGCTTTTCCTACCATTGATTTAGAACTTAATCCTCAAAATGATACTTTACAAGGTTTTACCGTGGCAGTTTACGAGTTGGGTTGTATGGCTTCTGCTTTATCAACCATCTATTTAGGTGATAGATTGGGTCGTTTGAAAACAATGTTATTGGGGGTTGCAATTATGTTTGTTGGTGGTATTTTACAAGCTGCTTCAGTTAAGTCAGTTGCATTTTTAATCGTAGCTAGAATCGTCACTGGAGTTGGTAATGGTTTTAATACTGCAACGGTTCCTGTATACCAATCGGAAACGTCTAAAGCTCATAATAGAGGTATGCTTATTTGTTTCGAAGGTTGTTTGATTACGTTGGGGATTGCTATAAGTTACTGGGTTGATTTTGCCTTTTACTTCACAAAAGGTCAAATTTCTTGGAGATTTCCAATTGCTTTCCAATGTGTCTTTCCGATGATTATGTTTCCATTTATTTTAAAGTTACCTGAATCTCCAAGATTATTGATGAGTAAAGGTAATGTCCATGAAGCAAGAAGAGTGTTTGCTTCTTTATATGATGTCCCTGTTAATGATCACTTAATTGATGAACAAATCCGTGAAATTGAAGAAGTTTTGTCAATTGAAAGACAAGCATCTGCTGGTGGAAACAGTTCGCTTTTCTCTCAAGGTGAAAAAAGAAATTTCCAAAGAACTTGTCTTGCAGCTTTTTGTCAATTTATGCAACAGATTTGTGGTATTAATTTAATCACTTATTATGCTGGTACTATTTTTGAAGTATACATTGGAATGCCTCCTTTAGAATCAAGAATTTTGGCCGCTTGTAATGGGACTGAATATTTCATAGCTTCCATAATAACCATTTTCATTATTGAAAGAGTTGGTAGAAGGCCGTTATTCATATGGGGTACAGCAGGTCAGTGTCTAACTATGGTCTGCTTAAGTATCACAATTTATCTTGCAAAATATAAAGATAGTGATAGTGCGGCAATTGGTGCAGCCTTTTTGTTGTTTGCCTTTAATACTTTTTTTGCACTTTCATTACTTTCATTAACGTGGTTGTATTCACCAGAAGTTAGTTCTTTGACTTGTAGAGCTGCTACTTCTGGGGTTTCAACTGCCGCCAACTGGGTCACTAATTTCTTGGTTGTGATGATCGCCCCAATTATGTTTCAAAGAATTGAACATTATACTTATGCAACTTTTGCTGTCATAAACTTTTTGATGATTCCAGTTTTCTACTTCTTATATCCTGAAACTAAACGCAGAAGTTTGGAAGAAATGGATGTTATTTTTACCATGACTCCTAAATGGCAGCCATGGAAATCAGTTCAAATCGCTAGAACCTTACCTTACATTCATGCTGGTGCCGTGGATGATGTTGAGGCTAAAATGAAGGAATTCATTGAACATAGAGAAATTTCCTAAGAATTTCTTCTATGATCAAATTCTTTATTTCAATTCTTGTGCTTTACTTTAATATTTATTTTATTTGGATTATTCTCAACTGTAGTTAAGCTCATTATGTAAGTCTTCGCAGTTCTGACGATTTTCCCGACTGGCGGAATAACTAATGCGTACCCCATATTTTGAAGGGGTCGAAGTTTTTAAGCCAGCCTATAGATACACAACACATTGAGGCTATGACAACGTTAGCGAACGTTGGCGAGTACTTTTGCTGAAAAAATTATCTAGATTATTGTTATATTCATTAAAACAAAGCTGTAAATGCTCCACATTTCAAAAAACAAGACCCGTACACACTTCAGCATCCAGCAGAAACAACCAGGAAAAACTTGTTTTAGTCCATTTTCAGTAATAGATTGTTCCTGCATCACCGCATTTCTCAGACCTTAAAATTGAACCCTATCAAAACAGCTTGGGGAGATTTTCAATCCTGCTGGTACTATTATGAATAAATAAACTTTTCTTAACGTGCGATACAAGTAGGGTAAACATTGTCTTGATTGTCAAAACAACGTCATTATAATTTATCTTCTTTGTATTTGGCAGATGAATTAGTGAATATATAACCATGTAGAAAACCACAACAACACTTTTCAACTGTCTTTTTGAAAAATTTTCCAAATTAAAGATACCAAAAAAGATATAATGGATGATTCAAAGCTTAGGTCAATTGAGATTTTGAATGTTTCGGAGTCTTCAATGAGTATGAATGAATTTGACTTACAAGTTCCAACCTACTTAGGTTTGAAAGGGGAAAGATTGAATTTTGCTATTACTTCAATTTGTAGTGTTGGATTCTTGTTATTTGGGTATGACCAAGGACTAATGGGGTCTTTACTTACTCAACCTGGTTTCTGTGAAACATTTCCTATTATCGATCCTGGTACCAATGCAACGAATTCTATATTACAAGGGCTCACCGTGGCATCCTATGGAATAGGTTGTGTGGTATCTTCATTATCAACTATTTACTTGGGAGATAAACTAGGAAGAGTGAAATTAATGTTCCTAGGGGTTATAATTATAATTATTGGTGGTATTTTGCAATCAACAGCAGTGGAGTCAATTACCTTCCTAATCATAGCCAGATTCATTACTGGGTTAGGCAATGGTTTAAATACTGCAACTGTTCCACTTTATCAATCTGAAACTTCTAAAGCTCATAATCGAGGGATGCTAATATGTTATGAAGGAGGTTTCATTGCACTAGGGGTTTGTTTCGGTTATTGGATTGATTTTGCTTTTTATTTCAGCAAAAACCAAACTTCTTGGAGAATTCCAATTGCATTCCAATGTATATTCCCATTAATGATGTGTCCATATATTTTAAAATTGCCTGAATCACCAAGATTATTAATGAGAAGGGGAAACTTCCATGAAGCAAGAAGAGTATTTGCCGCTTTATACCAAGTACCAATAAATGATCAAATAGTTGATGAGCAGATTCGTGACATTGAAGAAGCATTAGAATTTGAAAATAAAACATCAGGTAATTCCTTCTTCTCTCAAGGCGAAACAAAGAATTTTCAAAGAACTTGTCTTGCATTATTCTGTCAATTCATGCAGCAGATATGTGGAATACATTTAACCACTTATTATGCTGGAACATTTCTTGAAACCCATCTAGGATTAAGTCCATTAATTTCAAGAGTCATTTCCGGTTTTAACGGTACCGAATATTTTTTTGCACTGGTGGCCACCATTTTATTGGTTGAAAAGATCGGGAGAAGACCCTTATTTATTGGTGGGGTACTAGGCCAAGCAGCAGTAATGGCTTCAATCAGCGTGACAATGCATTTAACAAACTATGAGAATAGTTTGATAAAGGCATACGCACTAGCATTTCTACTATTCATTTTCAATACTTGTTATGGTCTTTCCTTACTTTCATTATGCTGGCTCTATCCACCAGAAATAAGCCCCTTAAATTGCAGAGCTGGCATCACGGGGCTTTCAACTGCGGTTAATTGGCTAACCAGTGCTATGGTTGCGGTGAGTGTGCCTATAATGTTTGAAAGATTCCAGTATTATTATACGTTTGCAATCTTTGCCGCGATTAATTTCTTAATGATCCCGGTACTTTACGTTCTATACCCAGAAACCAAGGGAAGAAGCTTGGAGGAAATGGACATCATCTTTGCCATGACCTCCAGGTGGCAACCGTGGGAAGCAGTTAGTATTGCGGGCGCACTCCCGAAGATCCACGCTGGAGATTTTGATGATATCGAGTCCCAACTCAGCGAGTAGTCTTTTTTCTTTTAGCTGCGAAAATCTTGCAGGTTCCCGTTGGTTCCAGAAACCACCAAAAAGGAACTTCGCGCGATTTCCAGAAAGTTCTGGTTAATTTGCAACCTCTACGAATGACCACCCACCAACGGTTTCCACAAAGTATATAAGGACAGTCTGATTAAGAGAAGGGAAACAGGTGAATAGAAACCAAACACAATTCAATCAAGATGCTTTCCTTAACTCCAATTAATAAATATTTTAATCGCGATCTTTTCAGTGATCCATTCAAATCTGCCAGAAACGAATTAACCAAGTTCGATTCTCCATTTGAGATTGATAACTGGTTTTCTGAATTCGATAAAGATCCCTTCTTCAAGGATATTCCAATTGAATCCCCATTTGAGATGAAAGAAGAGGATCACGAATATACAATACAATTGAACGACATCAAAGATAAAGAATTCAAAGTCGATTTCAATAAAAAGGAAAATAAATTAAGCATAGAAACAACCTATCAATCTACAACTAACAACGAAGATGGAGAATCTAGCTACACCAGTTCCTCAGTGAATTCTGTTGTTTTCGACAAAGAAGTCAGCTTCGACGAAATAAGAAGTGATGCCGATGAATCCAACGATTCCTTGGTTATTCATATCCCTAAAAATGTTGAATCCTCTCAATAATTTTATGATTAACGAATAGTGTATAGTAACGTTTAATAAAAATAATTAGCGTAACGGTGTACGGTTGTAGTCCTCGGCACTACTTTTATACGTCAACGGTGTCGCATAAAAATCTCACCAAAAAAAAGTCTTTTTTTGGGCCAACACTCTATTAAATGTTGGGACCATAGAAAAGGGCGAAAGAAAAAAGCTGCAAAAATGATTTGTTGGATCAAACAACCCTTTAGAATCCTTAGATACCCAACCTTATACTCTTATTGTTTTGTGAATAGTCTTTAGATGCTTGTCATCACCCATACATCCTCGCCTATCCGTAACCACCGATCCTCCCCATCTGCCATCACCCATCTATCATCCTCACTCAAATATAGAAAACTGTAGTCTACGGTATAACGACAGGTTGTGGTTCCCAAGTATCCTTATGTAGGTGTCCCTGGTTGTTTTTTGTCTCCCGCTTTTTTTGCAATGGTTTAATTAGACCTGCAAGAAGAAACAACTCACTCTACACTCGATATTTATTTTTTGTTTGTTGATTGTTACCTAACATTCAATTCTTTTGTATTATTTTTTTTTGGTTATGGCATTAAGTGACATCAACATCCAAAAAAAAAAAAGAATTACAAAAGAAAATAGTCTAGCCAAACTGTGTTTTTATATATCCTTTTCAATATCTCCTTTTATATCAGATAATTTTCACTTTTCTCCAAGTTGTTCTACTCTTACTTGATCCCTCCGCAAAGAATAGTTGATATCTGATTTTTTTTTTTTTTTTTTTTCAAAAATTTCAATCCAACAAAAAAAGAACCCTTTTTTTCTTCACTTTTTTTTGATCTTCCCTGCCCTCCTGTCAATTGTATGAAACCAATTGACTCTATTCTAAATACCCTACTCCTTAACAATTGGAACTACACCCGGTACACTTCCAATTAATCTCTTTGTTCCATCTTATTCTGGTACTCTCTAATTTTTTTTTTTTTGGTTGTGCTCAAAAAATCTAAAAAACCAACATCTCGGATTAGAAAAAAAAAAAATTACAAAAAAAAAAATCAAAAAACTGAATCGAACAGAAAAATAAATAGACCGTCTCATCTACTCTTTTTCTTTTCCTTTCATTCCCATTTCGCTGCTTTCCGTATCCTATAATTCTTCATTATTTATTATTCCAAGTCATTCCCATTGACTATCAACAGGTATGTACGTTCAATCGCCCTTTCCACTTTCGTCATTGAAGATATTGGCAGAATATCAAGAAGTGTATGTCTCTTTACCCTGGCTTGGGCGCGTAAAAATCGGTTGGATCAGCCCGTGCCCGCGCTTCCTCCCGGTGTACGGAGCCTTTCATTCGTCCCCCCCAAAAAAAAAACACGGAACCCACTGAACAAATTGAGTGAGCAAAAGTTTAATTAGATTCCTTCCTGAAAAGAACCCTTCGATAAACAATAGACTCGTATTGATTAACAATAACATGGACACAGAATCAGTTTTAATTCATTTTAAACTATTATTGTGATCGCCTCGTCCGATATTTAAAGTTGTGTGTCTCCCCTTAATAAAGTTGAGTTCCTTGGTTTTTTTTTTTGTTGTTCTTTTCAAATTGGTCAAATAAATTTTAAGTTTATCCGATCCCAATGGACTAATCTTGAAAGTGCATATTCACTCCAATTCTTCTTGTGCCATTCGTTTATTACCCATTAGCATATGAGTGCTATCATCAATTCAACGAAAGTTGCAAAAAATTATTTCATTACTAACTTTAACTATAGACTTTTAAGTTGCAAATCTGTCATTAAATCTGTACATAATATTAATTGTCATCGATTTATTCATCACTCCTATATTAACAATTATCCAAAGAATAATCATAATTTAAAAACTTCCAATTCTTTTGAATATACTTTAAAGAATATCTCATTAACTAATAATAATAATAATCATAATATGTCTGATTCAACTATAGATCCTAGAGATTATACTGAATTACATAAAGCTTTGGCTCCTCATTTTATAGGTTTAAATTCAGTTACAAACGCTGAACCAGGTAAAATAACTGATTTTGTTAAAGCAAATCAAGGTCATACTGTTATTTCTCGTGTTCTTATAGCAAATAATGGTATTGCTGCTGTTAAAGAAATTAGATCAGTTAGAAAATGGGCCTACGAAACTTTTGGTGATGAAAGAGCTATTCAATTCACCGCAATGGCCACCCCAGAAGATTTAGAAGCTAATGCTGAATACATTCGTATGGCTGATCAATTCGTTGAGGTTCCAGGTGGTACTAATAATAATAATTATGCTAACGTTGATTTAATTGTTGAAATTGCTGAAAGAACTAATGTTCATGCTGTTTGGGCTGGTTGGGGTCATGCTTCTGAAAATCCTTTATTACCAGAAAAATTGGCTGCTTCTCCTAAAAAAATTGTCTTTATAGGTCCTCCTGGTTCCGCTATGAGATCTTTGGGTGATAAAATTTCTTCTACTATTGTTGCCCAACATGCTGATGTTCCTTGTATTCCTTGGTCTGGTACTGGTGTTAAAGAAGTTGTTATTGATAAAGATTCTAATTTGGTTTCAGTTTCTGATGCCGTTTATGCTAAAGGTTGTTGTTCTGATCCTGAAGATGGTTTAGTTAAAGCTAAACAAATTGGTTTCCCAGTTATGATTAAAGCTTCTGAAGGTGGTGGTGGTAAAGGTATTAGAAAAGTTGATAATGAAACCGATTTTATCACTTTATATAAACAAGCTGCTAATGAAATCCCTGGTTCTCCAATCTTTATCATGAAATTAGCCGGTGATGCTAGACATTTAGAAGTTCAATTATTGGCTGATCAATATGGTACTAATATCTCTTTATTTGGTAGAGATTGTTCTGTTCAAAGAAGACATCAAAAAATTATTGAAGAAGCTCCAGTTACTATCGCTAAAAAGGAAACTTTCAATGAAATGGAAAATGCTGCTGTCAGATTAGGTAAATTGGTTGGTTATGTTAGTGCTGGTACCGTTGAATATTTATACTCTTATTCTGAAGATAAATTTTATTTCTTGGAATTAAATCCAAGATTACAAGTTGAACATCCAACTACCGAAATGGTTACCGGGGTTAATTTACCTTCTGCTCAATTACAAATTGCTATGGGTATTCCAATGCATAGAATAAGAGATATTAGAACTTTATACGGTGTGGATCCTCATACTTCAACTGCTATTGATTTTGAATTCAAAACTGATAGTTCTTTAGTTAGTCAACGTCGTCCAGTTCCAAAAGGTCATACAACTGCTTGTCGTATTACTTCCGAAGATCCAGGTGAAGGTTTTAAACCTTCTGGTGGTTCTTTACATGAATTAAACTTCAGATCTTCATCAAATGTTTGGGGTTATTTCTCAGTTGGTAATCAATCTTCAATCCATTCCTTTTCTGATTCTCAATTTGGTCATATTTTTGCCTTTGGTGAAAATCGTCAAGCTTCTAGAAAACATATGGTTGTTGCTTTAAAAGAATTATCTATTAGAGGTGATTTCAGAACTACTGTCGAATATTTAATTAAATTATTAGAAACTCCAGATTTTGAAGATAATACTATTACTACTGGTTGGTTAGATGAATTAATTACTAAAAAATTAACTGCTGAAAGACCAGACCCAATTGTTGCAGTTGTTTGTGGTGCTGCTACTAAAGCTCATATTCAAGCTGAAGAAAATAAATCTGAATATGTTCAATATTTAGAAAAAGGTCAAGTCCCAAATAAAGATTTATTGAAAACTATTTTCCCAGTTGATTTCATTTATGAAGGTCATAGATATAAGTTTACCGCAACAAAATCCTCCAATGATTCTTATACCTTATTTTTAAATGGTAGTAGAGCTGTTGTTGGTGTTCGTCCATTATCAGATGGTGGTTTGTTATGTGCAATTGGTGGTAAATCTCATTCTATTTATTGGAAAGAAGAAACTTCTGCCACTAGATTATCAGTTGATGGTAAAACTTGTTTGTTAGAAGTTGAAAATGATCCAACTCAATTAAGAACCCCATCCCCTGGTAAATTAGTTAAATATTTGGTCGAAAGTGGTGAACATGTCATTGCCGGTCAGGCTTATGCTGAAGTTGAAGTCATGAAAATGTGTATGCCTTTAATTGCTCAAGAAAATGGTGTTGTTCAATTAATTAAACAACCTGGTTCAACTGTTAATGCCGGTGACATTTTAGCTATCTTAGCTTTGGATGATCCATCTAAAGTTAAACATGCTTTACCTTTCGAAGGTACTTTACCAGATTTAGGTTCTCCAAACGTTAAAGGTACTAAAGTTGTTCATAAATTCCAAGATGGTGCCAATGTTTTGAAAAACATTTTAGCCGGTTTCGATAATCAAGTTATCATGAATTCAACTTTAAAAGATTTAATCTCAATTTTAAAAGATAGAGATTTACCTTATTCTGAATGGGCTCAGTTTATTAGTGCTTTACATTCAAGATTACCACCTAAATTGGATGAAACCTTAAGTGCTTTAATTGAAAGAACCAAATCAAGAAACGCGGATTTCCCTGCTAAGCAAATTTTGAAACATATTCAAAAAGTTCAAAATGATGCATCCACTGATGCTTCTTTCTCTGATGTTGTTGCTCCTTTAGTTGATATTGCTACTAAATATTCTAATGGTTTAGTCGAACATGAATATAATTTCTTTGCTGGTTTACTCAATGAATATTATAATGTTGAATCATTATTCTCCGGTCTCAATACTCGTGAAGATGACGTTGTTTTAGGGTTGCGTGATGAAAATAAATCTGATTTGAATAAAATTATCTCTATTGTTTTATCTCATTCTAGAGTAAGTGCTAAGAATAATTTAATTTTAGCCATCTTAAACGAGTATCAACCATTATTACAAGCCTCTTCAAGTGTTGCTGTTTCTCTTAGAGAATCATTGAAAAAATTAGTTGAATTGGATTCCAGAGCTACTGCTAAAGTTACTGTCAAAGCCAAAGAAATATTGATTCAATGTTCTTTACCATCCATTAAGGAAAGATCAGATCAATTGGAACATATCTTAAGATCTTCTGTCTTACAAACTTCTTATGGTGAAATCTATGCTATCCATCGTCAACCTAAGTTAGAAGCTATTAGAGAAGTTGTTGACTCTAAACATATTGTTTATGATGTCTTGCCTCAATTTTTGGTTAACCAAGATGAATGGGTTGCTATTGCTGCCGCTGAAGTCTATGTCCGTCGTTCTTATAGAGCTTATTCGTTAGGCGAAATTTCTTATCATTTCCATGATAGATTACCAATTATTGAATGGAAATTCCAATTGCCAAATATCACCACTTCACCATTTGCTGGTAATGATCAAAAAACTGAAGGTCATCCTAACTCTATGAACAGAGCTGCCTCAATTTCAGATTTATCTTTCACTGTTGATCCAAAATCCGAACAAAAACCAAGAACTGGTATTTTGGTTCCATGTAGACATCTTGATGATGTTGATGAAATGCTTATTCCAGCATTGGAAAAACTTCAACCAAATGATGCTATCACTTTCAAAGCTGGTGAAAACCAACCAGAATTTTTCAATGTTGTTAATATTGTTATCACTAACATCGATGGTTACATTTCAGAAGAAGAAGTTTTGTTGAAAGTCAACGAAGTTCTTAACGAATTTAAAGATGATTTCAAGGCTGCTGCTGTACGTCGTATTACCTTTGTTTTTGCTAACCAAATTGGTCAATATCCTAAATACTATACTTATTCTGCTCCAGAATACACTGAAAATAAAGTCATTCGTCACATTGAACCAGCTTTAGCTTTCCAATTAGAGTTAGGGAGATTAGACAATTTTGATATTAAACCAATTTTCACTGACAACAGAAACATTCATGTTTATGAAGCAGTTGGTAAGAATGCTCCTTCGGATAAGAGATTTTTCACCAGAGGTATCATCAGAACTGGTGTTATCCGTGATGATATCAGTATCAGTGAGTATTTGATTGCTGAATCAAATCGTTTGATGTCCGATATCTTAGATGCTTTGGAAGTTATTGATACTTCTAATTCCGATTTGAATCATATTTTCATTAATTTCTCTGCTGTTTTCAATGTTTTACCTGAAGAAGTTGAAGCTGCTTTTGGTTCTTTCTTGGAAAGATTTGGTAGAAGATTATGGAGATTAAGGGTCACTGGTGCTGAAATTCGTATTGCTTGTACTGACCCAACAACTGGTAACTCATTCCCATTACGTGCTATTATTAATAATGTTTCTGGTTATGTTGTTAAATCTGAATTATATATGGAAGTTAAGAACACCAAAGGTGAATGGGTTTTCAAATCAATGGGCCACCCAGGTTCAATGCACTTAAGACCTATCTCAACTCCTTATCCAGCCAAAGAATCATTACAACCAAAACGTTATAAAGCCCATAACATGGGTACCACTTACGTTTATGATTTCCCAGAATTATTCCGCCAAGCTACTATCTCTCAATGGAAATCATTCACTGGTCCTAACAAGATTCCAAAGGATTTCTTCCAATCTTTAGAATTAATTCCTGATGAAAATGGTGACTTAACTGCAGTCGAACGTGAACCAGGTTGCAACAAAATTGGTATGGTTGGTTTCAAAGTATTTACTAAAACCCCAGAATATCCTCGTGGTCGTGAATTTATTGTTGTTGCTAATGATATCACTCATAAAATTGGTTCATTTGGTCCAGAAGAAGATTATTTCTTCGATAAATGTACTAAATTAGCTAGAGAATTAGGTATTCCAAGAATCTACCTTTCTGCTAACTCTGGTGCAAGAATTGGTATTGCTGATGAATTAGTTCCTTTATTCAAGGTTGCTTGGAATGATCCATCTTCTCCAGATAAAGGTTTCCAATACTTATATTTAACTCCAGAAGATCAAAGATCTATCATTGAAAATGGTAAAGGTGATACTGTTGTCACTGAAAGAGTAGTTGAAGACGGTGAAGAACGTTACGTTATCAAATCTGTTATTGGTGCTGAAGATGGTTTGGGTGTTGAGTGTCTTAAAGGTTCTGGTTTAATCGCTGGTGCAACTTCAAGAGCCTATAAAGATATCTTTACCATTACCTTGGTCACCTGTAGATCCGTTGGTATTGGTGCTTACTTAGTTAGATTAGGTCAAAGAGCTATTCAAATTGAAGGGCAACCTATTATTTTAACTGGTGCTCCTGCTATTAACAAGTTATTGGGTAGAGAAGTTTACTCTTCAAACTTACAATTAGGTGGTACCCAAATTATGTACCGTAATGGTGTCTCTCATTTGACTGCTAGTGATGATTTAGCCGGTGTTCAAAAGATCATGGAATGGATGGCCTATGTTCCAGCTGTTCGTGGTATGCCAGTTCCAATCTTAGAATCGGAAGATCCTTGGGATCGAGATATTGATTACTATCCTCCAAAGAAAGAAACTTATGATGTTCGTTGGATGATTGAAGGTCGTGAAAACGAAGAAGGTGAGTTTGAATCTGGTTTGTTTGATAAAAATTCTTTCCAAGAAACTTTATCTGGTTGGGCTAAAGGTGTTGTTGTCGGTAGAGCTCGTCTTGGTGGTATCCCTATTGGTGTTATTGGTGTCGAAACTAGATCAGTCGATAACTTATACCCAGCAGATCCTGCTAATCCAGATTCTACTGAAGTCAAGATTCAAGAAGCTGGTCAAGTCTGGTACCCTAACTCTGCTTTCAAGACTGCTCAAGCTATCAATGATTTCAATAATGGTGAACAATTACCATTAATGATTTTAGCTAACTGGAGAGGTTTCTCAGGTGGTCAACGTGATATGTACAATGAAGTTCTTAAATATGGTTCTTTCATTGTTGATGCTTTGGTTGACTTCAAACAACCAATTTTTACATACATCCCTCCAAATGGTGAATTAAGAGGTGGTTCTTGGGTTGTTGTCGACCCAACTATCAATAAAGATATGATGGAAATGTATGCTGATGTTGATTCTAGAGCCGGTGTTTTAGAACCTGAAGGTATGGTTGGTATTAAATACAGACGTGATAAATTATTAGCTACTATGGCAAGATTAGATCCTACTTATGCTGAATTGAAAGCTAAGTTAGTTAATTCTTCCGTATCATCTGATGAACACTCTCAAATCTCAGCAAAATTGGTTGCTCGTGAAAATGCTTTATTACCAATCTATTCTCAAATTTCTGTTCAATTTGCTGACTTACATGATAGATCTGGTCGTATGTTGGCTAAAGGTGTTATCAGAAAGGAAATTGAATGGGTCAATGCTAGACGTGTTTTCTTCTGGCGTTTACGTCGTCGTTTAAATGAAGAATACTTATTGAAGATCATTGGTGAACAAATTAAATCTTCAGACAAATTAGAAAAAGTTGCTAGATTGAAGAGTTGGATGCCAACTGTTGATTATGAAGATGATGAAGCTGTCAGTACTTACATCGAAGCTAACCATAATAAATTGAAAAAGAAGATCGATGAATTGAAAGGAGAAAGTGCCCGTAAGAACATTTCAGGTCTTTTGAAAGAAGATCCATCTACTGCTGCTGCTGCTATGAAAGAATTTATCTCAACCCTCTCAGAAGATGAAAGAGCTCAATTTTTACAATCTCTTCAATAGAGGTTGTTTTGAAACCCTAATGGGATATCTTGACATTAATTATTATTTTTTATTTTATATATTGTTTTCATTAAATATAATAGTTTTTTCATTTTGAAATATTTTATTTGTAATGATTCTGTTCACAGACGCTGAACTACCACCTTTTTTTTTTTTTTTTTTTTTGCAATCATACCAGACAACCGAGTACCATACTAAAGATGATGTTTATAAATTCAATTGTCTTACTTTTATTGAATTTTCAATGTATTTTTGCTATTCCCTACCTAGTTTCCTTAAAGCTACCCGAGACTCTTGAAACATTCTTGACTTACGATGTCAAATATCCTCAAACTCAAAGGATCAAATCTTTGATTGGTGATACATTCACAATTGGCAACTTCACAATCATGTCTGGGAATTTCACTAAAGTTGCACTAGAGCGGTGGAAAAGGTGTCCTTTGGTAGCAGACATCACCCCCGATACTATAATCAACGCCTTTGAGATTGAAGAGCAGTATAACTGCCCGAGACACCTTGCTAGACTCTCTCTGTACAATAAGTTGGGGGACGATGATTTTTCATACTTCTACGACTCTCAATATTCGGGCCAAGGAGTGAACGCTTACGTTCTAGACTCCGGAGTGGCAGTTGAGCATCCAGAATTTCAAGGAAGAGCATCGACTGGTTATGATTTTACAAATGAAGGATCCGGAGACACCAATGGCCATGGAACTCATGTGGCAGGATTGATAGGATCAAGAACATATGGTGCTGCTAAGAAAGTTAATATCATTGAAGTCAAGGCCTTGGATCGAAAAGGAGCAGGCTCTTTGAGTACAATTATTTCAGCTATCGAATTTACTGTCAACCATCGAAAAAAAAGCGGAAGACAAGGCGTTGCAAATCTTTCCTTAGGGGCAGCTAGGAATAAAGTCCTTAATCAGGCTATTGAAGCTGCTGTTAAAACCGGTTTAGTTATGGTTGTTGCAGCTGGAAACTCAAATGTCAATGCATGCTTATCTAGTCCGGCAAGTGCAAAATCTGCCATCACTGTCGGTGCTATCGACGATAGGAGTGATGGGATAGCTTCTTTTTCAAATTGGGGAGAATGTGTTGACGTATTCGCTAGTGGTGCATACGTTGCTAGCGTTAACGCTCAAGATTATAACAAGCCTCAGATATTATCAGGTACATCCATGTCCGCTCCAATCGTGACTGGTTTTATATCAACCCTATTGAGTAAAGGAGTCAAGCCAAAGAACATCAGAGAAGAAGTCATCAACATGGCAGCAACCAACAGAATTCCAAGATCGTCTGTATTTCTTAGAATAAAAACACCCAATAGAATCGCTTATAATGGTTTGGGCAGGACGAAAACCGACTCAGATTCTGATTCAGACTCAGATTCTGATTGAAATCGAATGGGTTCATACTACACTCGACCTCTCAATAAACTCAATACTTTTACTAATGTATGATTTTGCAACTTGTAATTCGTCCGCGTAGACTTCGCTTTTTTTTTTTTTTTTTTTTTTCGCAATTTTGCACCAATACAAAACTGTGTTTGTACAAAGGGAAATTTGCAGCGCTTAGAAGAATATCAAACTGAAAACCAATTGAAAGTTCAAGGATCAACTTTTGATTGCATGGAGAAAATGAATGGAGTGATTGAGTCCGCTTGGGCAACCAGTATGTATAAAAATAGGTGAAAACTTCCAGTAGGAATACTAACACCTCAAAGATTCACAAGCAGATAAGTCAGTCAAGACAGCTGCTACAGCTAATATACCACCTTCCACGGGATTCAGAACACCTTTCGTAAATTCGAGCCGTTGGGCAGATGTTGGGAGAATCAGTGCTACTTATAATCCGAAGAATTTCAAAAAGAAGGACCCTGGTGAGTTGTTTTCCGATACAGCTCTTTTTGATAATTTTCTGAAAAAGTATGATCCATACCCTGACTGGGGTGCCAATGAGCCAGTTCCAATCGAAAGGCGTGAGATTGAAGCAATATTCATCCAATTATTTGAGGTGTTTGGATTTCAATATGATAACACCAGAAATATGTTTGATTATTTCTTGAAACTTTTAGACTCCAGAGCTTCAAGAATGGGACCAATTCAAGCCCTAAGATCACTTCATGCTGATTATATCGGTGGAATTAATTCCAATTTTAGAAAATGGTATTTTGCAGCTCAGTTGGATATCGATGATGCCAACGCTTCAACTAGTGAAATTGACAAACCAAAGAAGAAAACAATTCATTCGCTCGAGGACGCAGAACGTCAATGGTATTTGAATATGAATAGTTTATCAGCTACAGACTGTGTTATCCAAATTGCTCTATATCTTTTATGTTGGGGAGAGGCAAATAACATCAGATTTATGCCTGAATGCCTTTGCTTCATCTTTAAGTGTTGCAACGATTACTACTATGCCCTTGATGCTGATGGCCCAATTCAAAATGTTACTCCTAGCTTTTTAGATCACGCAGTAACTCCACTTTACAATTTCTATAGAGATCAGTCTTATTTCAAACAAGATGGAAAATATGTCCATAATGATAAGGATCATAAAAATGTGATCGGTTACGACGATATGAATCAGCTCTTTTGGTATGGTCAAGGTTTGGAGAAATTATGTTTGAAGGATAAGAAAAAGTTAATGGATATCAACCCATCAGAAAGATATAAATATTTAAATCAAATAAAGTGGGATAAAGCATTTTATAAAACATTTAAAGAAAAAAGAGAGTGGTCTCACGTCTGGATAAACTTCAATAGGATATGGATCATTCATGTTTGCATGTTTTGGTATTATACTTCATTCAATTCACCTTCTTTATATACTCATAATTACCTGATTTCAATCGACAATCAGCCGACTACTCAAATGACATTGTCTACAATGTCAATCGCCGGGTCAATTGCCTGCTTTATATGCATTGTGTCAGTCATTTTAGAGCTTTCTTTCGTTCCACGAAGATGGCCGGGGGCACAGCCAGTTACCAGAAGATTATTAATGTTGATAATTACTTTTTCAGCAAATACGTTACCAAGCATTTATTTACTTTATATTTATCCTTTGAATGCTGAATCAAAACTAGGCCTTACCATTGCAAGCATTCAATTCACCTTATCACTCTTTACAGTGGGATATTTGTCTCTTATTCCTCTTGGTAATTTATTCACCAATATCCAAAAGGATGATCGTCGATTTCTTCCAACGCAGACTTTTACTTCTTCATTTTACCAATTAAAAGGAACCGATAAAATGGCATCCTATGGTCTTTGGGTTGCAGTATTTTTATCAAAATTTATTGAATCATATTTTTTCCTAACCCTTTCCTTACGTGATCCAATTCGTGAATTAAGTATAATGCGTATGAGTAGATGTACTGGAGAAATTTGGGTTGGTAGGTTATTTTGTATGTACCAACCGCACATAGTTCTTGGGTTGATCATTATCACAGATATGTTTTTATTCTTTTTAGATACTTATCTTTGGTATATTGTTTGGAACACCATATTTTCAGTTTTTAGGTCCTTTTATATTGGAGTCTCTATTTGGGCACCATGGAGAAATATTTTTTCCAGACTTCCAAAAAGAATTTTCTCAAAAATCATTTTTGCATCCAGTGATCGTAATATTAGGGCAAAAGTGCTTGTATCCCAAGTATGGAACTCAATCATCATATCCATGTACAGGGAACATCTCTTGTCTTTGGAACATGTTCAAAAGCTTATATATAAGCAAATTCCTACTTTAGGAGTTGAAGGAGGTTATGTTTTAAAAGAACCCACTTTTTTCGTTTCTCAAGAAGATCAAGCAATGAAATCGACTTTGCTTTACGAGCAATCTGAAGCTCAAAGACGAATAACCTTCTTTGCCCAGTCATTATCAACACCCATACCTGAAGTCGGAAGCACCAATTCCATGCCTTCAATCACAGTGCTAGTTCCACATTATAGTGAGAAGATAACATTAACATTAAAAGAAATAATCAAGGAAGAAGATCAATACTCTCATGTCACCATGTTAGAATATTTGAAGCTGCTCCATCCTTTGGAATGGTCAAACTTTGTTAAGGACACAAAAATGCTAGCAGAGGAGTTTGATTATGAATCTTCACTGGCCGAATATCTGAAAAAAGAAGAATTAAACGATTTACCTTATTATTCGGTAGGATTCAAAGTTGCAACTCCAGAATATATTTTGAGAACCCGAGTTTGGGCTTCCTTAAGATCTCAGACCTTATACCGTACCGTTTCCGGTTTCATGAATTATTCTCGAGCTATTAAACTCTTATTCGATGTTGAAAACCCTGAAATTAAAGATTTCGATGACGAATATGATAAACTCGAAGCAGCATCATTCATGGCAATTAGGAAGTTTCGTTTGATTGCTTCAATGCAAAGATTGAAGCATTTTTCTCAAGAAGAAAATGAAAACAAGGAATTCTTGTTGCGAGCTTATCCAGAATTGCAAATTGCATACCTTGATGAAGAGATTGATCTTCAAACAGGAGAAACAATATATTATTCTTGCCTCATTGACGGAAGTTGTGCCATTTTGGAAAACGGTGATCGAGAACCAAAGTATAAAATTAAATTATCGGGAGACCCCATATTGGGAGATGGAAAATCTGACAACCAAAATCATTCATTGATCTTTTGTAGAGGAGAGTATATCCAACTTATTGATGCTAACCAGGATAATTACATCGAAGAATGTCTCAAAATTAGAAGTATCCTTGCAGAGTTCGAGGAAATGACTGTTCCATTAGATTCATATTCTACTACCCTAAAGGATACTGAATATTCTAACCCTGTTGCAATTATCGGAACTCGAGAATACATATTCTCGGAGAACATTGGAATATTGGGAGATGTTGCAGCTGGAAAAGAACAAACATTTGGAACGCTATTTGCCAGAACGTTGGCTCAGATAGGTGGGAAGTTACACTATGGACACCCTGATTTCTTAAATAGCATTTTCATGACAACCAGAGGTGGGGTTTCGAAAGCACAAAAGGGGTTACATTTGAATGAAGATATATATGCTGGAATGAATGCAGTAATCAGGGGAGGCAGAGTAAAACACTGTGAGTATATGCAATGCGGAAAAGGACGTGATCTTGGTTTTGGATCCATTTTGAACTTCACAACTAAAATTGGAGCTGGAATGGGAGAGCAAATGCTTTCGAGGGAATACTTCTATTTGGGTACTCAGCTTCCTTTGGATAGGTTTTTATCCTTCTATTATGCACATCCAGGCTTCCATTTGAACAACGTCTTCATAATTTTATCTATAAAATTATTCCTACTTGTTGGTATAAATATTGCTGCACTTACAAACGACACCACTATTTGCGAATATGATAGATTCAAGCCTATAACTGATCCCCGTAAGCCAACTGGATGTTACAATTTAATTCCCGTTGTACAATGGCTTGAAAGATGTATTTTTTCTATATTTGTTGTTTTTTCAATCTCATTCATTCCTTTGTGGGTACAAGAACTCACTGAACGTGGATTATACAAAGCACTAACGAGATTGGGTAAGCATTTTGCATCATTTTCTCCTTTATTTGAGGTGTTCGTGTGTAGAATCTATGCACAGTCACTAGTAAGTGATATCGCAATCGGTGGTGCAAGATATATCGCCACAGGAAGAGGTTTTGCAACAGTCAGGAATTCAATTACAAAATTATATGCTCGTTTTTCATATGAGAGTTTGAATTTTGCAGCAATTTCAGGGCTTTTAATTCTTTTCACCTCAATTGCAATGTGGAAAATTTCATTATTGTATTTTTGGGTTACAATCATCGGTCTATTAATTTGTCCATTCTTGTTCAACCCAAATCAGTACTCATGGGCTGATTTTTTTCTTGATTATAAAGTATATCTCAAGTGGTTATTTGGGGGAAACAGCAGATCAAGAAGCTCATCTTGGATTGGATTCACAAAACTAATCAGAAGTAGAATAACAGGAGTAAAAGGCAAATCTACCAAGATTGAAGAAGAGATTAAACTAGTTAGCGATGTTCGACCTCCCAGGTTCAATTCAATCATATTGCAATCATTGTTTCAGATCTTACAGATGTCATTCATTTTTTTTGCCTATACTTTTGCAAACTCACAAAACGAAGCAAGAGGTATGTTACCGGTAAACAGCATCTTGCGTATAATAATTATTGCATTCGGACCGATCATAGTGAACCTGGCTATATTGTTGATATTCTTTATAATATCTTTACTCACTGGTCCAATATTTAGTCTAGTTTTTAAAAAGTACCCTTCCGTCATCTCAGCAACTGTTCGCATCTTTTCACTTATTAATCACATATTCTTTTTCGAGTTTCTTTGGTTCCTTCAAGCATGGGATTTTTCCAGAACAGTATTGGGATTTGCGCTTTCTTCAATTATACAGAGTTGGTTTCTTCAATTGTTTACAGCATTATTTATTTCCAGTGAATTCAAACATGGTAGGCCAAACAGAGCTTGGTGGTCAGGAAAGTGGATTAGTTCAGAGTTAGGTTGGCATATTTTCACTCAACCATTTCGTGAATACTTTTGTAAAGTAACTGAGCTTAGTTATTTTGCATCAGACTTTTTGATTGGTCACATAATTCTTTTTATTCAAATCCCTATTTTGTTCATTCCATATGCTAACTTATGGCATTCGATGATGTTATTCTGGTTGAAACCGAGTAAACAGATAAGACCAAGACTTCTTTCAAAAAAACGAAGAAGGTTAAGAAGGGTAACCGTAAACGTATACACCATTGTATTTTTCACAGTATTCCTTTTATTTTCAAGTCTAATTGCGCTTCCAATTGTGGCAACGAAAGTTTTGGAAATTGATTTTGAAGAGTTGACTCCTGAATTCTTAGATTCGTTAATCCAACCACGGTCCATCCCATCTCAGAAAAAGGGTCTTCATAAGAGCCTAATTAAAAGTCCATTTTAATCTCTATACATATTTCTTTCTTTGTAGTAATCAGTACTTTATGATTATCATTTATTATTTATGAGGGAGCTTAACTAGTAACATGTCATTAATTTAGTTATGTAATATCACGACAAAGCATGTAATATCTTATAATACTGTTTATACATCTCTTCATTTCCCAAACCTTTGATCTCACGAAGAATAGCATCAACATTCTCTTGGGATACGAATTGCAATGAAATATCGAATCTTCGACAAGAAGACATAGACTTCAAACTATTCAAAACAGAAGAATGCCAATCATTTAATATGTTGCTTTTAGATGCAAATAAAGTAGCTTCAAAGAAAAAGTCCAAAAACTCGGCATCCACTCCTGATTCAGCAAACAAATCATTAAATGTATCCGGAGGTAACTCTAGTACGTATTTATAACCATTAGCCTTCTTATGTGGTGGCAATGAAGCTAATGCTCTTAAATGATGTGTCCCAGATCTTTCTGTAAAAGGTTTGGTTAAGCGTGAAGCTAGTTCAGGCTGTTTCTTCTTCGAAGCTGGGAATAATTCATTTATCTGAGAAGTGGCTTCTTCTGATATTTGGGGATTCGGTTTTGATATAAGAGAAGGATGATTAGGTTCCATAAGACTTTTGTATTCCTCGGGAATCTCGTCAACGGACTCAATCGGTATAGGAACACGGCTGCTCTTCTGGTTTTCAAGTTTCATCTTTTTAGGATTGAATTTCAAACTATTCATCAACTCAATGACTTGTTTATTATTAGGGTCGATTCCTAATGCTTCCTCTAATGTAAGCTTTGAGTTCACACAATCATTAGTACTTTTTAGGATAACAGCTTTTCTAAACAATAATTTAACTCTGACCCTATTTTCTGCATTAAGTCTGAGGCCATCTTCGGTATCTTTGAGAGCTCTGTCCCAATCCCCAAGATTTATAAAACATTGGGCACGATTGGAATATAGCACAGGAGATGCAGCGAGCTTTATTGCATCACGGTAAATTTTGGCCGCTTTTTTGAACTCTCGTTTGGAGAAAGCTTCATTTCCCATTACACGGAGTTGATCAGCATTCGGCATTTTCCTCTTCTTTCAATTTATTTTCGATTAAAGTCAATTTTGATGAGTCTACGTTCTTTCAATTGAATGTAATTTTTTTTTCAGGTCAGTTGATCTGCGCAAAAGATGTTTCAAAAAAATCCCGGTGCTAAGTGCATTTACACTTCTTCTAAGCATAGTTGTTTTCAAAATAAGTCTATCTTCCAAGAGATGACGAAGGAAGAATTGAGAGATGAGATCGAAGCCATTGATGCGATTTACCCCGAGTCAGTGGAGAAACTTGGTCCTCTGATTTATAAACTTATAATCCCCAATCATGAATCATTAAGTATTCAAATCACATTTCCAGAGGAATATCCTGACACGATACCCGAGATTATCCAGCTTGTAGTAGCAGAGAATAGTAAGTATTTGGATCCAAGCTATTTAGAAGAAAATTTTAAGAAGATTCTAACCAGAACATTCCACGAAGGGGAAGTAGTGGTATTCGAGCTATTTTCAGAGATTGAACAATTTTTAGAAGAGTATAATGCAACTCATGAAGAACTTGTGAAAAATACCCCTTCGCCCAAGCCCGAAGAAGACGAAAAAGGTATTATTGATAGCATGAAATACACAAGTTTGGAAGATAGCCCGAAGACAGACGTGAAGGCCAAATCACCGCCCCCGGCTATTCAAACCAACTCTAAGTACAAGATTGTAGATCCTCTTACTGGATGGTATTTCTCGGACCCTATTATTGATAGAGGATCTACCTTTATTGGATTCGCTCGTGAGGTTCACTCAGTTGATGATGCGGCATACTACATTGATTTACTAACCACAGATAAGAAGGTTGCCAAATCCAATCATAATATGAGTGCTTGGAGAATCAAGAAGGAAAATGGAGTACAGTATCAAGACTGTGATGATGATGGTGAAACGGCTGCTGGTGGCCGAATGTTGCATTTATTAACGGTATGTACTATTCAAAAAATCAAAGTATTGGTATCTTACTAACAAATATAGATGATGGACGTATGGAATGTTGTTGTTGTTGTGAGCAGATGGTTTGGTGGAACCCACATTGGACCAGACAGATTCAAACATATCAATACTGCAGCCAGAGAAGCTGTTTTGAACGGTAATTTTGGAGATGCAAAAAATGACAATGACAATAATAAAAGTACTAATACAAAGAAGAAGAAAAAATAATCAAAGACTCAATGAAATAACATCTATTTGAAATTACTGAATCTTTTACGTTTGTTTTTGATTTCAGGTTTATAATCTTCTTGGTTGTCCGATTTCCTCTTATTCGAGGGAGCCTTTGCATCAGTTTTATTAGAATCAGAAGCTGGTTTATTTAATAATGATTCTAAGAATGCTTTTGTCCCCAATTCAGGCTCTTCTATAGGTTTTTCATTACCAGAAGCTTTCTTTGGGTCCAATTTTGTCATTTTTTTTGCTTCCTTTGGTTTATTCTGTAATTTGGTTAGTTAATTTTCATAGACATATAAAAACAACATTAATAGATAACATACCTTTTTCTGAGTTTCTTTTATATCATCTACATCCAACAGCGATTCTTTCTTGTCATTTTTGTCGTTCCCAAAAGTTCTTCTCCCGAGGTTGACTGGCGTAGAGTCCAGTTCAGGCTCATCACCGTTGGCAAAACTTTCCCTACCAAAAGAATTGATTCCGGAATAGCCCACCGATTCAACAACCCTGTTTGATTTCAATTTGGCTTTTATCTTTGAGGAATTTGGTAATCCCCATTCAGATGCGTCTTTCACCTTTGCTTGATCGTGAGGTTCCGGCGACTTCGAGTTGCTACCACTGTCCGGTTGCATGAACTTCATGTTCATGACTCTGCTAGACAACCCACTCATGCTGTATTTACTATTCCTATTCTTTAGAAGACCAGCTAAACAGCCATTAAACGATTATTTGCAATGTTATAATTTTTCAAAATCAATTGTTGCGGGTAATGGCCTTCGCATTAAATTTTCATTTTTTTTTTTTTTTTGTTAGTGCGCTTTAATTTTTTTTAATAGAGAAGCAGAGATGTGAAGAGCTCATCTCTTGAAGAACCAATTTGCCAGAAGTTTTACTTGATAGACAAGCACTCCGAACCTTCTATCAATACAGGCGGGTTTACTTATAGGAACAGCATGAAGTCAGATTTCAAATTCTCCAATTTGTTGGGAACTGTTTATCGCCAAGGGAACTTGTTATACACCGAAGATGGAACTAAATTACTTAGTCCGGTTGGAAATCGAGTTAGTTGTTTCGATCTTATAAATAACACATCATTTACTTTCAACTACGAACATAGGAAGAATATAGCAAGAATAGCGTTGAATAAACAAGGGACGTTATTGCTAAGTGTTGATGAAGATGGAAGAGCCATTTTAGTGAATTTTGTCAGTCGAGTAGTTTTACATCATTTCAATTTCAAAGATCGAGTAAATGATTTACAATTTAGTCCAGATGGACACTATTTTGCTATTGCAGTTGGAAGATTCGTTCAAGTGTGGAAAACCCCTGATTTCACTGAAGACCGTCAATTTGCACCATTTGTTCGTCACAGAATCCATGCTGGTCACTATAATGACGTATTATCAGTGACATGGTCGAATGATTCAAGATTTTTCATCAGTACATCCAAAGATATGACCTCGAGGATTTTTTCATTACACTCACTGGAAAAAGAAGTTGCCATGACATTAGCAGGCCATCGAGATTATGTAATGAAGGCATTTTTCAATGAAACTCAAGAAATCATATATACTGTTAGTAAAGACGGTGCTTTGTTTCAATGGGAATACGTTGAAGAAGAAAATGATGAAGAATCACAAGACGAGGATAGTGAAAGTGAAGATGATGATAGTAAGAAAGCATGGAGAATTACTGCAAAAAATTATTTTTATAGTGATGCAAAAGTGAAATGTGTTACTTTTCATAGTGCCACTAACTTACTTGTAGTTGGATTTGGACAAGGGGAATTCAGATTATATGATTTACCTGAATTTAATATGATTCAACAATTGAGTATGGGACAGAATGCCGTTAATACTGTACAAATAAATAAAACTGGAGAATGGTTGGCCTTTGGATCATCTAAAGCAGGACAATTACTTGTTTATGAATGGCAATCTGAGCTGTATATTTTAAAACAACAAGGACATTTTGATCTGACCAATGCATTATGTTATTCACCGGATGGCGGTCGTGTTATAACTGCATCTGATGATGGTAAAATAAAAGTATGGGATGTTAATACTGGATTTTGCCTTATGACATTTCAAGAACATACTGCAGCTGTGACCGGAGTTCAATTTGCTAAAAGAGGACAAGTTTTATTTTCAGCATCATTGGATGGTACAGTTAGAGCATGGGATATGATTAGATTTAGAAATTTCCGTACATTTACCGCTAGTGAAAGAATACAATTTAATTGTTTAGCAGTTGACCCAAGTGGAGAAGTAATTGTTGCTGGATCTCATGATAATTTTGATATTTATGTTTGGTCCGTTCAAACTGCACAATTACTTGATTCATTAAGTGGACACGAAGGACCAATATCATGTTTAGCATTCGGACAAGAAAATTCTATATTAGCTTCAGCATCTTGGGACCATAGTATTAGAATTTGGAATATATTTGGAAGAAGTCAAACTGTTGAACCAATTGAAGTTACTAGTGATGTATTAAGTTTAACCATGAGACCAGATTCTAAAGAATTAGCAGTGAGTACATTGGATGGACATATTACTGTGTTTGATGTTGAAGATGCAAAACAATTACATTTAATCGATGGACGTAAAGATATATTAGGAGGTAGATTTTTAGAAGATAGATTTAGTGCTAAAAACTCTGCCAGACTGAAATATTTCACTACTATAAATTATTCATTTGATGGATTAGCATTAGTTTGTGGTGGTAATAATAATAGTATTTGTTTATATGATTTGACCAATGAAGTATTATTGAAGAGATTCACCGTTTCATTAAACATGCAATTCAATGGTACAATGGCAATGCTTAATAGTAATAAGATAACTGATGCCGGAACTTCAATTGATTTAATTGATAGAGCAGGAGAAAATTCTGATTTAGAAGATCGGGTTGATTCCACCTTACCAGGCTCACATAGAGGAGATCCAAGTTTAAGAAACGTCAGGCCAGAAATCAGAGTTACCTCCATTGCATTTTCCCCAACCTCGTCAGCATTTGCAGCCGCATCTACTGAAGGATTATTAATATTTTCCATTGATAGTGGAGTCATATTTGATCCATTTGATTTAGACGTTGACATCACCCCGGAGGCAACTTTAGAAACATTACAAGAAAAAGAATACTTAACTGCTTTGGTAATGGCCTTCAGATTAAATGAAGATTATTTAATTCAAAGGGTTTACGAGAATATTCCAGTCAAAGATATTCGTTTGGTTTGTGATGGCTTACCAGTGATCTATGTCAATAAATTACTTACGTTCATTGGTAAAAGTGTTGTTCAACTGCATCATTTCGAATTCAATTTACTTTGGATTCGTCTGTTAATAACAAGCCACGGTAGATACATCAACGCCCATAAATTTGAATTCAGCAGTAGCATCAAGATGATTCAGAGATTTTTAGGGAAATTGGCCCTGGAAGTTGTCCTGGTTTCCAAGAAAAACGGCTATCTCTACTCCTACTTGAGTGAATCGAGTAAACAAGAGCAAGACGAAGAAGAAGAGGAAGAACTACTTGACGCTGGTGACATCGAAATGGACAACGACGAAGACGACGACGACGACGACGACGACGACGACGAAGGTTGGTTTGGCCCCGAGTCCAGCATCAAGGCCTCCAACGGAATTGTCTTCAGCAAGTCCGACGACAGTGACGAAGAAATGCTGGATTAAATATATATATAGTTGCAATAAAGTATTCGCATCGAATGATAATTAAACTCAATTAATGCACGGGTGCCGGGCGACGGCCCCCCAAGTTTCAAGAGTGTCTGAAAACCTCCCCAGACACAATACAAGTAGTAAACAAAAGCACCCATACCTAATCACAATAAACAATCTGGACATAATAAAGCCAGCAGAAAAGGCTAATGGATTCCATTGGTTGGGAAATTGGTTGCTATTTTTGTTGTAATTAATTAAAAACCCCTAACAAAACCGAAAAAAGAAAGACCCCCCTCAATTTCTCCACCAAAGATGTAATTTTAATCATCAGACAAATTTTAAACTACGAGCGATTGTTTAGGGGCTGCAATAGTTTAAATAGTGTTGTTCTTCTTCGTACCACTTTTCTCTTCTTTGGCTAGGGTTCTGGTAAGTTGGTAAGCTGGCAGCGTTGAACGTGAAACTCTTTTGGCAGCGAAAAGACCCTGATACTTTTGTACCTTTTCTTTCTTTTATCTAGTATTAATTAAGATTACTCCTTTACAGTTATGACTAGGGATATTAAAAACCATCTTCTCTTTGAAGTGGCCACCGAGGTGGCCAACAAGGTGGGAGGGATATACTCTGTTCTTAAATCGAAGGCGCCAATAACTGTTGCTGAATACCGGGAGCGGTATACCTTGCTTGGTCCTTTGAATTATAATTCTGCTCAAATCGAGGTTGAAGAATTACCGGTGAAAGACACATACATTAAGCAAACCTTGGAGTCGATGAGTAACCGCGGGGTTCGTTGGTTGTACGGAAGATGGTTAATCGAGGGTGCTCCTCGAGTATTGTTGTTTGATATTCATTCTGCCGCTCATAATTTGAATGAATGGAAGGCTGATTTGTGGAACATTGCCGGGATTCCTACTCCTGATCATGATCAGGAGACCAACGATGCCATTTTGTTGGGGTATTTGGTTGCCTGGTTTTTGGGTGAATTGGTTTATCATGATCGAGAACGGGCGGTTATTACTCAATGCCATGAATGGTTGGCTGGGGTGGCTTTACCCTTATGTCGTAAAAGAAGAATTGATGTAACCACCATTTTCACCACTCACGCCACTTTATTGGGTCGTTATTTATGTGCTGGTTCCACGGATTTTTATAATAATTTGGCAAATTTTGATGTTGATGCTGAAGCTGGTAAAAGAGGTATTTATCATCGTTATTGTATAGAACGTTCTGCCACTCATTCGGCCGATGTGTTCACTACGGTTTCTCATATCACCGCTTACGAAGCTGAGCATTTATTGAAGCGTAAGCCCGACGGGGTTTTGCCAAATGGTTTGAATGTGGTTAAATTTCAAGCAGTTCACGAATTTCAAAACTTACATGCTACTAAGAAGGAAAAAATTAATGAATTCGTTAAAGGTCATTTCTACGGGAACTATGATTTTGATTTAGAAAATACCTTGTATTTCTTCATTGCTGGTCGTTATGAATTCAGAAACAAAGGTTGTGATTTTTTCATCGAGTCTTTAGCTAGATTGAATCATCGTTTGAAGGAAGCCGGTTCGAAAATGACTGTGGTTGCCTTTATTATTATGCCCGGTAAAATTAATTCTTACACGGTTGAAACTTTAAAAGGTCAAGCTGTTATCAAACAATTAGAAAATACCATTGAAGAAGTTCAAAAAAAAGTCAGTCAACGTTTATTTGAACATTGTGCTAGATTTCCGAATGATCACACTCATACCAATAATGGTAATGAAGTTCCTTCTATTGATGAATTGATTAAACCGGCAGACCGTGTTTTATTGAAAAGAAGAATTTTTGCCTTGAAAAGAGACGGTTTACCTCCAATTGTAACTCATAATATGACTGATGATGCTACTGATCCAGTCTTAAATCAAATTAGAAGAGTTCAATTATTCAATAAACCCGAAGATCGGGTTAAAATCATTTTCCATCCAGAATTCTTAAACGCTAATAATCCAATTTTATCTCTTGATTATGATGAATTCGTAAGAGGTTGTCATTTAGGGGTTTTCCCCTCTTATTATGAACCTTGGGGCTACACTCCTGCTGAATGTACCGTGATGGGGGTTCCTTCAATCACAACTAATTTATCTGGATTTGGTTGTTATATGGAAGATTTAATTGAAAATACTAGTGATTATGGTATTTATATCGTTGATCGTCGTATGAAATCAGTAGATGATTCCATTAATCAATTAGCCGATTACATGTTTGATTTTACAGAAAAAACTAGAAGACAAAGAATTAATCAACGTAATCGTACCGAAAGATTGTCAGATTTATTGGATTGGAAACGTATGGGTCTCGAATACATTAAAGCTCGTCAATTGTCTTTGAAAAGAGCTTATCCTGATAAATTCAAAAATGGTGCTAATCCTTTCAACAATACTTCCAGCTTAAAATTAACTAGACCTTTATCGGTTCCGGGATCTCCTCGTAGTAAAGTTGGATTGATGACTCCTGGTGATTTGGGCTCTCTTCAAGAAGCTCAACAATCCTTAAACACCGATGACTATATCGGCTTCAGCTTGGGTGAGGATGACGATGAAAATGATGAGCATTATCCTTTGACCTTGAGAGGTTCCTCTGCTCCTCCTCCGGATCCAGAAGAAATCGAAAATGATTCCTGATTGACTGGTTACTCGGATTTACTTGAATCGTTGATATTATTTTATTTTCCCGCTTTTGTTTTTGTTTCTGCATAGTTACAGTACAGCATTATCTGCATTATCTGTTTCTTATCATACTTAATTCATTCTAATCTTGTCATGTTATCATATGTAATATATATCATACTGTCGTTGTCCTGTAGTTGCAAAATTGGATATTAAATCCGTACCTCTACCAAATGGTCGTGCCCTTTGCCGCATCTGGTGGAAGAAAAAAAAAAAAAAGCAGAAAACTCCCAATGAGAAACCGAAAGAAACGAAGAAAATGGACATATTAAAGGGTTCTTGTTTTTCAATACGTATCTTGTGATTGAAAATTCTGTCGTAAATTCGATATAAACATATATACACATCTAATAATGGTATGCACCCTTTTTGATTTTAATTGGCCGTGAAGAAGACTCGTACTAACAATAGATAGTTACCCTTATACTTATTAACAAGTGCTAAGAATCAACAAATATTAGTTGAATTGAAAAATGGAGAAACTATAAATGGAACTTTGGTTAATTGTGATTCTTGGATGAACCTTACATTATCTGATGTAATCCAATCTTTTAATGACGGTGAATCTTTCCATAAATTGAAAGAAATTTATATTCGTGGTAATCATATAAAATACTTGAGAATGAATGAATCAATCATGGACCGTGCTAAAGAACAAAATGCTATTAATTTAGAACAAAGAAACAGAAACCAAAAGAGGAGAACTGGGTACGGTGGTGGTCATTATGGCGGAGGTAACAGAAGAAACTTTAATCGTAATTCTGGCCAATATAACAACCAAGGTGGCCGTCGTTACAACAATAATAATAACTACAATAATAACAATTATCAAGGTCATAATAACCATTCTGGCTCAAGCTTTCAACAAGCCCAAGGAAGTCAAATTCAAGAAACTATTTAATCTCGGGTATGATGATGCTTCGTATTATGCTTTATATTTTCATTTCTTAAATGGTTTATTCTTTTCTTTTTTGATGTTAATGATCACGTTTATCGATTTATGAGTTGATTGTATCTTTAGATTCAATTCGTTACAATATTTTCTTTTTCTTTTTTTTTTTTTTTTTTTTT